CGCGTTGGCGAAGCTCATTGAGAACCGACTGAAGAGACACCAAAATGTCGGTGGGAAGGAAGATGGAACTGCAGAGGACGTCCCGACAACCAAAGAGAATACTGCGTCTGAGCAGTCGAGATCATCAGAATGCAAGCCATATGTGCCAATGCTTCACGCCGTCTGGCCCATGCAAGATTTTACGGCAAACACTATCGTACTTGCTTTGGCCGCCTTCTGTTTCGTAGTCTCTCTGTGCTGTTGCTTAGTGATGGGTTTTTCCCCGATTGGTGCATTTAGTCCGAGGGGTGTGCTACAGTCTCTTGTTTCCCCTTTGACGGCGGTGGTAACAGCCATTACAACTTTTGTCAGTTTTCAGGTCGGGATTGCTGCCTTTGTGAAGCTTTTATAGTTGCACGTTTGTATGCTACAAACCTAACATTTTTTATCATTGTTTTTATCAACTCTTTTTTCTTCCCTCTTTCAATTCCTCCTACCGTTTTATTATTATTATAAATCCAAACGATTTTCTTTTCATGAAATACTGAGTCGCTCCAGTCGAGAAGTTGAGTTAAAAGCAGAAAAAGCGACGGGATGTATTGCTAAACAAACAACCACAACCACTCGTTTCCTTATCAAAAAGGCATTTTCTCTTTGGAAAGGTGAAGTCGCCTTCTGTCCTTTTTGTTTTGGCTTTATATCATTCTTCTTTAACTTGTGCTTTATTACGATTACAATTCTACTGAGAATGAACTTGCGAAGGCATGTTTCTAATACTTCTGTCGTTTTCTGTGGCCCGGCGGAAACCATAACAATGCGATGAGGAGTTGCAAGTGTAATGACTCTGTGGTCATAAACTGAATCACTTGTATCCTCTTCTGTTTGACGAGGTAATGGAAATGAATGGTCAACGCTAGAGGTTATATTTTTTCTAGGTGCTGAATTAGCGGCGTTGTGACTTGCGAGGTAGTGACCCTGAATTCCTCGGGGAAAGGTACTGATGACTCTTCGACATTCATGTTAATTTTCCCCTTTTCCTTACCTACTGCGCATTTTCTTCGCTTTTATGCGCACACGCTTTTGAATGCAAATCGTGCTCCTCGACAAACGTTTTTGTACTCGTGTCATAAAATTTAGAAACATACATTGCATCAGTTTATTTAATTTCAACTTGTCTGGATGGCCTTGTAGCTCTCCGGGAGCTCCGTGTTCATTGTGGTAGACAGGATGCGGCCCTTCACCCACACGCTCCTCAGGAACTGCACGTAGCCGTACACCCGCATCGTCACCTCCGCACTTCCGCCACTGCCGCTCTGTGTAAACGTCACCAGCGCCTCCACGCGAAACGCGTCACCAAACATTACGCCGGGGACCTGGCTCGAAAACTGCACCGCCAGCGTCGGCACGTCGCCGACCTTGAGCAACGCGTAACGCTCGTACTCGATGTACGTGTAGGGCTTGTTCATCATCGCCTTCACCAGCGTCGTGCACGTGAATTGGCGCTGCCCGCGGAACACCTCGCCGTCCTTGGTCGCTCGCCACGACTCCCACTTCTGGTCAGTGTCCTTGCGTTCCGAGTGGTACTGCTCTAGCAGGGAGCTGCCGTCGTCGAAGCACAGCCCAAACACATCCAGAACACTTTTCCCGCTTGGCAACTTCACCGGCGTGATTACTTCCTTCTCAAAGCACGAGTACGCGCTCATGGCGCTGCCATAGTCCGTGTCCACCTGCGAGAATGCGTCCATCGACGCCACAGACGGCATCTTGGACTCGGTGTTTTCGCACGTGGGGGTTTTGAAAACGCGTTGGCGAAGCTCATTGAGAACCGACTGAAGAGACACCAAAATGTCGGTGGGAAGGAAGATGGAACTGCAGAGGACGTCCCGACAACCAAAGAGAATACTGCGTCTGAGCAGTCGAGATCATCAGAATGCAAGCCATATGTGCCAATGCTTCACGCCGTCTGGCCCATGCAAGATTTTACGGCAAACACTATCGTACTTGCTTTGGCCGCCTTCTGTTTCGTAGTCTCTCTGTGCTGTTGCTTAGTGATGGGTTTTTCCCCGATTGGTGCATTTAGTCCGAGGGGTGTGCTACAGTCTCTTGTTTCCCCTTTGACGGCGGTGGTAACAGCCATTACAACTTTTGTCAGTTTTCAGGTCGGGATTGCTGCCTTTGTGAAGCTTTTATAGTTGCACGTTTGTATGCTACAAACCTAACATTTTTTATCATTGTTTTTATCAACTCTTTTTTCTTCCCTCTTTCAATTCCTCCTACCGTTTTATTATTATTATAAATCCAAACGATTTTCTTTTCATGAAATACTGAGTCGCTCCAGTCGAGAAGTTGAGTTAAAAGCAGAAAAAGCGACGGGATGTATTGCTAAACAAACAACCACAACCACTCGTTTCCTTATCAAAAAGGCATTTTCTCTTTGGAAAGGTGAAGTCGCCTTCTGTCCTTTTTGTTTTGGCTTTATATCATTCTTCTTTAACTTGTGCTTTATTACGATTACAATTCTACTGAGAATGAACTTGCGAAGGCATGTTTCTAATACTTCTGTCGTTTTCTGTGGCCCGGCGGAAACCATAACAATGCGATGAGGAGTTGCAAGTGTAATGACTCTGTGGTCATAAACTGAATCACTTGTATCCTCTTCTGTTTGACGAGGTAATGGAAATGAATGGTCAACGCTAGAGGTTATATTTTTTCTAGGTGCTGAATTAGCGGCGTTGTGACTTGCGAGGTAGTGACCCTGAATTCCTCGGGGAAAGGTACTGATGACTCTTCGACATTCATGTTAATTTTCCCCTTTTCCTTACCTACTGCGCATTTTCTTCGCTTTTATGCGCACACGCTTTTGAATGCAAATCGTGCTCCTCGACAAACGTTTTTGTACTCGTGTCATAAAATTTAGAAACATACATTGCATCAGTTTATTTAATTTCAACTTGTCTGGATGGCCTTGTAGCTCTCCGGGAGCTCCGTGTTCATTGTGGTAGACAGGATGCGGCCCTTCACCCACACGCTCCTCAGGAACTGCACGTAGCCGTACACCCGCATCGTCACCTCCGCACTTCCGCCACTGCCGCTCTGTGTAAACGTCACCAGCGCCTCCACGCGAAACGCGTCACCAAACATTACGCCGGGGACCTGGCTCGAAAACTGCACCGCCAGCGTCGGCACGTCGCCGACCTTGAGCAACGCGTAACGCTCGTACTCGATGTACGTGTAGGGCTTGTTCATCATCGCCTTCACCAGCGTCGTGCACGTGAATTGGCGCTGCCCGCGGAACACCTCGCCGTCCTTGGTCGCTCGCCACGACTCCCACTTCTGGTCAGTGTCCTTGCGTTCCGAGTGGTACTGCTCTAGCAGGGAGCTGCCGTCGTCGAAGCACAGCCCAAACACATCCAGAACACTTTTCCCGCTTGGCAACTTCACCGGCGTGATTACTTCCTTCTCAAAGCACGAGTACGCGCTCATGGCGCTGCCATAGTCCGTGTCCACCTGCGAGAATGCGTCCATCGACGCCACAGACGGCATCTTGGACTCGGTGTTTTCGCACGTGGGGGTTTTGAAAACGCGTTGGCGAAGCTCATTGAGAACCGACTGAAGAGACACCAAAATGTCGGTGGGAAGGAAGATGGAACTGCAGAGGACGTCCCGACAACCAAAGAGAATACTGCGTCTGAGCAGTCGAGATCATCAGAATGCAAGCCATATGTGCCAATGCTTCACGCCGTCTGGCCCATGCAAGATTTTACGGCAAACACTATCGTACTTGCTTTGGCCGCCTTCTGTTTCGTAGTCTCTCTGTGCTGTTGCTTAGTGATGGGTTTTTCCCCGATTGGTGCATTTAGTCCGAGGGGTGTGCTACAGTCTCTTGTTTCCCCTTTGACGGCGGTGGTAACAGCCATTACAACTTTTGTCAGTTTTCAGGTCGGGATTGCTGCCTTTGTGAAGCTTTTATAGTTGCACGTTTGTATGCTACAAACCTAACATTTTTTATCATTGTTTTTATCAACTCTTTTTTCTTCCCTCTTTCAATTCCTCCTACCGTTTTATTATTATTATAAATCCAAACGATTTTCTTTTCATGAAATACTGAGTCGCTCCAGTCGAGAAGTTGAGTTAAAAGCAGAAAAAGCGACGGGATGTATTGCTAAACAAACAACCACAACCACTCGTTTCCTTATCAAAAAGGCATTTTCTCTTTGGAAAGGTGAAGTCGCCTTCTGTCCTTTTTGTTTTGGCTTTATATCATTCTTCTTTAACTTGTGCTTTATTACGATTACAATTCTACTGAGAATGAACTTGCGAAGGCATGTTTCTAATACTTCTGTCGTTTTCTGTGGCCCGGCGGAAACCATAACAATGCGATGAGGAGTTGCAAGTGTAATGACTCTGTGGTCATAAACTGAATCACTTGTATCCTCTTCTGTTTGACGAGGTAATGGAAATGAATGGTCAACGCTAGAGGTTATATTTTTTCTAGGTGCTGAATTAGCGGCGTTGTGACTTGCGAGGTAGTGACCCTGAATTCCTCGGGGAAAGGTACTGATGACTCTTCGACATTCATGTTAATTTTCCCCTTTTCCTTACCTACTGCGCATTTTCTTCGCTTTTATGCGCACACGCTTTTGAATGCAAATCGTGCTCCTCGACAAACGTTTTTGTACTCGTGTCATAAAATTTAGAAACATACATTGCATCAGTTTATTTAATTTCAACTTGTCTGGATGGCCTTGTAGCTCTCCGGGAGCTCCGTGTTCATTGTGGTAGACAGGATGCGGCCCTTCACCCACACGCTCCTCAGGAACTGCACGTAGCCGTACACCCGCATCGTCACCTCCGCACTTCCGCCACTGCCGCTCTGTGTAAACGTCACCAGCGCCTCCACGCGAAACGCGTCACCAAACATTACGCCGGGGACCTGGCTCGAAAACTGCACCGCCAGCGTCGGCACGTCGCCGACCTTGAGCAACGCGTAACGCTCGTACTCGATGTACGTGTAGGGCTTGTTCATCATCGCCTTCACCAGCGTCGTGCACGTGAATTGGCGCTGCCCGCGGAACACCTCGCCGTCCTTGGTCGCTCGCCACGACTCCCACTTCTGGTCAGTGTCCTTGCGTTCCGAGTGGTACTGCTCTAGCAGGGAGCTGCCGTCGTCGAAGCACAGCCCAAACACATCCAGAACACTTTTCCCGCTTGGCAACTTCACCGGCGTGATTACTTCCTTCTCAAAGCACGAGTACGCGCTCATGGCGCTGCCATAGTCCGTGTCCACCTGCGAGAATGCGTCCATCGACGCCACAGACGGCATCTTGGACTCGGTGTTTTCGCACGTGGGGGTTTTGAAAAGAAGCTTAGTGAGATGGTGTTGGCAAAGCTCTCTAGCCAAGGTAAAGCTCCTGCGCCTCCAAAGGCGGCACCTGAGGAGGCCGAACCAGCAAAGGAGGCTCCGGCTGCGGAGGAGAAATCGATGAAGCCCCAAACGGTTCTCCAGCGAAGCATTATGGCTTACGGTAGCGTGCTTACTGCAGTGCTTGTCATTGTGGTGTGCGTGAAAAGCGGCTTTCAGACTTTTTTAATATCGAGGCTCTCCGAATCTCAAATGTGCTCCCCAGTACGGTTGAATGGTACGGAACACCTGGACCGAACTTGCCGGATGATGATAAAGGAATGGAACGGTGTTCTATCTGCCGCAAGACCTGCTTTAGTTGCTACGTACTTGCTAGTCATCACTTTTTTTAGCGGCGTGGTATTTAAAGCCGCGGAGTTACTGTTATGTTAGTTGCCTGAAATCTATTCCCTCGGTTATTTCTGTTTCTTTTTTTTCTGCTTTTCTCATTGCTTTTGAAGCTTTTTTCCTTTTCAAGCACTCAGGTTGCTTGCATGATTAGTTACGGCTGGACTGATGAGTAAGGGATCTACAATTTCAGAATCGCTTTTCGGGTGGTCGCAGGATCATTTTGCTTTACTTCTCTCTCGACCCACGTTGCGAAATTCAAGTCAACGTATACACAACTGTTTTCTCGAAATGCATTTCTACCGATTAATGAAAATAATCTGTGGAGCTCTTAAGACGTGCTTTCTCGCTTTGCACTGATGTACTCTCTTCTTTCCAAGCTCTTCACACGCACACAAGAAACGCCTACCGGACTTCGCAATGTGCGTGCTCGCACGTCTGTCTCTCTTTCTGGTGAAGTTGGCAGCACACAACGATTTGTTGCTCTGTGACGCACCAGATGTTGTTAGATGTACAAGTCAAATATTCTTTCAACCTTTTCGTTCCACCTTTCTCTCTTCTCTTCCTGTCCTTTTATCTTCTTTCCTCATATGTATTATTTTTCATGTGGCGGGATCTTGATGCAACTCTCATTGTATCAGTAAACCAATTCGTTTAAAGCGGGAGGGCCAATTAGCACTAGAACGTTCTTTTTGCGAGTTTTCACTTCAAAAAAAAGCTCTCCTTTTCTTACGCAGCTTTTGCAACGCTCGTAGTGCTTTGGTGTTTTTTTTCTTTTAAATCTGCTTTGTTGCGTCACTGCAGAGGTCGAAATCATCCTCTGCGCTCAGTAATTGTGTTAGTTTTCTTCGGTAGAGAGGCTTTTCTTATTTGACCGTTAACACAGCGGCTTCTCCTTTTATGGCATGCGGAAGTTTTTTTCCCCCCTTTCACAACATCAACATCTTTCACAGCGGCGCTAAAGGAGACAGTTGAAAACAAACTCGCAAGTTCGAAAGCTCTTCTGGATTTGTTCTTTTTGTTGTTAGAAAAGAGAAAGATCCGTTGAGAACCGCCAGGCGGCGGGCAACCAGTTGACATACCAAAAGATTCCTAGAATATACCACTACATAAAAAAGTCAAAGCTGAAAACTAGAGCGTCAAAAGAGGCAGCAAGGGCTTTTCTTTCCTTCTGTCTGCCTTCCGCACCGCAGTCGTTGCTTTGAATTTCTACCTATTCTTCAACCGCACCCGCTACATCTACTTTTCTTTCCGTCTGTTCGCTTGTTGTTTGCAGTTTTCATGCATGATGATGGACGCATGAGCAGTCAAATCGATCACACTCGCGATAGCGTCAATGACAAACCGGCTGGGGCTACAGATCAACACTTAATGTACCGAACGCGGTCAGGGGACGAACCGAGGTCACGTGCAAGTAATGGTCGTGATGCTCCCTCGCCGACTGCGGTCAATAGTACCAGTTCTCCTAGTGGCGACGGCAGCAAAGAAGCAACTGCTCTGTTTCGCGAATCAGCACCTACAGCTTCGTCGCCGGTTTTCTTTGCTCCGCCTTCTACCCCGTTGCCGCACCATAGGTTCCGTCGGAGTACCACGAACGCGATGGCGGCTGGTCGCCGGGTCTCGCACCGTAGCGCCTCTGCCCCCGGCCTTGAGGGGGATAGCAGAGGGCTGGAGCCGGACGGCCTGTCCTCGACCATAGACGTAGCGCAGCTGTCAAGCTCTCGCCCTTTTGGTCCTAACGCAGCGGACACCGATAAATACTCCTACAATGAGCCCACTAACCGTCTTCCACAAGACGCGCGGAGAAGTGGCAGCGGAGGGATCGACAGCGGGCTCTTCAGTTCCACGGTGCCTGGCACCCTCCCAAGCAGTAATGGACACGCTTTCAAGTACAACAATGTGCGCAAGTACGGCGGAGAGCGCCTTTTCCAGATTGACGACGACGACGTGGCTGCGGCGCTCTTGGTGGAGGCCCCTTCGGCGCTCATGGAGGTGGACCGGCGAACTGGATATCAATACCTGGGGCAGGGTGCACGCGTGCGCAGCGGCTCTGCTCCCGTAGGCGCGGAAACCGGCAGCTCTTCACCGCCGTTGCTGTCCCCCAACCCAGCCCGCCTCGACCCGGTAGCGCCGGCCACCATGGATGTCAGCACCACTGCCGCTGCGCCTGCCCCAGTGACGGTGGATGCGAAGCCGCGGAGGGAGAAGAAGCGGGGAAAGGAGGAGAAGAAGCGACGGCATCATTCTTCTCGCCGTTCGCGCACATCGGTGTCGGGTGTGTCGCGAGGCGGAAATGCCGAGACAGCCTCCGAGCCGATGGCGTCATCGTCCTCGGCCTGGTTCTCTGGCATGACCGCCGCGCAGCAAGTCCGTTTTGAGAGTCTGCAGGAGCGCAGCAATGCAGGGCATGAGCTGGCGAGGTGGAAGATGCTGGAGTTCATGCGACACTGGATGAGTGCGCAAGGAACGCGAAGCAGCGTAGATGCTGTCATTAGCGAAGTCCTCGCTGACGCGGGCCTTGTCAAGATAAAAGGGGCCTGGGGCAGCGCAGGCAGCGGGGCCAGCGGCCCCGGACTGAGCCCCGTCTCGCCTTCTAATAAATCCATTGGAGGTGAAGGAGCCGCAACGGTAGTGGAGGCGGCAGGAGCGGCAGCTGCGAATGGCGCCATGACCGCAAGCCCTCCCACCTCCGAACCACCTCCGGAAAAGGTGTCACCAAAGAACCAGTTGATTGCCAAAACGGCGACGCCCGCGACATCGGACGATGCGGCGCCGTCCGCCGGAGCCCAGACAACGGCACCGGCCCTGGAAGAACTGCTCGGCAAATTGGAGGATTCCACTGCAAAAGAGAAGACACCGCGATCAACGGTGGAAGGTGAGATTGCCTCCGGTCCGCCATCGTTGCTTGCGCTTGCCGATGGTGGTACGGTGAACAACGACGACGGCGCATTTACGTCACAAACGGTAGAAACGGCGTCGTCCGCGCTTCCTGTGGGCTCTGCGCTCGTTACAGCTGTGACGCAGCCGTCCGTCAGTCCCCACCGACGTCAATACAAGAAGGACGAAACGGCTGTCGTCACAGCGAAGGAAGGAGCGCAACGACAACAGTGTGTTGGCACCCAGGTGATTTTGACGAAAGAGGGTGGTGGTGGATCGACCGTCAAAAACGTCGACGAAGGCGAAGATGAGCTCCTTCAATCAAGCGCCACACCCAAAAAGCAAGTAGCGCCGGTGGCACGCAACGGCAGCGGGGCCTCACCCGAAACCGCTGCCGCATCCTTAAAAACTGACGCTTCTCTCGGCAAGATGAGCCCCCATAAGCCGCTCAGCGAGTCCACCACTCCGCAACGTACGCCCTCCGAAGCCCCACTTCGATCCCCCAGAGCGTTTGACTCGGCGGTGCGGCGAAGTCGCAGTAGAAGCACTTCACTCAAGGAGGCGGCAAAGCGGCAAGCGGCGACGTACGACGAGATCCCTCGCTTCTACTTTCCTCTTGGCCGGCCAACCACGAGCGCGCAGGCCATCAACGGGCCGCTGTCAAAGAACCACGAAAACCCGCATCTGAAAGTGATGGATGGGGTGCCGATTGCCGCCGCCATGTACGACGGCGAGGAGGGCGGCGGCCTGAACGCCAACGCTGAGGTCCTGATCAACGGAAACGGCGAGGACGCTGCCTTCTCAAGCGAAGCCCGCCGCGGTCCCAAGGTGGCACCGATGTCTAATTTGCACCTTCTCGAGGATAAGCACGTCGCCCACCACATTCAACGTGAGTTTGGCCGACTCCCGCCCTTCCCGAAGCACTCGTCGAAGGTGCGCTTACTGGGTGGGCGAGCCCGCAGCGGTACCCACCACAACAGCAACCTGTCCTATGCGAAGCAAGAGCTACTCTACAAACAGCAGTTTATTCAGTGCGCGCAGCGCGTCTGTTCTCAATGTTTCGGTGTTCCACGCTACTTCGCCTTCATCATACTGCGTCTCATCCAATGGATGGCAAACAACGGTGCAGTTGATGTGTCTGGAGAAGGAAGTCGGCCGCAGACACGGCACACCGGTAACAGTCGCATCGGCTCCTCCTCGTCTCTGCTGAGTCACACCACCAACGGCAGCAGCGGGGCCGGCTCCGGCTCTCCCTTCCTCTCCCTTTTTCACATCACGCCGCAGCACTTGAAAGACTTCTACGATGCTCATCTCAGAAACAAAGACGCGGTTCGTCGGGTATTTGATTTGCTCATTCTCTCGTCACGTTTGCCAAACTCCTCTGCGGCTGCGGCGTCACTCGCGGCCACGAACGCCGCCGCCGTCACAACGGTAGCCGATCAGCAGTCGGATGCTTCGACACCACGCAATTCAGAGGCCGCACTGCTGCGGCCCTATCTTCTTCCGAAAGACTTCGTTGCCTACATCGATGTCCTTCTCACTCAGCATCCTGGGCTGGCATTTCTGCGGCAGACTCCCGACTTTCAGACCAAATATCTCGACACCGTCATCTACCGCATCTACTACGAACTGGATCGCTTTGATCGGGGAAGCATTCGCTACGCTGAGCTTGCTGCGTCGCGGCTCATTGACGCTTTTCGCCAGGTCGACGCTGCGGAGGACATCAACTCCGTGCTGCTCTTCTTTTCCTACGAGCACTTCTATGTCTTGTACTGTCGTTTCTGGGAGCTGGACGAGGATCGGGACATGCTGTTGGCGCCGGAGGATCTCATGCGGTATGCCCCAGAGGACGTCATGAACCCCGCCATTGTTCAGCGTGTGTTTACCGGGGTTGGTCGTCGTTTGCGGTGCGCCGTCCCCCAGCGCATTGGGTACGAGGACTTTGTGTGGTTTTGCCTCTCCGAAGAAGACAAGTCAACACCACAGGCCATCCGCTATTGGTTCCGCGTGTTGGACCTGGACGGTGACGGCGTCCTGTCCGTGTACGAGCTGCGAGAGTTCTACGACGCCACACGCAACAAGATCGCGCAGTACGTGCAGGAAGGCCTTGTCACCTTCGAAGATGTGGTGTGCCAGGTGTTTGACATGATGCGCTGTCCGGAATACCGCGGGCTGTACCTGTGCGACCTGTTGCGCGAGCCGGAGGCGGCAGCGGTGGCGCTGAACATGCTCACGAACGTAGTAAAGTTCCTGCAGTTTGAGCAGCGCGATCCTTTTGTGTCGCATCAGGAGCGTCTTCTCGGCGGCCTGGAGCAATCTGCATGGGACCGCTTTGCCCGCCTGGAGTACGACCGCATGGCTCTCGAAACAGATGAAGAGGGCTGAGACCACTCCGGGAAATGGCGGAAGGAGAGAAGATCAAGGCGAACATGGGAAGAAGAAGGGAGACATGAAGTACCCGTGGAGAGCTCCTTCCTCCTCGACAATAAAAGAGATAGCGTCCGACGCTTGCTTCATTGTGGTGTCTCCTTTTTTTTCTTGTCTCCTTACGTTACGCCGAAAGTGCGTCAAGGACTGTTTACTATTTACTACTCCTGCTTTACTTCTAAGAAGCTGTGTTGAATGGTCGATTTGCGATGCTGTTGATACGTGGATGTGCAACGCCGTGGCACCTATTATCAGAGCCGTTTTTCGTTTCTTCGTGAGCAGCGTGCTCTTCTCTCTGGTCTTGACCCGTACAACTCTATTTTGACATACAAACTCCATGGTTTTTTGAAGTGTCTAAACGCCATCTCCTCTTCATTCGTTTTTAATTCCCTTTGTTTTTACTGTACGTTTGGGTTGACTGTTTCCTCTTTTCTCTAAGATGTATAGAACTTCTTTTGCGGTGCAGTTCACATAACTTCCTTATAGTACTGCGATCTCTTCTCGTTCTTTGTTCCATTTCATTTCATGGTAGAAGAGAGGAGTTTGAGCGACGGCAAGAAACACACACCCATGTGATACTGCACTTACAGTGCTCGACAAGCTATTCAGTGTCCACGCGAAATGCCCCTACTCGGTATGAGGGCGTTTGTCTCTGCGACTCGCATACACACAAACGCCCCCCAAAAAGAACACCTTAAAGCGGCATTCGCTTCTCCTTTTTTTTAAAGGACACAATTTTGGTGGTGCTGCTTTCTGCATCATTGGAGGAGAAGTGGCAGCGGCTTGCCGTCTGTAGAACAGCGAAGGAACTGTAAACGAGCCAATCAGCTCTGGTAAAACCGTCTATGTACCAGTTTAATTCGTACGTCATGGGAAGAGCGCTTTTGTGGCAAGGGGGCTTTCCGGACCACGCACGCGTCGCTATGCCAAAAAGAAGAAAAAAATAGTTCGTCTCGTGTCTGTGACATTCGTTTCCTCTCTGCACGCAACTTAACTCTCCCTCTCTCTTTCCTTTTTCTCTTCAAAAAACTACCTTTCCCTCCAATAGTCGACGCCCGCCCCAGCAGGCGCACTTTCGCTCCATTTTGGGTCCCCGCCGCAACACACGTCGTTCGCTTTGTTTCGATTCTCCTCTTTCTTCAGCACCGTCACCGAAGTCCGGCGCCACTGCACCCGTTGAATTAGGACAACCGCAGTAAAAACAGACTTTCTTCTTTCTCCATCTCTGCGCGCACACACACGCAGAAGGGAAAAGCCTGAATTGAAACGGGTGTTGTGACGGGCTGCTAGCGGATACGCACTTCGTAGAAAGTATCGCACCTTCATCATGCGTGCCGCTCTTTTTCTGCGGTGCCCAGTTGGTGCTGCCGGTGCAGCCGCCACCGCCGGGGCAGCAACGGCGAAAGCAGCGGAGGCCGCTGCAGGTAGTGCAGCACCCACAGGGAGTGCGAGCACGAAGGGCGAAACTCCCGCCACGTCCCCCCCACCCCTCCCTTCACCTCCTACAAAACGCGCAGGAGGGAAAACTGGACCACCGAAGACGCCGTGGCGCACCTTTACTTTTAAATCATGGCAGCTACACACCGTCGAGGATGCGGAGGCGCGGGCTACGATGCCCAAAACGGTTCTCTACCACGGCGAGCAGCTCGGACCTCGTCCTCTCATCATCCTCGACCACAGCGTGCCGGCTTCCCAACCGGCCTCGGCGGTGACCGATGCGTGTCTTGAGGCGTCGAAGAAGTTTGAGTGGATGGCCTCCTCGCTGTTGTGGGACCACGGCGTCGTCTACGTCCCGCTGCCCGTCTCGTTGGGGGAGGCGAACACGATGGAGCAGTCGTGCCGCCACGTCTGCGCCGTGCTGGACGCGCTGAACGTGCAATGGAGCCACGTGCTGTCGCACTCGTATGGCGCGCTGGTTGCTGCGCGCATGGCGGCGTCGACGGCGTACCCGCACCGCATCGGCTCCTTGTTGCTGCTCGACACCCCGCTGGTGACAGGGCAGCTGGTGCGCAACGCGAGGCAGCGCGAGGAGATCGCACAGGCCAAGGCGGACGTCAACGTCCCCCCCGCAGAGCTCTCCTTTGCCGTGGAGTCGCTAAAGGGCGACGCGGAGGCGACGTTGCCCTACCCAGCCGCGGCGGACGCGGACCTTTATGAGAACTATCTCTTCTGCCCAAAAGATATTCTGCGCGAGGAAGGTCTTGTGCGGGATGAGCGCCGTTACGTCCCTGTGCGACACCTCGCTCAGATTCACCACCCACTGCAGCTGCTTGTGCCGGCGAAGGAGCCGGTGACGGATGTGGCCGTCCACAAGGATTTCTTTGCGCTGCGACGCCCTGCGGTCGTTAAGAGGGCTGAGAATCACGAAGAGTTGTTTTCAGAAAAGTGCGCCGGCGAGGTGGCGGACGTCGTGCGGGCGTGGATGCAGCGGTTTGAGCCGGACTTTGTGTTGAAGCGACGCTTTGAGCAGGCGGCGAAGGAGCTAGGCCAGTTAATGGTCAGCGCAACGCCGTCGGAGAAGGCCGATGGTGCGGGTGAAAAGAAACCAGAGAAGAAAAAGGAGAAGAAAAAGAGCAAGCAGTAAAGCGGACTGTTCTCATGCAGGTTGGTGTTTTGTATTTGCTCTTAAACGGTGCTTGCCAACAGACGGATGCCGCCGCTTTGCGTATTGGGTCTCTCGACGTTGCGGTGTGCGATGTTGAGGTGCGTGTTTCTCCTTTTTCTTGATTCGGCGTCACTTTCTTGCAATTCGAGGTCAGTTGAATTGGTGGTAGCGATGTTGCTTGTCACACAACAAATTCTCTAAAAGCAAAGCCGAAGACGAACATTAGGCAAATTTCAACCAAAGTGAATAAACGGAAGGCTTGGTACACTCGATTGTTTCCTTACTCTTCACTTCTTCAGAAGATGTTCTTAGAAGGATCGGAGGGAAGGAGGGGGACGCTGCTTCCTCGTTGACTCTCTTTTCTTGGAGAGTGGGGACGGCTTGACGCCAGGGTTTTACGTGATGCAGGTGAGCGCCGCTTTATCGTTTTTAACAACACCTTTTGATCCACTACTTGGTGTTGCGTCCGTGGTGGCTGTTTTGGTTCGCATCTTGCACCGTTTCCAAAGGTGGTCAAAGGGAACCCCCGTGCAGAGACAGCATTTTTGTCTTACAACTGCTCTTTTCCTTGTTTCCACCGCTGCTGCTGTTCTCGTCAGCTTTCCCTTCCGTGTTCTGCGCTAAAACAACTCGACTACGCGTTTTCACCTTTTTTTTCTCACCCGCTGACTGTTACTCTAGTACTCCGTAATCAGTAGAGGATCTTACCGTTCCACTCCACAGCTTCTTACATCGTTCCACCTTCTCCAAACGTTCCCAGCACTCCATTGCTTTACAAACTGTATCTTTCTTAAGGCAAGCAGTACCCAACACGAATGGCTGACTCAGCGAACCGTGACCCCGTGGACTACGCGTCGACCAACTCCTCCGTTGTGGGGGCAGCGTACCCCCAAACGGCGCCGATCCCCTCCTCCCAGAATGCCGCAGCGGAGCACCCGACAGCCCACTCCCACACCGTCGAGGACCCTCTGTCCAATAGCACAGGAGCACCCGTGACGGCGAAGAAAACGTCCTCGGTGTACCGCATTCCTGGGAGCCCTACGGCAATGCACCCGCACCGCGACGAACCGAACCAGCACCCTAACCCAGCCCCTGCACCGCCCTCCAAGCCGGGGGAGAGCAACGCGCCACCATGCACGTCGTGGGCAACGCGGAACGCCGTAGCAAACTCGACCACGTCGAGCGTGGGACGCGGTCGTGAGTCTGGGGCACGTGCGGAGAGTGAAGGCCTCCCGCCGCCTGCCACGCAGTCCTCCATGCACCGACGCCGCGAGGTGAGTCAGACACCGGAGGAGCGGCGCCTCGGCAGCGGATCGCGCGCGTCTGCGCGAACCTGGTCGGAGAGCCGCACGGCGCGCGCCAAGAGCGAACCAGCGACGGCGCCGCCTTTTCAGCTGCTATCGGCCGGCCGCCCCGTGCCACAGCTGCCGCGGGAGTTGGAGGAGGCCATCACGGCGTACTACATGAGCCAGCTGCGTCAGCTCTCCGTGGCGGACCAGGAGCGCATCGTCTACGCCATGGAGGAACCGAGGGATGTGAAGGCGGTGATGACGTGCTTGAAGCAGCAGGATCAGGTCGGCAACGCTGCGTTTGGAACTGCAGCGGTTCCACCAACTGGCTCGGTGCACGCGACGCCTGTGCGGTCGCGCGGCAATGGCGTTCCGGCCCACCCTCTCCCTAAGAACGCACCACAATATGCTGCCAAGACATCGAGCCGCCGCCGCACCTTGCCGGAGTTCCACGTCGAGCCCCACCCCCCGCTGCCGCCGGGCCTCACGCGCGAGCAGCAGACGGCGGCGGTGCGTTTCCGGCATCACTTCACGGTCGAGGCCTGTGCCGCCTTCTTGGATGATGCATTGGATGTGTGCCTTGCGCGCCGCACGCGGTTCTACCAGGAGCAGCCGAGGATTGCAAAAGAGGAAGGCATTGTGTTGCCGGAAGAGCAGCTGACGCCTCTCTACATCCAGTCCGTGAGCTCGCTGCTGTACAACATGACTGGATGGACGCAGCCAGAGGCCCACACGCAGTCGCGGTTGGTGGTGGGCATTGTGCACAACTGGATGCCAGTTGTGGTGGCGCACCCCCCCGCTCAGCAGGACTCAGCGAATGAGCCGCAAGCCGCGACCGCGCCGGCTTCACAGGCGAAACGTCCACCCGTTCCGATGGCGCCTCGTTCCAACGCTCCGCAGCCTGTTGAGGCAGCGTAATTAGAGAGAAGATGTCGGGTTAGTATGCAAATGATTGAGAGGTCAAAAGGCAAAGCGAAAGGAAAGAAATGCAGCGAAAGAGCGGTGTTGTGGCGGTTTGGCAAGTGTACTTAAATCCCTCATCTTTCTATATGCTGTTCTCTTCTACATCATTGTTTAGACATGCGTTTTAGAGTGGGTGGGTAGGGTGCGAAGGGGATTGACTGCTATTCCATTGGGCTGTTAGATTCAAGAATATTATTGTCACCAACGCTCTTATTTTGAGAGAGACACAATGCAGGCGCGTTTCATGAGTATCGTGGTGTTTCTCGCCCTTGCCATATATATTTTTTCTCATTGTTTTCAAAAAGCCCTTCTGCACTTTTACGTATTCTCGTAAGCTTTGTTTTTGTTTTTCCACTTTTTTCTCGGTATCAGTCTACCCCCCCCCTCCTTTGTCCCTTCGTTTACTCTCCAACAACGGCGCTGCTGTTGACATGCTGTGCTTTTCTCTTTTTTATTTGTTCGCCATATACACCTGCTTAACAACAATTACACGCGTACAGACAGTGCACACACCTCCTCCGCGTCGTGTGATGGATCGCACGCATAGCTGTCTCGTGCCGCCTTCGTATCCTGTACAAGCTAGACAAAAAAAAAACCATTATACACAACAGCGACCGATGATGATTTTCAAAGCTGCGTTTTCAGGGTTTTTTTTGTACTACCTGTGCTGGTTGAGAGGCTAGTTTGTGAGCGTCTCTTTCCTTTTCTTTTTTTTCTTTTAGCGTGTCATCCAGCAAGGTTTCTACCGACATGTTTTCTATTGTACGTGACCATCTATCTGTTTACGGCATTCGAAGCTGGTTGTATAGACGTCGAATGACATTTTACGTTTGCGTACCATTGAACGCCTCTCCTTTCTTTTTTCTTTTTCATTTTCTTTCTGCCTGTGCTTCCGGTTGTTTGACTTCTTCTTGACGATTCCTCTTCCTTCTCGCACGATTCTGTTTTCTGTTGAAAGGGAGTTGTGGCTCACCGCAGAGCGAGCAAAAAACAAGCAAACTTGCAGTGAAAAAGAGAACTCCAGGATTAAATCTATGGCAACCAACGGCGTTTTTTTCTTTTCTGGATGCTGACTCACCAGAAAAATACCGGGTTTACACACTACATCGCGAGCACTTGTTTTGCGCATCCGCACCTTTGTGTCACCGCTGCTCTCTTCTCCTGTGAGTGCACCGCCGCGGCAGACGGAAGGCAACGCTTTGATCTTGACGTTAATGCTCTGTGCGCCACATCTAATGCGTGCAAGAACGCCTTCTATCAAAGCTTGACAGCCGGCAAAAGGATGCCAATCGAGCCTTCTTCCTGGTCCTGCGCGCACTTGCCAAGAATGCCAACGTAATGCAGATCAAATATCTGTCTCCGTTGAGTGATGGACCTGCTTATGCGCTATTCTATTGGCTCTTTCTCTCTTTTCTCTTTCTTCGTTTTTCTCCCGCCCTTCACTTCACATACACGTTTTGCCTCTGTCAGAAGATTATTCGCTTCTCCGCCTCCGTATTTGCCCTTCGTCTGTCCTTCGTTATCCATATTTTTCTACCGAGTAAAATGTCTGCCGCTAACTTCGAGGCCGCCGTGGAGTACGTGCGTTCCCTCCCCAAGGACGGTCCGGTGCAGCTGGACAACAACGCCAAGTTGGTGTTCTACTCCCTCTACAAGCAGGCGACCGAGGGGGACGTGAAGAGCTCGCAGCCGTGGGCGGTGCAGCTCGAGGCCCGGGCGAAGTGGGACGCGTGGAGCGCGCGCAAGGGCATGAGCTCCGAGGCCGCCAAGGAGGAGTACGTGAAGCAGTTGATCGCGGTCACCGCCGAGAAGGGCCACCCGTGGAACCCCGCGTAGGTTTCACTTCGCAAACACGCTCACCCTATATAAACTTATGTGCATTCGCTATTCAAAGTGCTTTCTAAGAACTTGGATTTTATGGAGCAAAACACTCACTCGTAAAGGAAAAGAAATGAAGAGTCGGTTTGTATTGTGCTTCCAAAAAGAAAACAACAACAACATGAAGGAACATGACAAAGAACAATGAACTTGAGAAGTCTAGTTGACGCGGTGGTGTAGCGAGAACGGCGGCCACTGCGTCGATCAAACAGCTGAGGCGGTGCGCTTCTCACGCAGAAACGTAAGGAGCTCGTTTTCTTTCCCTTCCCCCCCCCTCGCCCAACACGTTGCAGAAGGGAAAGGAGGGAGGGGGACGAAGGGAAGGAGGGAAGGACAGCGTTGATGCATATGCCCGAATAATGACGGTGTCGCTTTTTTCTTTTTCTCTGCTGGTAATGCCAGCGGAAGCAAGAATTGCGAGATGGAAGCTCTCGCGCACCGTCGAGGACTCGTCAACGCAGACAGTGACATCAAGAAGAATATGCACGCGAAGCGTCGTGTCTAAATGGAACTAGTGAAAACAATGTGGTTGTTGTGTATCCAGAAGTGCTGCGAAATGATTCTTCTATTTCTCACTTCTTTTCTAATCTTTCCTCTCCATACGCATCACAATAATAATAATAATAATAATAATAATAATAATCGTAAACATCCTTCGACTCTCACCTTTTTGATTTTCTCCTCCATCTGTAGGGAAGCATTCCAGGCCTTTTTATTCGCTGCTACCACAAAAGCTGTCCTGCTCACTTCATCCCACAATATATATATATATATTCTGGGAAAAGCTGTATATTCGTTCACCATGGCGCAGAAGGACACCATTATTTTTCTCGACCTGCAAGAAGGCGCCGTGAAGAGCATCCGCGGCGATGGCTCTGACGTGAAAACACTCTTTGCAAAGGACTGCGTCTGCCCCGACGGCATCACCCTCGACCTTCACGAGTACAAGAAGTCGAAGGACCCTGCCGACATCGTTGTCTGGTGGAGCAACATGGGCGCGGTGAAGCTCGTGGAGGACGAGAGGGACCGCGGGGACTGGCACGCCGCGGATGGCTTCCCTGTACGCGCTGCCCTGTACGGTGGTGACGAGACAGTGCAGCGGGTGGAGGTGAAGTTTCCCCAGCGGCTGATCTGCGACGGCGCCGCGTACAAGGCGGCCAGCGAAGGACCCCTCATCACCACCATGAAGCAGATCGCCCTGTAGCAGGATGGCAAGGCGCTCTTCTTCTGCGACCGCGAGGGCCACCGCGTGCAAAAGTACAACGTCGAGACGCACGAGGTGGTGCCGGTGGTGTCGGCGGATGCGCTGATGGAGGTGGAGGCGGGCCTCACCGAAGAGCAGGCCTCTGCCATGCCCCTCGCCAAGCCCAACAGCGACGAGGACAAGGCGCGTTTCTGCGTCGGCATCACGCTGGATGAGCCGCACAACCACATCTTCTTCACCATCAAGGGCCCCTCGAAGGGCGGTAAGGGCCGCATCCTCGCCGCTCCCTACTACTTCAAGCGTCGCAACTTGCCGTCCGTCACAGCGGCCACCTCCTCGGCTGCGGAAGGCGTCATCGACCCATCCCACGTCGTGACGCTGCACCGCAACCTGCCGGAGCCGATCGACCTGCTGCTCGATGCGCAGGGCGGCTACCTCTACTGGACAGACCGCGGCGATGACGCAGCGGGCGGCAACTCGCTCAACCGCGCCACCGTGTCGTACCAGCGCAACGGCCAGCCGCAACTGGGTCCGGTGGAGGTGCTTATCACCGGCTTTACGGAGGCGATTGGCTTGTCGTGGCCCTTCAGCCACCTCGAGAGCATCGCAGCTTCGGCGGCGAGTGATGAGAGCCTGCGGAAGCACATCTACGTGACGGACATGGGCCATCTCTGGCGCTGCGATGTAGAGGCAAAGACGAAGGAGGCCGTTTACGAATGCCCTGAGGGACACTTGCTCACTGGGTTGGAGGCGGTGCGTTTCGAATAGGTAAACCGTCGGGAGGGGTAAAAACAGAAAAGACAGTTTCTTTTTGTCTTCTTTTCTTTACTTGTATACTCTTGTTGTAGCACGACCCCTAGCGGGGTCCCATTGTCTCTATCGCGCGTCTGTCTCTCATGGAGTTGCTTGATGGTACGCATAGCTGGGCTTTGGTGTGTGTGTGTGCGTGTGAGTGCACTGCGGTGTATTTCACTGTTCTTTCCTTATTTTTCTCGTTATAATTGTCGTGTCTTTCCCTCCCCCCTCCACCCCTGACCATCAGTATTTTAAAAAGGTATATATACCTTTCACCCTCCCCATACAAACAATGACTGGCGGGGTTTTTTTTTTCGATGCGTACTTACGTCTTCACGCCATAACGTGCAGACCTACATAACAGCCGTTGTGCGTGGGATGGAAGCTGCTTTCTCTTTCGCTTTCTCCGTTTTTTGTTTTTCGTTTCCTACTTCACCACCTAGGTAGTGCCTCATGGGCAACCTTCTCAAGGCATCGGTAAAATCATTATTATTGTTTTTTCTCTCTCAGTTTGAATCTCTCCAACAACAAAAGACAAAACCAGTTCTCGTTTTCTATTTGTTTTTCTTTAGGTGTCGGATGATGACAACGACTATTATTATTATTATTATTGTTTATTTCGCCCTCTTTCCTAGTTATATATACATGTTTAGCCTCATTGTTTATATTCGATCGTTGAAGACAAAACAAAAAACAAAAAACAAACAAAAATCAGCAGCAGCAGCAAATAATCCTTAATGGCGTAAAAACGTTGGCGATGCACGTACTCCCAACTCTCCTGTTGCGGGCGAATGTTCTGTTTTTGCTTTTGAATGCAACCACCCAGTTATTTCTGCTCGCTGCTGTGAATATTACGCTAGAGACGTACACAGCGTTCTTTTTAAAGATCTTCCCCTCCTTCAAGGTGGTGTTGTGAACGAGGCGTTTCTCACAGTGGCGTGCATTCTCCTCTCGCAACAACTCAACTCCCTTCTTTTTTCTCTGCTCCGTTGCATGGGAGTTTGGCGATCGCCAACGTTTACCGACGCACGCATCAACCAAACGAATTAATAACAAGAGTACAACTTCTCGTGCGGCTGTCACACAAAACTCATTAAGCACACACACACTCAAAGCTCTCTGTTGTCTGCTGTGAAGTAAACAAACCGACCCACGAACATCACACAAAGCAACCGTCTCAAAAATTCGCGATGTCTGCTGCTGACTTCAACGCCGCCGTAGCCTACGTGCGCACCTTGCCGAAGGGAGGACCTGTCCAGATGGACAACAACACGAAGCTGGCGTTCTACTCCCTTTACAAGCAGGCGACCGAGGGGGACGTGAAGGGAACGCGTCCATGGGCGGTCAAGGTGGAGGCTCGCGCGAAGTGGGATGCCTGGAGCGCGCGCAAGGGCATGAAGCCTGCAGAAGCGAAGGCGGCGTATGTGAGGCGCCTCATTGCGGTGTTGAGGTCGAAGGGCATCAAGTGGCCACCAACTCCGAAGACGCAGAGCAAGCTGTAAGGCGTAGGTAAAAACAAACAAGCAAACCAATGAATGCCCTCCGTACGGTAACATGCAGGTTCGCGCTCAAGATGTGCACTCCATCGCCCCCCAAAATCAGAGCAGACACATGTTGTAAATATCAAAAAAGGAAAAGTAAAATGGAGCTGATCCTAAATCGGCTTTGACGTTCATCGCGCTGTGGCAGAGACAACTGCCTACAGCGTTTCCTCCCCGGTTGAGTAAGCGCCTCTGAGTTACGCAGCTAACTATTTTCGTGCCGAGACACCTGCTGGCGTGCGGAAGAGTAAAAAAGGGTGTTTTTATCACCATCTGCGTTTAAGTTGCAAAAGGCGTCCCCGATGATAACCCTTTCTTTCTCATAGAGAATCGAGCATCGGATGCTTCTCTTATTATTATGTGACTCTCCCGCCTCTGATGCCCCCAAATGCGTTGATCACGTGTTTCTTGCAAAACCCCGGTCTTCTGCCTTTTGCGTTCTTCTCCGTGTGCCCGTTACCTGGTCGTACGCACCCGTCAACACACACGCACGCAACGGGAACACACCACGTAGTAACTAACCCTCGCCTTCTTTGTTTTTAGGTTCTCGTGCACCATCACGGCGCTACGCGCATCTTTCTTTCCTATATATTTTTTCTCCCAGCTGTTCTGCTTTCTCTTCTCTTTTCCGTTTTAACTTCTCAAGGTGCTCTGAAATACACTTCAGCAAGCATTGTGATGAACGTGTTCTTTGGGGCCTTTTTTGGCCAGCGAAGGAAGTCGGACGAGCCGATGAAGCCCGTTGTGGATCCGGCCACCATCGTAGAGCCTGTCGACTTCTTCGGCCCCGCCTTTCCCTACGAGCAAGGCTTCAAGGAGATCGATGCGTACATCCGCACGTTGCCGGCGAAGGGCTACGTGCCGGTGTCGGACATCCTGCGCCTGCAGTTCTACTCTCTCTACAAGCAGGCGACGCTGGGCGACATTGACGAGAGTAAAGTGAAGCAGCCGAGTCTGTTCCGCGACTGGGAGGGGTACTGGAAGGTGGTCGGGTGGCGCAAGTGCAAAGGGATGCCGCGGGAGCGTGCACGCGACTTCTACATCGAGCTCTTCGACGCGCAGGTTAGGAAGCACTCGAAGGTGAAGTGGGGCGCGCCGCTGGCAGAAGATCGCTGGGCCGCGTTCTACGACGGCGTGCAGCGGATTCAGAATCTGCCCAAGAACGGCTACAACATCTCCGACCAGCTCCGCGCTCACGTGTACGCCATGTTCAAGCAGGCGACTGTTGGTGACCTGAAGGCTTTTCAGAAGAGTGAGGCGGCGCGTGCGAGCAGGTACAAGTGGCTGCGCTCGCGCCCAACGAAGGCCGGCTTCGACCAGTTCCGCTACGACGAGTGGCTGAAGCTGGCGGGGATGTCCACCGAGCACGCAAAGCGGCTCTACTGCAAGGAGCTGTTCCACGAAGCCGCCCTGTACGGCTACGTCTGGGACCCGCCGGGCACGGAGGGCCACCTCGAGGTCATCGGCGACCAGACCTCTGCAAAGAACTTCAAGCGCATCGACAGCGAGACGCTGAGGCGGCGGCTGTGGATCGAGCACCCGTCGAACGACGCGGACGCTCCGCTGGCAGAGATTGAGGGGGCGGGCGTGAAGCTGTCGGGGGTGGAGAAGGTTGCCTTGAAGAAGTTCCTCTTTAAGGAAAGGAAGGTGCTGGACAGCAAGGCGGGCGACCCCAACAAGAAAACAGCGAAGTCGAAGGAGGTCGCGGCAGAAGCGCTGGCGATTTATATGCCGGGGAAAGCAGAAACATGCAGCATCGCGTCTGACAAGTTCGTCGACCCGAACGAGGCAGTGGAGCTTTTGTCCGTGCCTTCGGTTGCTGCGGATGCCGGGAAGGAGCCGAAAGGGGCGGACAGCGAGGAGGCCGGCGAAGAAGAAAACGGCAAGTCGCTTTCGGCCGAGGAGGGAAAGTCCGCTAGCAAGCCGGACACGCCGGCGAAGACAGCACCAGCAAAGGAAGACCAGGCGAGCGCCACGGCCAGCGCTGCGCCGAAGGAACCAGCGAAAAATTCTGCTGAGCCGACGGCCAAAAAATCGGCTGCTGCGGAGCCGGAGAAGACTGCGAAGACGTCGTCCGCGAGGCACTGTGTAGTCACCAAGAAGAAGAATGCCGGAGCGCAGAACGGCAACAAGACGAAGAAGTAAAACAAACGTGCGAAGCCGAAGCGCACACCTTTTTTTCTTCTTAATGCTAAAGCATCGTTTCTTCACCGCGAAGTGGTGCCGATCGGGTCATACGCTTCTTTTGCCTGCTTACTTCCGTTTAGTCTGCTCTCTGGTTTCCGCTTCCGCAATCGATTATCACCGCTAAAAGAAGGAAAAAATGAGAGAAGAGCGCACGCTTTTTCTTCCCCCATCTCATTCAAGTTTTCTCTTTCATTCATCTCTGGATCCGTGGCTTTTGGAGAGGAACATGCAAACGCACGCGTGATAAAAGCGCATGTGTTGGGCTTTGATTGTTTCTGTGAGAAAAAACAACTTTTTTTTTTAAAGTATCTTCACTCGTGCGCTCTGATTCGTAAGAAAGGACCCTACGAGTTTTATGTGTATTTTTGCCTTTGTTGTTGTTATCAACCATTGTTATGTGTTATTTTCTTCTCTCCCTCCCTTTTGTTCAACGCTAGTCTTTTTCATTCTTTCTCTTGGGTAGACGCATGAAGCGTTCTTAGTGAACTAATCTGATCCATCTCTCTCTCTCTCTGTGTGTGTTGTGTGTGTTGTCTTGTTGATCTTTGTTTTCCTCTGTGGTTTCTTTAGTATATTTATTTCCTGTTTCCGCCATGTGCACATCGTTGCGATCTTGTCTTCCTTTCTTTTTATTTATTTTTCCGTTTCCGTTGAGTCTGTCTGTCTCTCGCTACGTCCTCCCCTCTTTTCTAGCTGTCGCGCCAAAGGCGCAGCGAAGGACGACGCGCTGCATACCCCCGAGAGAGAGGGGAAGTACAAACAGACAAGCAAACAAATGCACGGCTCAATCTTACCACCCACCTCGCTCTGCGTTGATGCACAGGGTGGCTGTGGTGCGAAGATGCATTTTTGGCCCAACAGTATCTGGGTGTGGGAGTTGCGTTCTACTCCCACTCATTCTTCAATGCACGGAGCCGACAAGCCATGCTCTCTTCTGGGAATATATATTTATTTATATGTCTTTTTTTTTTTGATCTGAAGTGGCGGAGTGCCAAAATCGTGGCAGCCGTACGTTGCTTCGCGCTCAAGAGCAAAACAGCCAACGAAACCAAGAGGCCACACGTTGTGCGAAGCGAAGATCGGTGTCCCGAGCGCTGGTGGTATGCACCCACGCAAAGATACACTCACCAGAGAAAGAAGGAAGACCGGCAAAGACCGAACCGGGAGGGAAAGTGCAAGACGGAGGCCGGGCTCAGCAGCTACCGGGGTTGCCGGAGCTCCGTCTTTGAACACCCTTCTTTTTGTTTAGCGGCGGATTGCATTGTTAGGCACTTCCGCTGCAAAAACGACTGCTTCCGCTGTTTGTAGCACACATCGTCTCCACCCTCCTCTTATTCTCCTCCTTCCTCTTTGCTCACCCAATATACGCAGCGCCTGCGCACGTGTGTTTTTTATTTATTGCCACTCTTTCTTTCGAAGTCACAGAATACAGTTTTTTTTTTCTTCACCTCTTACGCTCTAACTTGCACTATCGGAAGAGCTATTATCCGATTTTCTTTCTTTTCTCTTTCTCTCGCCGTGAATCTGTCGGAAGTCGTCTCGTTCTTTTGAGCTGCGTGCGTGTTGAACCCCCACGCGGTTTGCTTCATCCACTAAGAGAGTTGAAAGAAGAGAGAGTTTGCCGTCGGCGGAATTCCTTTTTTTTCTTGTGTGAAGTACGGCTTCTCTTCACCGTCTTCTCCGGACGCACCCGAGAGGGAGAGAGGAATAATAATAAAAGTAAAAAATAACTTCAATTCCGATTCGTTAGCGAAATAAATCGGTTTATGTCGACGAAGGAGAAGGCGGGGAATAACATCGAATTTACTGCTTTGCATTTCAGAGAGCTCACCTTTTTCGCATCCACTGCTTCTCACTCTTCCCCCCAAGAAACACAGCGCTGTCTTTTTTTAAACATCCGCAGTTGTTCCGTTGACCTTCTCTTCTTTTTCATTTTTTCTTATTGTCGGGACTGTGGTTACGTTGCTCTTAAGCTGTTTTTTCTTTTTCTTCTTCTCTAAATTTATTAGTCCGGTGGAACAGCGGGTTTACTAGCCGCTGTTGCACATCTTTGGGGTGTGAGGTTCTTCTGCAGACGTCGTGAAGCTGCCACGCAGCCCTTTTCTTTTTACAGTTCTTTGTTGTGCTCTCTCTCTCTCATATATATATATAGCTTTATTGTTATTATAATATTATTCTTCGAAAGTGTTTAGATGAGCAGCCCCATTTTCCCCGCGATGGACAGTAGCCCGTGCGAGAGGGCAGGCGATACGTCCGATAAGCCAGCGAAGCGGTCAAGCTTCACCATTCAGCCCGAGGCGCTGCATGAACTCGTCAACGAAGGCAGCGAAGGGACCACGAGGCGACTGGCCAGTCTGGGCGGGCTGGAAGGACTCGCTGCGCACCTCAAGACGGACCTCGCGAAAGGCATCGACGTGAGCAACCCCGCGGCGCTGGCGGAGCGGCGGGCGGCCTTCTCCGTCAACGAGCTCCCCGCGGCGGAGGAGACGAGTTTCCTCGACATGGTGCTGGAGTCACTAGAAGACCGCATGATGCAGATCCTCATCGTCAGCGCGGTGGTGTCTCTCGTGCTGGGGCTTACTGTGCCGGACCCGGCCACCGGTTCGGTGGACTACCGCCACGGCTGGATTGAGGGGGCGGCCATCCTGTTGTCCGTCACACTGGTCACCTTCGTAAGCAGTGTCAACAACTACCAGAAGGAGCAGAAGTTTAAGGAGCTCACGAAAGCCACCCCACCTGTAAAAGTGCAGGTGATTCGATCCGGCACGACGGTCGAGATTACGGATAAGGAACTGCTCTCGGGCGATCTGCTGACGGTGGCAGGGGGCGACGTGCTCACCGTGGACGGTGTTGTGCTGCGCAGCACGTCGCTGAAGGTGGACGAGTCCGCTGCCACGGGCGAGAACGACGACGTCCCCAAGTCGGCGCACGGCGATTACGTTCTGCGGTCCGGCACCAACGTAACGGAGGGCGAGGGCACGATCCTCGTCATGGGCGTCGGCGTGCACTCCTTCGCAGGGCACATCGCCATGCAGGTGCGCCAGGCGAAGGAGGAGACGCCGCTGCAGGAGAAGCTGACGGAGCTGGCAGACCTCATCGGCTACTTTGGCATGATCGCCGCGGGCCTCATGTTTGTGCTGCTCAGCGGAAAGGAGTTCTTGGACACGGTGGTGTACCGCAAGCACCCCATTGGCTACAAGAAGTACCTCGACAACCTGACGACGGCGGTGACGATTGTGGTGGTGGCCGTACCGGAGGGTCTGCCGCTGTCGGTGACGATTGCGCTGGCCTACAGCATGAAGCAGATGCTCAAGGAGAACAACCTCGTGCGCCACCTCGCTGCCTGTGAGACGATGGGCAGCGCCACGACGATCTGCACCGACAAGACTGGCACCATCACGCAGAACGACATGTGCGTGACGGACGGCGTGACGTCATACGGCACTGCCTACGTCGTCCCACGCAAGATGGCGGACGGGAGCAGCCGGCCGCACTCCTCGTCTCCCTCTGAAGTGACAGTATCATCCACATCATCCGTCTCAGCGACAACACGATCGCCACCGCAACAGCAGACCGTCGACATCCTCAACACCTCCGCGGTGGCGGGGGTGCGGCAACTGCTGATGGAGTGCATCACCATGAACACGAAGTCCACCCGTACCCTCATCGAGTCCCCGCGGGCGCAACACGCCAGTGTGCGGCTGACGGGCAGCAAGACCGAGCAGGCCTTGCTCAACTTCGTAGACGCCCTCGGCGAGGACCCGATGCAGCTGCGCACACAGCGGCTGGGTACACTGCAGAAGGCCAACACGCAGCTCATCTCGTCCCCGTATACACCGATACCGTGGCCGGCCGGGCAGCGCAACAATGTCGTGGCCGCTGCCGCCACCTTTACCATGGACCTGCACCTTTACCCCTTCACCTCTGCCCGGAAGCGTATGACGACGGCGCTGATGCTGCGCGCGGAGAACATCGTTCGGTACTACGTCAAGGGTGCCAGCGAGCTGATCTTGGCAGAGTGCAGCCACACCTTCAACGCGGCGGGCGCGCGCGTGGCGGTGTCGCATGAGGTGCGAGTGCAGCTGGAGGAGGCCATCATGGCCATGGCTCGCCGTCAGCTCCGCACCATTGCGGTGGCCTACGCAGATCACCCCATCCCCTTCCCCTCCTCCGCTGCCGCCAAAGGGGGCGGGGCGAGCGGTGACTTCACGGCATCGCCCTTCGTGGCGGACGACACACAGCTGGAGGGGCTGACGCTGCTCGGCATTGTGGGCATTCGTGACCCGGTGCGGGCGGAGGTGCCGGAGGCCATCGCGCAGTGCCGCCGCGCCGGCGTCGTGGTGCGCATGATCACCGGCGACAACAAAGCCACCGCCGTCAGCATCGCCAAGGAGGTCGGCATCTACGGCGAGGTGTGGGCGGGCCCGGCGCAGGGGGAGCAGGGACTCGCCCTCGAGGGCCCGCAGTTCCGCGAGCTGGCGCGGAGTGCGCGGAAGCTGAACGCGATTCTGCCGCGCCTGCAGGTGATCTCGCGTGCGTCGCCGCTGGACAAGCGCATTCTCGTATCGGCGCTGATGCAGCGGGGCGAGGTGGTGGCGGTGACCGGCGACGGCACCAACGACGCACCGGCGCTGAAGGGGGCGAACGTCGGCTTCTCCATGAACTCCGGCACCGAGGTGGCGAAGCTGGCCTCGGATGTCGTCATCCTCGACGACAACTTCAGTACCATCGTGACCGCCATGAAGTGGGGCCGCAACGTGAACGATAACATTTCGAAGTTCCTGCAATTCCAAATGACGGTGAACGTGGCGGCGGTGCTGGTGTCGTTTTTGGGCGCGCTACTTGACGGCAACGGCGAGTCGCCGCTGAAGCCGGTGCAGCTGCTGTGGCTGAACTTGATCATGGACACGCTGGCCGCCCTGGCGCTCGCGACGGAGACGCCGTCGAATGAGGTGCTGCTGCGCTCACCAAAGGCGAAGGCGGCCCCGCTCATCACGCGGCGCATGTGGCTGAACATCGGCGGCCAGTCCATCTATCAGATTCTTCTCCAGCTCTGGCTGATTCACGGCGGCGCCGGCTACTTTGGGCTCGTCCAGGACTCCGAGGAGCACTTCACCGTCGTGTTCAACACCTTTGTGCTGCTGCAGCTGTGCAACGAGTTCAACGCCCGCCTCCTTGGCAACGAGATGGTTGTGTGGCACAACATTCGCCATGCGCCGATGTTTCTCCTCGTCGTAGGGAGCACCTTTGTAATTCAAATTTTAGCGGTGCAGTACGGCGGGGCGTTGATGCGCTGCGTGCCGCTCTCGGCGGAGCTCTGGAAGAAGTGCTTCCTGCTGTCTGTGGTGCCGCTGCCGTTGGGCATCCTCCTGCGCCGAATGAACATTCACGAGAAGACCGTACCGCCGCCGCCACCGATCGTCGATGAGGCGGAGGAGGCCGCCCTGCAGCTCGCTGAGAAGCAGCGGACCCGTCCTACGTTGAGAAAAGCTGCGGCCACGGTGTGCGCACAGCTGCGAGTGGTGAGGGCGTTCCAGTCCAATATGCAGGAGCGCAAAAAGGCTCGCATCGCGTAATGGCGAGGCCGTGAGAGCGGGCGAAACAAAACGGAGAAGGAGCGAATGCAGAAGAACAAAGGAACCGAATATTAATGGGGGTGTACATCACCTCCGCTCTGTTTGCTTCCGGTTCATCCCGTGGAACCTGCTTTGGTGCGGTGGGGGTGTTTCGTACGCTTTTCATCGTCTGTTGTTTTCGCTGGGTGATGTCAGCGAATAGAAGCTCTTTGTTGATTCCGGCGATGATGCTGCTTGTATGTTGCTTTTTTTTTATTATTATTTCTGTTGGCACACAGAAAGGATCGTTGATTGGACGTAATCCTTCGTAGGTGCGACCTGCACTTTTTTTTTTTAGAGCTTGCGCCAGGAAAAAATCGCCGGGAGATGAATCGAAAGCTTCATGTTGTACTACTATCCCTTTCTCTTCTCTCCTCTCCAGTCGACCTTTTTCCAGGAAAGGCTGTTTTCTTTTTTTTTTCCCACCGTCCCGCCCCTTTTCCAACCCCACGAGGTGGAAATGCAGACGATCTGAGTCTGCAAGAAACTCCCTTTCGTAAAGTTCTAATTGGTTCTAAAATAAATATAAAAAGAAAATAAAGCCGTCTACCCTTAAAGGAAAATGAAAACGATCCAGGGATGTAACGACACTGTTTTGCACTTTATTGATCTTTCTCCTTTCTCCTTTCTTCTTCCTTCCTTCCTGATCTGAGAGTAGTCGACTAGAGTTTTTCCTTGCTATTCCTCACTGTGCGACTCTGACGGTTGTTGACATTATTCCTGTGCTCTTCGTGCGACTTTAATCACTTCTTTCTGCAAAGCGCTGCTGGTGCATTCTGCATAAGAAAACCAAAAGCACAACAGCCAAAGCGCCCATCATGACGAGTACGAAGGCACGTCCTATCGACTTCTGTGCGTGTACCTGCGCCGCGTACGTGTGTGCGTGTGTATGTGTGACTTCTCTCACCTACCAACGGAGTGAGCTCAGTAGCAGCAACTGCAGACGCTGTTGATTTCACGGACGCGTTCACTGCCGTTGCGATGACGGACATTTCCCTCCCGACGCACCGCCGTCGAATGTGCGTTGTTCTTTGCAGCGCAGACTGTTTCGCGACACGTCTTCCGCTGCCTCCGTGCCAGTGGCAGGCTGAGTGGAACGAGTAATAGGAATAGTGAAGGGTGCCGAAGTGTGGCTGAGCACACACGGACTTGCCGGCTCATCGCACATGAGTTTATGTTTTTCGTGCATCATTCATTGTTCCCTCCCTTCTCCTCTTTTTACTCTTTCCTCTCTTGTCTGCACGTCACTGCGGTCTCCACGTGGTCACGTCACGTCTCGGGAAGCGCGGCTGTTGCTGGTCGGACAACTCTGTGTGTGTGTGTGTGTGTGTGTGACCCTTTCTCAATGATTGAACCGTACGTAGCAAAGCCGTCCCGTATTCCCTGCATCGCTTCTTTCTTTTTTACCCATTGGACGTGCAAGATAGACTTAGATGTTGCACGCACCCCTTTCGGTAGATCGAACAAACGATAGAAGCTCATACATGCGAAACAGAACCTGACCTGTTTTGAAAAAAAAAATTAATCTGCGTAGTGCCGATGAGAAACGATGCGGAGCCGTCGCGGCCGCGCGTGTGTGTTGCCTTGCGCTGGAGGGAGTCGCGCACCTTGGAAGATGCGCCGCACGCAGAAGACGCTGACGATCAATCTCCGACAAACTCACCTTGCTCCCTCAATGCTTCGCGTTTGCGTGTGCTGCGGCGCCGCGGCGACCACTACGGTCCTCCGCGCCTTGTAGCCGGCGGTGTACACGCGGACATGAAGGGTGGCAGTGAGGACGCTGCCGTGGTGGTGGGGTTGGGAATGTGGGCACCATTACCTGCGAATCCTTCGCTTAAGCGGCGGGCTCCTCCTTCTCCTTCGCTGCAACGCGGTGTTGAGACGGCGGTGCAGACACCTTTCATATCCATCGAACGGCTCCCCGCTGCAGCCTCCCTTTCCCACGATGAGGGCTTGCAGCACTCTCGAGCCACACCTAACGAGAAGCATTCTTTTATCGCGGGTGGCTTCTCACCGCGATCGCATCCATCGCCTTCCGCGCCGCCACGATACTCCGATGCGGATCTCACACTCGCACTGTCTGAGCGGATTGTGGCCGAGCTAACGGAGTCGTTGTCTTCTTCTGCGTCTTCCGCACCGGTGCAAAAGAGCAGGGTGGCTCCCGTGCAGCATCGAGAAGTTCTAACCTTCGCGATGGGCATTCAGGGGAGCGGCAAGACGTCGTTTATGTTGGGAAATGTGCAGGGAGGCGACGCAGCGCCTCCACGAACACTCTCCGCACCGCCGCCGCGGCCGTCTGCCGCCACCGCGGCTTCATCTTCACCCCTCTCCGCGGCACCCGCTACGGGCGGTCTCTTCCGTGCTGTGATGGACCGACTCTTTGCGACGGAGCAGCACACACGCTCTCTCTCGGTCGCCGTGAGTGTGGTAGAAGTACGCGATGTCGCCCCTCTGCAGCACCCCTCCGTCCTGCAGCGGCCGCGTGAGACGGTGGATCTGCTGTCGGGGCAGCTGCTGAGCCGGCAGGAAGGTCAGCATGAGGAGGGTACGGCTGTGCTGAGAAGGGTTGACCGACGACGGCGGGAGAGCTCGCCGGACGAGGACGGCTCCTCCGGGTCCGCGACGCCGTCCGTTGCGGTGGATGAGCCGACCGACATCCCCGCGGCGTGCTACGTGCGGGTGCACTCGTCCGCCGCGGCTGCACGGGTGCTTTACACCGCCCTCCGCTCCTCCACCGCGTGGCAGCCTCGCCTTGATACCAACGTCAGTGAGACAGTGGGGCCGGCGGACGCACGACATCCTTCCTCTCCACCCGTCTCGTGTCTTCTGCGTCCTGCCGGTCTGCCGCGGGAGGAGCAAACGAGCCATTTGTGCGTGACGACACTCGTCAGCCACGCCGGCGATGCACGTCGCGGTTGGCAGGCCACCACGCCACCCGCGGTCGGCATTTGGAAGCTGTGGGACGTGTCGGGTCCCGACCCGTCCTGCGGCTATCGCCCGTACACAGCAGGGGATGCAAATGACGCCTCAACGCCGCCGCCACCACTGAGGAATAAGAAGACCACAAGAAGGACCCATGCGCAGGTAGAAGAGCGGGACCCTTTGGAGAGAGATCGTGCCGACACGCAGTGGAAGCCTGCGCTGCCGTGGCACAACCGCTACAGCCTGCCATCCCTCACCCACACCTGCCTGACCGCCTTCGGATGTGGTGCGGATCGGCCGGCGAGGTGTGACCTCTCTCTTCTGCGGTGTGACGCAACGGCGCTGCAGATTGCGGCGAGTGCGACAGAGTCCTGCTCTTTGGTGATCCCGGTGTGCACGGTGGTGGCCGCGGCGTCGGCGGATGAGGTGAACGCCGAGGTGCTGCGCTGCGCCGGTGGGTGGGCCGCGTTCGGCCGTCGTGCGGATGCCCCCGTGCTGGAGGGAGAGGGACGTGCAACGCAAACTGCGGAACGCAGCCGTGGTGCGGACAACGCAGCCGCTGCTCAACGCGTGCTGGAGGACTACGCCGTGCCCTTTGAAGACTTCTTTAGGGAGAACATCGCACCGTGCGCATCGGCTGTGCCGCCGACACTGTGGGAAGCATCGTGTACGCCCGGCGCCAGCGATGGCGGGGCAGGAGTTGGTGCTCCTGCCATTTGCGACACATCAGCGACTTTTGCGCGGAATCCATCCACCTTCTCGTCAACGACAGCGCCACTCAGGACAGCGCCGGAAGCTCGTCGCGTCGATGGACGAGTTCCTCTTCCTGTGAGTAGCGGAGTGCCGGGAGACAGGACGGCGCCGTTGAGCATCAACGTCACCGCATCGGAGGAGGACCAACTCACCACGCTGCCTGCGGTTGCCTACAGCAAAGATCGGAGCGATGCTTTGGCGGACCGCGCAGCCGCGCTGGCCTCTGGTTTAACTCCTGTCAAGGAGGAGGAGAAGAGTTCGAGGGAGGAAGGCACCTGCAGCGTTTCACAGCGTTCACCTCTACACGGAAAGCGCACCGAGAACCTCGTGCGCACGCCACAACGCCTCGGCAACGAGAGCGCCATGGCAGCTGCGAAACCGGCGGCTGCTATGGCCACAACGATGTCTACTCTATCAACGCAGCCTTCTGTGGCTGCCCTGTGCGCTGCGGGGGCGATGAAGGCGGAGGAGGCACGGCTGCAACGCTTTGAGGGCGTGTTTGAGACGGAGACTTTTGATGTCGCCGACGAGCCTCCGTGGACTTCGCACGCGGTGCCCGCTCTGAACGAGGCGGAGGACGGCGTTTTTCCGGTCTCGCTGCCTTCCGCTGAGGCGAAACCTGTGGGTTTGCGTGCGGGCGAGCGGCGGCAACAGAGCGAGCAAGCACCGCTCCACACCCCCGTCAAGCAAGACAGTTCCCCTCCCTCTGTGATGCGCACAGCTCTGCGCCCGCCGGCGTCCGCAGCTCCTCCCCCGCCGCTGCCGCTGCCGAGTGAGTCTGGGCGTCGCGGTGCTGCCGGACCACCACCACCGCCGTCACCACCGCCGCCGGTCGCCGCGGAGCCCACCGACAAGGAAGAGACGTTTCTGTGCACTCCGCAGGAGCTGCGGTACGACACATCGGAGCTGCCCCCTCCACGCGACGGCCAAAGAGCAGCGCTCACAGTAGATAGCGCGGCGGCATCACGGGCTAATCCCACAACGAACCCAGACCCGGCCGCAGCGGCCGTCGTGCAGTACCTGGCCCCCTACTGCGATCAGTTTCTCCAACTGTACGCCGACATGCGTCGTGACGTCGCGACGTGGCGGGCAGCGGAGGTTGCGTCGCTTCAGACGCTGTCAGAACTGGCAGAGCAGCACACACGTGACATACAACGGCTCACGCAGCTCCTGCGCCAACTATCCGCTCCTGCAGCAAACAGAAGCCTTGATGGTGGCGCCGTGTCCTCCGCTCCGGTAACGTCATCAGGCGATGCCGCTGCCGCGCTCGCCTCCACAAGCTCTCTCATCTTCGAGCAGCTGGTGAAGTCGGAGGAGAAGGTGACCTGGTTGGAGAAGCAGCTGGTTCAGTGGCGTCAGCGCACCCACGAGGCGTCCACGCTGCACCACAGCATCGCAGAGGTCGGAGATGCCAGCGCTCTCGTAGACGACCACAAGGCGGAGTTGACTATCGGGCTGTTTGCCATCGACAGTCAGGGCCTTCACGCTTCGGCCCTCTCAGAGGGCGACGACTTTGTGAAGGACGACGGGGCGGACCCGACGGGGCGACACGTGGCGCAGGCACAGCGCATCCTTCACCGCCTGCTGCAGCGCTGCGGACGTGCGTACGCCTCGGCACAGGAACGCAGCACGCGGTGGCAGGAGCAGCTGACGCAGGAGCACGCATCCAAGTCCGCGCTGATGGATCGCATGACGGAGCTGGAGGGGGAGCTAGCGGAGTACCGACGTAGGGGAGGTGCGGTGTTGGCCGCACTTCCACCGGGCTCCTCTCACGCAGAGGCAGGGACGCCCGACCGGCACCGTGGTGCGTCCGCCGCGTCACGTACGACTCCTCTGAACTGCCCTGATGATCCTCTTCTGTATTCTGGCGCTGTTCTTACCGCCTTCGACCGGCGGAGTGACCCGAAACACGTCAAACGCACGGAGGAGGAGGGAGAGGAGCAGCTCATCCCTATCAACATGCGCCGTGAAGACAAAGAAGAACTCATTCGCTACACCCGCGCTGCCCTGACGTGTGCGACGCCCGCGCAGGTCAGCCCGATTCGCAGCCTAGACGACACCGTCCTCTCGCTGCCGTCGCAGGCCGCCGATCGGGGTCGCGGTCGCACCGCGGCGGCTCAGACAACACCGGTACCGGAAGAAGAGCGCCATCCCGCATCTTCCTCCGCCGCCTCCTCCACCTCGCGACCCTCCGTTGCGGCCGACGTGCCCTCGCAACTCGCTGCTCTGCTGTCGCGTGCGGTGGGGCGCGATGACGAGAGTGGAGGGTTTCCAAGCAATCGCCGTGCCGGGCGGCCGCATCTCCCTCCGTCTTCTACCGCTGCTGCTGCGGCCGCCGCGGCGCTGTTTGACGTTCGCTTTGGGCCCGCCTCTTCAACCGCTGCGGAAGCTTCTGTGCAGGTGGCCGTTGACAGCGATGCCGAGGAAGCACCACATCTCTTTAACGCTGCGTCGCCTCCGTCGCCTTTCACGCGCTCCGCTGCCACGCCGCGTGCGAATTCGGAGCGACTTCACGAGGCAATCACGCAACCGGGGGTCCGACAGGGTGCGACGCGATCTGCTGCACGGACACACGGAGCCGTGACAGTCGCAGACGAACTCCACGGTACAGGCCCACGTGACGACTCGTACCCTACAGTGGCGCTGCAGCGCCTTCAACGGGCCGCGACGCAACTGGCGGCGAATGCGGTGCGTCTGACGCGCCTGGCGGACCCAAACGACGAGAGCGCCGGGACCACGGTGAGCAGCGCAGCGCAACTGCTGCGAGAAACGCTGGAGGATCCGAGACGGAGGCCGGCACCGGCAGGCAACGACATCTTCACCGTGCGCAGCAGGTCGAGTGAGAGAGATGCCGATCACGTCATGATGACACCGCTGTCTCAATCGTTGGGTGAGCTGCGGTCTGCGTCGCAGGCGGTGCAACGCGAGGCACGCGAGACGGCGGAACGCGAGAGGGCCTACCTGTCAACCATCCTCTTCTCTCCGGTTTCTTCTCCAGAAAGAGGGAACGTTGCCTGACACGAAGGGCGCAGCCGGCAGTGCCTCGAGTGCGCGAACCGCACGATAGGTTGTATCTGAGAGAGAAACTAAAACGTCGTCTGACGTTTTTCTGTTTTCCACCCAGGCATCAACGACAACGTGTGCTCAATGAGCGAGCGGAACAACAGCGAAGGCGGCCACAAGTACCACTCCAATCCGCAGCAAACGTCCTTTCTCTTTCTCGTGGCTGTCGCACGAGCGGCTGCGGGTGCGAGTAGAGAACCAACTCATGGGCGAAGCTCATTTTGCCTCTTTTTTTTTTACGTGTTAAAAAAAAAAAATGCAGATCAGTTCTGATGACATCAACGCCTCTTCTCCTCCTTACCCCTCAGTTGTTGCTCTTACCACCGCCACCACAAAGAGTTCTTGCCATCAAACGAGCCCTTCAGCGAGGATTTCCACGAGTACACGCACACGCACACACACACAAACACACCTACAGCAACGTTCGGTTTCTCTCTCTCTCTTTCTTCGTACTTATTTTTTTATAGGTTTCTCTTTCAGTTGCACCGTCTGTTGAACCCAAAGTAGCTACGTGCCGGTCTCGTCGAAGGCAACGTCGCTCGCTGCGGACCATCCACAGTTTCTTTATTCTTCTCATTTTTTTCTAAACGCTTCTTTTTTCTTCCTTTGTCATCGCAGTCGAAGTCGTCCATGTCTGTGAACGTCGTGCACCTTGAGGGCAGTGCCGCCGGCCGGCTCATCATTGTTGGCGACATCCACGGCTGCGCCGACCAGCTGCGACAGCTGCTCGTGAAAACGCACTTTACCAACGACGCCGTCCGTCAACGCCCCGAGCTGCTGACGGCCTCTCCGGGCGAGCGCACCGTGATTGCTGACGCTGCCATCATGAAGATCCCGTGTGCCCTGCAGCCCATGTCCTCGCCGCACCACCGTCGGCCCACGCCGACCTCATCCCCGTTAGAGGGCCTGGGTGGTCCGGCGTTGGGCGACGTCGACTCCCCTGCCTCCCCTGCGTACAGCGATCACACCGGTCGTGGCACGAACCGCGACGATGCGGTGCACAGCCGAGATGAAGATGTCTGCGTCTTCGTGGGGGACTTGGTGAACAAAGGACCCGACTCCTACGGCGTCGTGCGCGCGCTGCGTGCGATTGGGGCCATTGGAGTAGTGGGCAACCACGATGCGTCGTTGCTGCGACTGGCGCATAAAATCCGCACCGGTGCCGAACTCACTCCGAAGGAGTCGGAGAGCCGACTGCTTCCACTCGCCGTGGACTGCCCAGACGACGTCTACGCCTTTTTAAACTCTCTTCCGCACATCTTGTGTTTCCACGCCTACCGGCTCATCGTCGTACACGCCGGCGTGGACCCGTCTCTTCCGCTGGAGCAGCAGACCATCGACGCGGTGACTCGCATGCGGAACCTGGTCTCCGCGAAGAAGTACACGGCGCAGCTGGTGGACAGCGCAACGGGGGCGCCGCCTTACGTCGCCCTCTCCTTGTCCGAAAGGTTCGCCACCCTCGAGCGGCCCAAGTTCGGGAAGAGCTGGAGTGCGAAGTGGTCGGAGCTCGCGAGTGAGCTGAATGGCGGCAGCGGCGCTGCGGTGATGCCGGCGGCGGTGGTGAAGAAGCCGCGTGAGGCCTGGGAGGACGTGGAAGACGACGCGGCCAGCACGAGGAGCGCGGACGAGAGCCGCGGCGGCTCAACCGCTGCTGCTGCGGTGGTGGGGCGCCGCGAAAAGGACAAGAAGGAGAAGTGGCGCAAGCGCATCTCGACGGTGTACAAGGGCTACACCATAGCCTACGGCCACGATGCGAAGCGACGCCTGAATATTCATCCCTACTCCTACGGGCTTGACACCGGCTGCGTGTACGGCGGAGAGCTGACGTGTTTGGTGTGGCCGAACACGTTGGTGTCGGTGCCCGGCCTCAGCAACCCGCCGCCGCATCACAAATCGAATGTGTGAGCTAACGAGGCCACACACATATACACACATATATAACGGAAAAACATGCTTATTGACTGACTCTCGTTTTATTATTGCTTAGGGTATTAGGAGGGTTCCGCGTCGTCCGCGTTGGCGTGTGCTGCAGCCCGCGGCAAAGGCTACTGGGGGGACGCCTTCTCTATTCCTGCTTTTGTAGAGGGACCAACCGCCTCGGTTGAAGAACGTACGGTCTCCATACTCACGTAGTCGGTTTTTCTTTTTTAATCCTTCCGCATTGAAATCGATGAAGAAGAGAAAAGAGCAAAACGATGAATTCCAACGACCAACACGAAACAGCGGTGACGTACAACAACTAGCCGTGTGCGCTGTGCTTTTTTTTCCCTTTTCAAGGGCCGCATGGAAGCTCGGATGAGGCCTGCGTGTCTTTTCTGCTTTGCCCAACGAAACCAAAGCGTCGCCACTTTATTATTATTATTATTCTAAAGAAAAAACTCCTGCCGTTTACGCTGGCGTGCGTTGCCGACCCCATCCGTCTCATCAACTTCACTCTCCCTCTCTTTCCTTTCTATCGTTGCTTCATTTTTCTTTCCTTCTCATCACCGTTGGTTTCTTTGGCTCTGCCTCTCCCAAATGCAGTCACACTCGCGGGGACAGCTTTTTATTAAGAAAGGAAAGCACTCGCGGCCTGCGAATCGAGTGGGTGTGTGCATGTGGCGGACTCTCACGTTGCCAAGTCCTGAGCAACAGCAAGCCATCACGCTGACGCGACCTCTCTCTCTCTCTCTTTAACAAAAGAGGAAGGTTGTAAGGAAAAGAATTCGCCCAGTCGCACTCCGTCTGCATCGAACCATAGATCAGCGCACCTCAAAAGAGCGAGAGGACGGGGAGGAGCAAGACCCCCACGCTTCATCTCCTTTGTGTGTTTGTTTGTTGAGGGAGGGCTGCGACTGGCGCGAGGGCATAGAGGAGCAGAAATACATACCGTGAAAATCCCCCTTCTTTATTTAAAGAAAAGAGCGTTCTTTTTGAGGCACAGGCGGTGCTTTCCTCTGCCCCTCCGCAGGGGCCTAGCGCGCTCCGCCGTAAACGTCATCCGAGCATTGCAATCATAGATAAGATAATTGGAAGCAAGTTCGCAGCACCACCGACGACGAAGACTACCGACGTCACCACAGCAGCAGCCATAATGGCCTCCTATTGCGAGGTGTGCCGAGGATCGTTTTTTACGCCTCACCCGCACACATCAGCGCCGCGGCGCGCGTCGTCGTGCCCGTACTGGCTTCTGCCATCGCGGCACCCATCACGTAGCGTTGCTTCACCTTCGCAACGACCGGCCATGATCTTCCGCACACCGAACGACGCGCCGGCGCGTGGGCTCGCCTCTTCGCCGGCGGTGAGGTCCGGCAGCGCCCCGTGTGGTCCAGCGCCCTTCTGGCAGTCCCGCGACTTCTCTGAGCCTCTTGGCGGCCGTCAAGACCTGTACGACAGCCAGGAGGCGCTGGAGAAGCGTTTCGACACTTCTACCAACGCCCTACCTCGCAGCTCCTCGATGCGGCACCGGAGGCACGCCGCGACGCCGCCTCCTCTGCCACCGCCCACGTCGGGTTACGTCGTAAACGGCACGACGTGCGATGGCGGTCGACGATACACCGCCGACACGTTCAGCAGCTGGCAGCACGCGGAGGGCTGCAGCCCGCCGTTCGACTACCTGCGGCGAGGGGAGGGGGTTGCGGGGCAACGACACCCGAGTCGTCCGCCCTCGCGGGAGTCGTCGGGGCGGTCTCAGCCGAACCCCTCCTCCTCTGCGTTCTTTCTCGACCACTTTTTCCCCCAGCGTGCGCTGGAGGAAGAGTGCTGCTACTCTGCGCCGCGCCGTGCTCTGCGGGATGGTGGGGGAGCACAGGGGCGACCGCCGCATGCCGCTCCCACCGCCTCCACGCACGACAATGCCTTTCCCAGTTTGCAGCAGGAGGCGTCGCCGCGGTCGCATGACGACGGGCATCCGCACGGACATCACGACGGACGCCGGCGCGGAGGGGGAGAAAACAAAATTGACGAAGCGCAGGCGTTTTCGCAGGGGCCATCCCCCGGTCACCGCCACCGCAGCCGCAGCCACTCACGGGAACATCGCCATCGTCATCTTTCGCACCTCCACTCGTCCTCTGCGTCACACGGCGGCCATCGGCAGCCCCCACTACCCAACCCTGAAGCGCAGCCCCACTCCCTGCTGTCTCCATCATCAGGTGCTTACACAGGTGTGTCTCCTCGTCACGACCGCAGCCACCGTGAGCCAGCACAACACGCATCTCACCGCACCATCAGTCCACCAGCACTGCACAGTGAGGCAGGGAAAACTGCAATGTTACCGCTGTCAGGCGCACGCTCTGCACAGCAGTGCACCCGCCCTGCGGCGTTCACGGCTGCGGCACGACCGTCCTCACCGGAACACGCGACGCACTCTCTGGGCGACTTGATCGCGAAGATTCGTGCGGAGGTGAGTAAGGGTGCCGCGGCGTCGAGGGAGTTGCCGGACGCCGCGACGAGCAAACCGGCGAAGAAGAAAAGCTCTGGTCGCACGAATTCGGCAGATGCAGCGGAAGGCGCAGGCGAAGTACCGGCGACAGAGGCAGAAGAAGCTGCTGTGGCCTCTTACCCTTCGTTGACGACGTCCACGCCGGTGTCGACAGCCGAGGAGGAGCCCTCTTCCATCGACCGTACCGTTGCACAACGCCCGCCAGGCCAGCCGATTCGACACGAGCGCCAACGCGTGCGCCATACCTTCTCTCCCCCACCCAGCAGCAGTAGCAGCAGCAGTAACCGAGAAAACGAGCGAGCCACAATACGTAACTCACGTAAGCGTGCGAGTGGCACTTCCGCACCTAAATCCTCGAGGAAAGGAACGAAGTCGCGAGACCTCCGCACATCCTCGCCTGCGCAACGCGCATCTTCCCCGCGGCAGCACCGCCGGACCTGCTCCCTGTCGAGCTCCTCTTCCTCCGCTCCGATGCGGCGCGCCGTGCAAGAGGCAGAGGCGGTGCTGCAGCAAATGCGTCGGCGAGCGAGAGGGCGGAGTAAGGATAAGGCGGCGCCTCGTTCCAACGAGTTCTCTGATGAAGATGATCTCTCGAGGAAGACAAGGGTGCCGCCGCGCACATCTGCATCGGACACATCTGCCGACCGAAGCAGGGACGTAAACGACCGGAGGTGGCACGACAACCAGCGACACCAGCCGCCGCAGCAGCACCGTACAGGTGAAGATGAGAAGTATAGTGAGGACGCACCGCCAGGTAAACGGAGAAAGAGCAGCCGAGGGAGCCATTCGCGCTCACAGCCTCCGACGGCGTCGCCCGCGGCACGATCATCGCCGCTTCGCTCGACAGACAATCGCAACGAGGGAGCTTGCCTACGACGGCAAACTCCACCAACAGCCGCAACAGAAACAACAGCAGCACCGACGGCGTTTACCGAGGACACGCTTCGCACCTTGTCGTCCGAGTTGAGAAGAACACTGGAGCGCCGTCAGGAGGACTGGTGTGCGGAGCAGGGCCACCGCATCGAACGGCTACGCGAAGGGCTCTCTTCGTTGTGCGTGGCCGTGCGGAAAGACCTGCGGACGATGCGAGAGGAGGTGGCAGATGTGCGGGGGCAGTCGAATGATGTCGCCGCACGTGTTGCAACGGCGGAGGCTGCGCAGCGACGCCCCGCTGCCCCACCCTCCGCACCTCGAACCGAGAAGGGACCTGAGGCGTCTCTCCAGCCTGAGTGTGTGGTGGCGTGGGTGGCGCAGTGCAGCCCAGCGGATCAGCGTCGCCTCGCCCAACTCCTCCTGCCCCACTTGCGTCCTGCGCTGTCGGATGCAATACGCGATGAGGTGCAGCATCAGCTGCGTGCGGTGCGCACCGAGCACCGAGAGGAGCTGCGTGAGATCGAGGGACGTCTCCGTGCGTATGTGGAGGCGGAAGAGGCGGTTGTGGATGCACAGCAGAATGCGGCATCGCAGCGTAGGAGCGGCGGCGCTGGAAGTCCGGCGCAGCCGGCCGAATCGAGCGCGCCACTCTGGGCTGGCTTTTCTTCAGGGGACGCCTTCAACGCGCATCTGCGTGCGACAGCGCGTGCGGTGCTGGTGGAAGAGGACGACCGCCGCTACAGCCTCGCCAACGACAACGAGCGCCGCCACGAAATGCGTGTGCGAGAGCTGCAGCGGCACTGGCAGGCGACGCTGGTGGAGGCGCAGCACACCTGGAAGGCGGAGTGGCGGTCGATGCTCCACGCGGCAGAGGAGGCGTGGACGCGCCAAGCGCAGGCGCCGCTGCAGCAACACGCAGATCTGCTGCAGAAGATCGTCACGACCCTTACGCGAGACGTCACCCACCTGCACGAGCGGCAGGATGCCCAGGCGGCCAGTGTGCAGGAGAGCCTTCACAAGGAACGGGAGATGCGGCAGCGGGAGCAGGCGAAGTTTGCGGAGCGGGTCGAGCAGAGCGTCCGTCAGCTGCTGCCGCGCGAGGTGGAATCGGCGTGTGCGCGCTACCACGTACAGCGAGAACGCACAGCTGCCACGGAGCTGTGCGGCACTCGCGCGACACACGGCAGCAGCGGCAGCGGCGCATCTCCTCTCCTCCCCCCAACCGCCTCTGCACAGCTGACCGCAGAGGAGCTGCGGCTCTCGGTGGTGCAGCCAGCGCTCGAGCACATGCGCCGGCTGCTCGCGTCCCATCAGGAGATGATGGACGCTGTGGTGGAGGGCCGTTGTCGTCGTGCGGAGGGCGTTATGGAGGGCAGTCGACACGTGTGGCTGCAGAACGTGACGGAATTGCGGGGCAAGGTTTCTTCGCTGCGGTCTGACGTGCGCGGCGCCTTTAATGAACTGTGCAGCAACCTCAACGTGGCGAGTCCGGCACTGTAGCGGGTGACACTTCGAAGCGGAGACGGCCGAAAGCAGTTACGTATCTTTTGTTTCTTTTCTTTCCGCAATGTCCGTGCGTACATAGAGTTGTATTAGTTCATTTCTTCTCTTCTCTCTTCCCTCCTGTTTGCAGGTGCGTTTCCCTGCGCCACAAAAGCTGCTGATGCAACCAGAATTTGGCCCTTGTGCTCGGTCTGAGCTTCGGACCAAGTGCCGCTGCCTTCATGTTCAAGTCACTGGAAGTGATGTTAGGAAGCAATGCAGAAATATGCGAAGGTGTTGCTGTTTTCTCTATACCGATTTATTTTCGCTGACCTCGATGCTAACAAAACTATGAAGTGCTGGTCTTAGTTATCGGCCTCCCCTTCGTTTGGAAGAGGACCGCACGACTGTGTTTTTCTTGGTGACGCTTCTTCTGCTCACGATTCTTTTTTTCTTCTCTGACCTTTCTCCTTGGGCTCTCATGACTCTGCTGCTCCTTCATCTTTCTACCCCGCCTACTTTTGCTGACAGCGCCACTTGGCCAGGATCAACCACGACCATTGCTGCTGCTGCTGCTGCTGCTGTGTGTTTGGATCTCTCTCTCGTGCACCACACAGGCGTTGCTTCTTTCTTTTTCCTTTAACTCGTATGAGGCGAAGTAGAATGTGGTGTCGTGCACTCTCTCGCGCTTCGCTCACCGGGACCGCCTCCCACGCCGTGCGACGTCGGTCCGCGGGGCTGCGGTCGGGCTGCCGTCCTCGCAGCGCAACAACGGTCGCGGCGTCGTGTGTTCCTGTGCGGGGCTTCACGAGCTTCGCAGGATTCTTCGCTGCCCATCATCGATGCCCTGCGGCGTCCTCCGCAGCGCTTCGGATGCCACGCCGCACCCAGAGCACCCTGCAGAAGCTGCTGGACGATCCGCACGACCCGTACTTGGCTGCTCTGCAAGAGTTCGATATTCCTCGCATTGCCGCCGTGGTCGAGGAGGGCCCCGCTCAGACAGCCATCCCGGAAGCCTTTCTCCAGCGATTGGGCCTGCGCACGGCGAGCGATGTGACGGCTGCTGCTGCTACGCGTGCCGAGCACACCAGCCCGACTCCAGTTCCCCAATGCTCCGCCGCATCGTCCGCAGAGGCCGTCCTGCAGTCACTGCACGGTGCCGGGGCGGCGCGTCAGCACGAGGCGGCGGCGGCGGCAGCGGTGGAGTTGCAGTCCGCGCAGGCTGCCTACGACGCCCTCCCATCGGAAGAGAAGGCGGCACTGCAGCTGGAGCGTTTGGTTTCGCATTTGTTTGACGGTGTCTGTGCCATCAACGCGGCCATCCGCGTGCAAGCCGAGGACGAGGCGGTGTCGCCTGACGAGCGCGATGCCGTCTTGCGCGTGTGCGCGCGGGTGGCGAGAGCGTACGAGGACGGGACCATCTCTGCCGAGCGCTGGGCGGCGGACTTCGCGCCGGAGATGAAGGAGCTGGATGTGATCTGGCGCCACCTCGGTGATCCCCGGCCGCTGCCTGCAAAGATGTAAGACGTTGGCTTTGCCGAAGGAGAGAGAAGAGACAGTTGATACTGTCCGGTGTGGACATGCCTTTTTTTTCCTCTTGTTCTGGTTGCGTGTGTTGTCGGGTTTTCTAACGTTTATGAGGTGCGTGTAGTGAGGCGCACAACAGCTTTTATGATGGCTATAATGAACTGGTCATATAGATCACAGTTTTAATATGTGATGTAACGCACAGGGGCGACAGCCCCGCCCAAAGGCAGCAACAGCTCGTTCTTCGCATGCGTACCGCACCGATGCGCGCGTCACTTCAGCATTGCTGTGTACTGTCGCCACCTGCGCGATGGGGCAGGCACGGGAATGCACGACATCAGCAAAAGACGACCTTGTACTTGGATCAACCTTTATGGTGTGCGTGCGACGCCTTCAGCTTCATCATTCTTCGTGCCGCGTTTCTTCCACAATCACTCTGAACGTCTCGTGACATCCACTCTTGACTAACCACTCTATTAGTATGATCAATATTTGTGTTGCCGGTTTTCAAGTGTGCCGTCTCGGAGCACACACAAATCCACTGCAGCCGTTAAATTCTGTCTCGTTGAGTATTTTACAGACATCACAGCATAGAAGAACGTGTCTCTACCAGTTTTCTTTTACCCCCACACACCCACACACATCCACACACATCCACGTCTACACATACACAGCTATTAAACCATAGAGCTTTCCTACCCTCGCGCCTTCTGTGCTACGCGCGGCCTTAATACAAGACGGCTGCGTATGAGCAATATATTAATATATATTCAGAAAACAATCTCATGCATTAACCGATCTTACATCGGCGTAAATGAACTTTGAAGAGATGTGGCGTGAGGCCATGGAGGAGGAGGCCACACAACAGCAGCCGCAGCAGCAACAGCAAGGACCGCATCTCGCCGGTACTGTCAGAGGCACAAATGCCACCACAGCTCCCAACGCAAAAGGCGAAGACGACTACGATGAGTTCAGCGATGACGAGCTGCTTCAGCTCATGCCGCGGGCAAATGACCCAGCTCCGATGATATCTGCCACCGCTGCCTCCTCTCTCGTTGCACCTGCCATCGTTTCACCAACCGCAATCCCGCAGCAGGTAGAGGCACGGAGAACGTGCGAAGGTCCGCCAACCAATGCCTCGTCGACCAGCACACCCCACGCACAGACCGCGACGACGGTACAGAGGAGGAGAAGCGTGGTGCCGCCGCGAGGGGTGTTGGACTTCCCGCCTACAAAGGCCACGAGTTATATGATGCGTGGGGATGGTGGGCAGGTGCGATGGGTCACCGCCGGTGCCTTTGCGGGAGCAACGTCGGCAGCGCTGCACACAGGACGGCGCCACAACCAGTCGCGCAAACGCGCTCGTGAAGCCGCCGCCGCCGCAGCAGCAGCGGTGATTGAAGTGCACGACGATGATGACGAAGCACAACAGCATGAAGTGATCAAGGTGGACTCGTCGTCATCTTCATGTGCCTCGTTCGTGGGTAGCGGAGAGGACTCAGGTAGCGATGGCGAGGACGACCTTCCTGTGACGGACACGATCATGGACTCCTCTGCTTCCGATTCAGACTCACAGCCATCATCACGGTCACTACAGCAGCAGTACGGCGCTGCTTCACACTTTTTGCGAGACGGCGTGAATGTGAAGGACATGCTGCGCGAGATCTACACCGCAGAGGCAGAGAAGCAAGAGCAGCTGAGGAGCAACGAAGAGGCGACGGAGACGGAGAGGGGGGCGGAGGAGGCGAAAGAGGTCGCCTCGCCGCGGGATGAGGAAGGGAACGAGCGTCATCGCCTTCCAGACGAGCCCACTCCCTACGATCCGTTTCTTACCCCACATCGTACCGCCTCCTCTCACATTGCGCGCCTCAGCAGTTCCGCGGACACGCGACACGCGTCATCGAGCAGCGGTGAGCTTTGGGTGACCAAGTACAAACCTCAGCTATTCCGCGAGGTGCTGAGCGACGAGTCCATTAACCTTCGCCTCCTGCAGTGGCTCAAGTCGTGGGACGCGTACGTCTTCCCTGAAGCGTCGTCCAGCAGCAGCAGCAGCAGCAGCGGTGGCGGCGGTGCCGCGAGGTCAGCGAAACACGGTGGTGGAATGACCGCTTCTGCTTCGTCGTTTCATAAAGGCACATCTTCGTTGCTCCCGTCAACTGCACCATCAGCAGCGGCTACCCCGCCGGAGGAGCGGATCGCGGTGCTGACGGGCCCGCCGGGAGTGGGAAAGACGACGCTCGTCCACGTCCTCGCCGCGCACTGCGGATATGAGGTGATCGAGGTGAACGCGAGCGTGGAGCGGACGGCGTCGCGGCTGGAGGCGCTCATCAAGACGGCGGTGTCGGCGGCCGGCCCCGCACCCGGCGGCCGTCTACGACGAGCCCAAACGGCATCGATAGCAGCGACACCTGCGACGACCACGACCGTCCCCGCGGCTGAGGCGAAGGAGGCAGCGGACGAGGCGGCCCCCACGTCGCTCGTACAGCACCTGCTGCGGCCCAAGTGTCTCGTCATTGACGAAATGGATGGCATCGCCAACAGCAGTGTGGCGGCCTACTTGGTACAGCAGCAGCTGCATCGACCGGTGTTCTGTCTGTGCAACGACCTCTACGTACCGTCGCTGCGCGCACTGCGACAGCGCTGCTCCCACGTGTACTATCTACCTCCGATCCGTCCGCAGCGGCTGCTGGCGCGGCTGGAGGAAATAGCCCGTCGAGAGCATATGACCTCGCTGGACCAGACGGCGCTGGCCGAGCTGATCAGCACGAGTGGCGGCGATGTGCGGAGCTGCGTGAACACGATGCAGTTTATCAACAGTGTCGTGCACCAACAGCAACAGCAGCAAGGGGGCGGAGGAGGTGCCGTGCCGCGGCGGCACACCATCACGGAGCTGATTCGCCGTATGCAAGGCAAGGACACCCGTCTCGCTTTGAAGGAAAGCTGGCAGCTGCTCTTCACGCGGCCCGAGCGGAGTAAAGCGGTGCAGCTATTGAAGCTGGAATGTGGGGTAGATTACGAAGGGCTGGTCGAGGCGGCCGCGGTGCAGCACCACCGTCAACACATCGTCGAGGCCCGTCGCCGACAGGAGCGGGAGCGGGCCATTGGGAAAGCTTCGTACCCCGCAGGCTCTGAGCGCGATCTGTATGCACGAGACATCAACGAACGTGGCGGTCGCGAGGACCAGCGGGATGGGCGGCCACTACCACCCTCAAAGGAGCAGGAGAAGGTCGCGTACGGCTTTCGCGTGGACCCGGGTTATCTCTACGCGGCACAGCAGCTGGACCGCTGCCCCGACACGGCAGGTCTGGTGGATGGGCTGCAGGAAAACTACCTTGGCCGTGCGTACACGGACTACAGCTTCGCCCGCACCTGCGCGACGGCCGGGGGCTTCTCCCAGCAGGACGTCGTCGTGGCCGCCGCCTTTCAACACCCCCAGACGATGATGGGGACGGCGGAGCGGCTGAATCAGGTGTGCGCGCTGACCTGCTACGTTCACTGCAGCACCGCCGCGCGCGGTGCTCGCATTGAGTTCCCACGTGAGCAGGCTACCTTGCGCCGTCTGCAGTCGGCGTCGCAGCACACTGCGCAGCAGTTCCGCGGTGGCTGCCGCCCGCACATCGCGGCCTTCCTCAGCGGGGCGGAGATCGCGTCGACGGACGTGGCCCCGATGCTGCTCCGCTGCCTCTTTGACCGCTCGCTGCGACTGCCGGCGCACTCCATCACGTCCTTCAGCCGACTTCCCCCGGCCGATCAGCGACTGCTGCAGGCCTCCGTCGCCCGGCACGTGGAGTACGGCCTGAGCTATGAGAAGGATCGTCAGTACACTCCGCCTTTCAACGGTGGGGTGGCAGGGGCGAACCGGTTCGGGTCCTTTCTTTCAGGGAGTGCGGAGGACGAGGTGCCGTGGCGGCTGACCCCCGAGATGGATGAGCTGCTGGCGGGCATCGTGCGGCCGATGGAGAGGACGCTGTTAGGTGGCTACGGCGGTGGTGGTGGACGTGGCACATCGTTCTTCCAGCGGTCGCGTTACGGGGACTCCGGCAGCAGCGGCGCCCACACTCCATCGAACTACGTCAAGGGTAACGGCGCATCGTCAACCACCGTCGCCGCCGCTGCTGGGCGTCCGTCGCTCTCCTCCGTGCTGCTGCCGCTCAAGAATGAGATACGTCAGATTTTGGTGGGTGAGATACGCCGCTACCGCATTCTCCAGTCGGTGGAGTTCCTTCAGAAACAGCAGCAGCAGCAGCACGACGCCGTGGCCGACGCGGGTGTGGCGGCAGCAACAGCACCGCCACCAGTGCAGGTGAAGCGCCCACGTGAAGGCGACAGCTGTGCCAAGCCGGACAGCGCAGCCGGGGTAACGGTAAAAGCGGAGGGTGCAGGCGTGCCAGTATTGAGGAAAGTAAAGCGCGAAGGAGAGGAGGGGAAGGTGGAAGCGGCACCAAAGGAGGAAGAGACGACGACTGCCCGCCCTGCTGCACGCCGCGACTTTTTTGGCCGTCCCATCGCGGATGCTCCGGCGGTCAACCATCGCGCCGCCCGTATACTCAACACGACGACGACGACCACGACCACCACTGCGTCTCCACCGTCTTCCTCTCCTTCTCCCTCGCCGACGGGGGGAAGCGGGAATAGCGGCTTTCCGCGGTCGCAGCCACATCAGCCTCTCTCGACCCGGGCGTATGTCCGCTACGTATACCAAGACGGCTCCACCAATGCTGTGAAGATGCCGGCTGTGCTGGCCGACTTCTGAGGAGTGTGCTGAGGTGAAGTGAGAAAGCGGAGTACTCGTACTCCATGAGCATACACATACGGACACCTTTACGCGTCCTCAGCCAACGAGTCGGAAGATGCAGCAACGGTGCCTTTTCCATGCCGGGCATTCGGCCTTTGTTTTTTTCCTTTCTGTTTTAAATGCACAGCCGAGAAAGCCCGCAGGTGCGGCGGAAAAGGTGGGGGGGGGGGAAGGTCGAATTCACCAACAACAGCACCCACAGCAAGAAGATACCACCGCTGCGCAAATATGTACAATGAAAGGCGAAAGGAGACGCTATTCCATTCTGTCGTTGAAGCGAAGAAGAGAAACACACATAAAAAAGCGCTTCCGGTGAAGCCGCTCGTGGGAACTCCTCTCACACATCTCACGTCAACGCATCTCTTTTCAACCGCCGCTGCACACGTTTCTTTTTCTCCTTCTCCTTTTTCTCGGTTCTCGCTTTGCACCGTCGCCTTCCCGAAGTGAACGTTCGGTGTGCCTGCTTGTGTTGCAGCAACAGCAAAACGGCAGAGCTTCAACGGCGGACGCCACACATTTCGCACTGCTCTTCCAGCTCGCACACTCGTAGGAAAGAAAGTAAAAACAAGCAAAGAGACAAACACAGCTCGTGAACACCACGTTGGAGCGGCGCCGGCGTAGCGTACTTTAACATCCACCTGCCGATGCAACTCGGTGCGTCTCCTCATAGATAGAAGCATCCATTCATCATCTTCCAAAAAGAAAGAAAAATAGACCCCATAAAGCACGCATACACACAAACATACAGAGGAGAGCTCTCCAACATGGAGGCCCACAAGTCATCCCAGCACTTCACCATCGAAAAGCAGCGGCGGGCGCCCTCCCCCGAGGCGGCGTCTGTGCCAAGTCCCGCCGCCGGCCGCGACCCGAACAGTCGAGGTCGCTCCGCCACCCCCACCGAAGGCGGCAGAGAAGGCAACACCCCGGCAGGCGAGGGTGGCCGACGCACACCCGGACAACCACACGTGACATCACCGCAACTGCGGCGCCGCGGGGGTGGGGAAGGGGGCAAGGGCTCCGCGGCGGCGGTACCGCCCGCCTCTTCCCTGTTCGACACCACCGTGCTTACCTCTTCAGGGTCCACCCCGTCAGGCGAAGGTCGGCGGCCGATGGCGCACTTACTCGACAGCGTGGCCTCTTCTTCCGCCTCTCTGCCCTCCTCGCAGACTCCCCCGCGAGGGACGGCCTGGCAGTCCCCGGACAGGAAAGGCGATGCCGGCGGTAGTGAGACAGCGGGCCGGCATCGTCATCAGCACACACAGCAGCGGCAGCGGGAGCCGCGACCAGCGTCTAGCGAGTCGGCGACCGGCTCTGCTCGCCTGGTCGGTAGAACACACAACGCAGAGGAGAGCACATTTGCTGAGCTGCTCGGTGAAACCCCTGCCTGGTCCCCCGCCCTTTCCCACGCGCAGTTAAAGCCAACCCCGCAGCAGACGCACCCCAGCGCCCGCGCTCGTCCGTTTGAGGGACCGCCGGTAAGTACCACTCCCACGTCGCACCAACATCAGAGTCACCTCCAGCAGCAGCAGCAGCAACGGCAGCGGGAAGGCAGCCCGCAGAAGAATGAGGGGAGCAACTTCGGCACCCCCACCTCGGCCAACACGGAGAACCCGTCCAGCGTACTGGAGGGCTCATCCTTTTCCAGAGACGACGACCTCCGCACGGGCGGGCAGGGGATGCCGTCTCCCGCTGGGCACGGCGACAACTGGGCCTCCCCATCTGAAGTACTGCGGCTGCGTACGATGTTCCACGACATCGCAGAACGCTATCAGCGGGAGCAGACGCGTCTGCAGACGGAGCTGCAAAAGGCCCAGGAGGAGTGCAACGTCTACGCAAGCGAGCGGGCACGCGTGCAGCAGCTCCAGAAATCCTACACGGAAGGCCTCGCCCAGTGCGAGCGGGCGAAGCAGCAGCAGGCGCAGTGGACGGAAGAACGCGCGCTGCAGCAGCTGCAGCTGGAGAAGATGATGATCGAAAACCAGAGACTGCAGCTTTTTATCGCCAAGAAGCAGAGGCTTCACCGGCCCACAAAGGGGGCCAATGCGATCTTCGTGCCGACGGAAAGCCAAGAGAGAATACGTGCCGCCGTGCAGGGCGTCACAACAGCAGCTGCGGCTGCAGCGGCCGAGGCTCGCTTTGGCGAGACGTCCCTCTCCCCTCTTCCTGTCCCGTATTGGCCGATGGGATCCGTGCGGGGCACGACGCCAGGTGCCACCACGCGTCCTACCGCCGCCGCCGCGCCGCCGCCGCTGGCCTCCACCTCGCCTCCAGTGGTGTTTGCGGGCGAGCTTGGTGGCTTTGGCTCTCCTCCGGCGCATCGCGGAGCACCGCCGGGGCGTACGCTTGAAGTGCAGGGATCCCCGTACACCTTTCTCTCCTCCGAGTCCACGCCTCAACCAGATCCATCGCAGCGTACCTTGAGTCCCTCCCTACCGCAGGAGCAACAGCAGCAACAGCGGACTCGGACGGTCGAGATCGGGAGCGTGACGGGGGTTGACCACACGCAGCTACCTGGGCCTGCTAATACCGCAGCCTCGACCAGAGGTGAGGTGACAAGGGTGTCGCCTTCCACCGGTGTTTCCGCTGTGACGCTTTTATCGGCCGCTGCGCCTGAACCCCAACACCGGCAGCAACAGCGACAGCATCAACAGCACGCATCTCACCGCAGCGGCGATGCCGCTCACACAGTAGCTGCAGCGAGACAACCAAACTGTCAAGACGAGGGAAGGAGCGAGGGCGACGGTGAACACGGTCACCGCCGCAGCTCTTCTCTCGCCACCCCCTCCCTCACCGCCAGCGGAGCTGCCACGACTCCGACCTTATCCTCACTACAGTCCGCAGGTGCGTCTGTGCCGGAGAGGGAGTTGGAGGGACTGACCAGCAACACCGAGGAGGAGGGCGGGTCCGCCGTGGTCGGTGACAGCGGCGAGCACGCACGTCGCTTTCTCAAGGAGAGCGGCAGGAGCGAGGGAGAGGGGGAGGGAGACGCAGAAGACGAAGAGGAGACGGAGGAGAACGCACGCAACGACGCCACAGGCGGCCGCACCAGCGGCGAGTTCGATCCATCGTACGCACGCGGCGTCACCGACACGTCGTCGTCGTCGAACTCACACGGCTCTAACGCATCAATGGGCGGCGTGGCAGCCGCTGGTGCCGTTGGCCGCTTCATTGACGCCCAAACACAGCGGCAGCCACCGCAACAACGACAAGAGGAGCTGCACTCCAGCTCTTTCGTCATGAGTGGATCGCAAGGCGGCGGTGGCTGGCTCACCAGCACGACGCAGACCAGCGATACACCCCATAAGGCAACCGACGGCGCTGCAGCCCGCTCCTCCGTCGCCACGGCGACCACCACGACCACCACGACGAGCACCACGACACCGTCACTGCTCGCCTCCGCGGCGGCGGCCATTCCAAACGGCTTCTCCACCTCTGCGTCCTCCACCGCCGCATCAAATGCGACGGCGTGGAGCCTGCAGTATCTTTACCAGCTGCCCCGCACCCCGGCGGAGGCGCTGCAGGAGGAGCTGCGCATGATGAAGGAGCTGCGCCGCCTCGGCGACGAGAACGCGTCGTTGGAGGCCCGCCTGCAGCACCTCGCTGCGCTGAAAGCGATGGACGCGGATCAGCGGGAGCAGCAGCTGCTTCGGCTCGCGCAGGAACACGAGCAGGCCCGCAGCAGCGCCGCACGTTGGGCGTCAACGGCGCAGCAGCTGCAGGCGGAGGTGTCGACATTGGAGGCGCAATCTGCGGAGACGCGTGCCGCCCTGGAGGAGGTGTTGACCACGTCGAGGCGACGGCAGCAACAGGCGCAGGAACGACTTATCGAATTGGAGGCGAGCAGTCGTGCCGCGCTGACGGCGACGCGGGAGGAGACGCTGACGAAGATGTCCGTCCTGCGGCGCACGTGGTGCGACTTCATGCGGGAGCAACAGCAGCACCAGCGGCAACGAGAACAAACCTGCGACGCAACTCCCAGTAGCCCTGGTGCGGTACAAGATTGTGAGCGACTTCAGAAAACGATCGATGACCTTCGCGCCGACCTGCACGCTGCACGCATCGCCCAGACGGAGCTGCAGGATCGCCTCCACACAGCCGACGCAGCGGCTAAGGCGCGCCTCATGCACGTAACCGACACACTGGCCACCACACACGACGCGCTGGATCGACTGACGTGTGAGAAAAACAACGCTGCCCTGCAAATCGATCAGCTGGAGGCGGAGGTGGAGCGTCTGCGTGAGGCGGCGGTGACGCGTGAGGCCTGCATGCGTGCGATGGAGCAGCGTCTTCGTCTGGCCACCGACGAGCTGGCAACGCAGGCGGAGCGAAGCGACGATGCCGCCACCTGGAAGGCCCGCGCCGTGAGCGTCGAGGAGGAGCTCGCCACCCAGCGCGCCTACTACGAGAAAGAGATCAACGTGTACAAGACGGCAGCGTGCAACATGCAGGACCGGTACCACGGCGAAATGCAGACGGCGGGGCGGCGGTATGAGAAGCTTGTGTTGCGGTTTGAAGCGATGAAGTTGCGGCTGAATGCGGCGCTCTCTGCGGGTGTGTGCGGAGAACAGGGAGGAGATGAGTGGACCGCGCCAAAGAAGCCCGTAAAAGGGCAGGCGAAGTCTCCGGTCAACACCCCCGACAACTCACCGAACACGACAGCAGCGAAAGGACTGCGGCGGCAGCAACAACAGGCACAGAAGAAAGCAGGTGACGAAGAGGGAGAAGAGGAGCTTATTGTCGCGGCCCATCCTGCTTTGCAGCGAACCGCGAAGCTTGCGTGCGACTCGGTGCGGGCGCTGCGCACCTCGGTGGAGGCGACGGACAGAATTGTGAAGTCACTGAATCGCGCTGCTTCACCGTGAGTATGAAGCGGTCAGCAAACACACACAGGCACACACACAGGCACATCGCAACAACCACCACGAACGTGTGAAAGCCAGATGGTAACCGACGCACGCTGAGAAACCGTGTGTTGAAGAACGGCAAGTGTGACACGCTCCCTCTTCTGTAGAAGTGCCGCTTTAAAAAAAAAAATAGACTTTTTCTTTCCCCTGCCAACGTATTCATGCCGACCATTTTGAGGCGCAGTCGGCTGCTATCAATCCAACGAATGTGAATGGTGCTTCCCCTCTCCCCTCAAAAAAAAAAGGAAAAACCAACGGCATCGAAGGAATGTGATAAAAACAAATTCTTCAGCTCTATGGACAGTAGGACGTATGGGAAGCTACGCGACCTCCTCGCCTTCTCGCGTCCTTTCTCTTCTTGCCAGAATCGCAGAGCGCACAACGGTGACCTCTTTTTCTTTTTTTCGGTAGGCGCGTGATTTCTTCGTGTGTCTTCCGGGAACGCGTCCGCTTCTCCCTGTGGATGATATTTCTGTGTCTACTCGTTGCTCCTGTGACACCTCTTCGCTCTCTCTCTCTCTCTCCTCGTCTTCTTCTTTCTTTCGGTTTCCTCTTTCACCGTTTTACTAACATCTCATCGGATCTGCTTTTAACGCTGTGGCAAATCCATGCTTTGTGGCGCTTGCCTCCGTTCATTTCCACATCTCAACAGCTGTTTTTTTTCTCCTTTTGCGTACCGGCGCCTTCACAACCACCACCTGAAGAAAACGTGAAGGAGAACGACGGAAGACGAGTACGTCGCTGTCCTTCTACGTGTCGTGTGGGCGACGCAGATATATCTAACAGAAGAAGTTAGCGGAGGACGAACTTTTCTTTCTTTGCTCTCTTAGGATTTTGTTAAGTTAACTTCACCACCGTCTCCTTGTATATAATTTTATGACTGATTCTCTTCCTTCTCTCCTCTTTTCTTTTAGCATTATTTCGTTGTGACCTTTAAAAAGAAAGCCTAAATGGGTTATTAGTTATCCTCGCATTTAGCGTTACCATTATATCTTGCTTTTTACTTGGCTGCATCACCCAAAAACACACACACACACACTTATTTTCTTCCACCACCTTTTTAAAACTCTGTGTGTCGTTACTGGTGACTTCTTTCGCTCTCGCGGCCCGAACTGCACGTCGTCAGCGCTTTGATCAACGCGCGTGCTGCGGAAGCTTTAATTCTCGTTCCAATTCATTTTCTCAGCGTTCTTTCCTCCAATTTGTGTCTGCAGCAAACGGCCTCCTTTGTGTTTCGTGCATCGCAACCCTCTTGTCGTCGTCGCCGTGGCCGTCTTGTTTTATCTCGTTCGATATCTTTAGGGCTTCAGTGCCTGAAGTCGGTGGCCTGAAATACATTTCTTTTTCTCCCGTTTCCTTTTTTTTCTTTCAATGAATCAACACTGCTTTGCCAAACGATTTCTACTGTTTTGTATTGTTGCATCTCCGTTCGTATTCCGTCTTCCTCCCCGACTGTCATTCACTTCTATCGTACACGAAGGTTTGCGGGAGAGTTGAGGCGCAACAACGTAGTAGAGGGTGTCAAGCGTGTGTGTCGGAGCAGTCGTTGCGGGCTTGCGTTGAGGACCTTCCTTCAGCGCAAAGCAAATACTATTCTCTACTTAAAAAGAGAGGCAGTAGTACCCTCAACGTTTCAATACTCCTCTGAAGACGCCGTCCTGCCCCTCCTTTTTTCTCTCTTTCTCTCTTTCTTTGTACAAAGCGTATTTAGCACTTTCACTATTTTACCCGGGCTTGAGAGGCGCGTGTACTTTCCCTCACATACCTCACGCACCTCTCATTATCTTTAAAAAAGCATATTTCTTCTCTTTCTGTTCCTCTTGCTTAGTCGGTGCACTTTTTGTTTTTGGCCGGTGACCTTGTACAGCATCACTGCATCAAACTATTTGGTTGCCTTCGTTCTTCTTTTTCCTTTTCTTTTGCTCTGCATCTTCGTTGTTTGCTGCTGCATGAATCGTGTGATCGTGCAGTGCTCGCTCCCTCCTAATTGCTGCTTCAAGACGACTACCGCTAACGTTGCTCTTCCCCTCCTTTCTCCCGGCTGTGTAGCACCGTCGTCAGCACTGCATACTATCTTTTCTTTTCTTGACCGAAGTGAAGCGTACAGCAGTCACCGGGTGCTAAGTGACAGCTTCCGAAAGAAAGAAAAAGAATCATTTTTGTTTTGTTCTTTAAGAAAAGATAAAAGAACCCAGACAAGCACGCACATCGCGCTTCCTCGTGTCGTCATTTTTAGTAAATAGAGACAACCGGAGGAGGTGGGGTGTGAAGCACGTTTGTCGATCACCACGAGTGTGCGTGTTAGTGTGCTTTGTACTCGTACGGTGTGTGCCCGTGAAGACGCCAACGAGTCGGCGTCGTGACCCCCTTTTTCTTTTGTGGCCGTTTACAAATTAGCCTCTTTTCTTTTCTTTCCTTTCTCTTTGTTGTTGTTGCTGTGTCCTACGTCGTCTATTAATCTTGAAGAAAACCCTCTTTTTTTTTGGCGGCTTCCGTGTTGTTTGTGCAGCTTCCTAAGAATAATAAAACGGTATATATATACATACATAAATAAAGGAACACGTGGCAACTCCGCAGGTGCGTTTGCCGCTGCCGAAAACTGCTTTGCCTTTGTTTTTGTGTTTATGTTTGTTTTGTTGGAGGACGGAAAAATACTTTGGATTACCTTGCTTTGCCTTTTTTTCTCCTTTGTACATGGCATTCTGCACGTATAGCGGCTGTTGCTTCTTCTTTTGGATTTCCTAGCTTGAGGGCGTGGTATTCAACTTTTAAGGTGCCCTGTACTATCTGGGAAGCTCCGTGTGCTTGAAAAAGGCGAGCAGCGACCTTTTCTTGTTGTTGCTGTTCCGTCGCGCCCAAAGAGTTTGTTTATTCATCTACGTGTATCCGTACATACATTCATTTGTATACCCTGCGCCATATTGGGTGGAGGTGTGTTTCTAGCTTGTACGTTGTGGCGTGCTTCCTTTCGTTCTCAATTCCCTCGTTGACGCGTGCGCTGACGCTTTCAGAGTTCCAAAGCTAATTTGTCGGTTCTTTTTTCTGTTGTTTCGTACAGCGATATTCGGTACAGAACGGAGAAACTTTTGTTATTGTTGTTGGATAATCGAAAACGAAGAGCCGCAATTACGCGCGGTTGCTGCTGATCGGATTGAGCCGAGAGAGAGACGCACACACACACACACACACACAGAGAAAGAATGGGCTGCAATGAGTCAAAAGAACGCCTGCCGCAGCAGACGCACACCGGCGCATCAGACCCGTCGGGGAACGACGGAGCCGCGCCGCATAAATTGTCGGATAATGCAAGTAACGCGGCCGTGATGGCCTCACCGGGCAGCGCAGATGAGGGCGATGTGCTAGCGCGACAGACCAGCTCCGCCTTGCCTTGTGCGGCCACGCCGGTGCGCAGCCATGGGTCGTCGCCTTGCCGAGACGTTCCTTCGCCATACCGCCACGACGTGGCGAAAAGAAACATTAATCTTAAAGGGCACGTCACTGACGACCGTGAAGGCGGAACCGCTGGAGGACGAGCCACCGACACAGCGTCTCTGGCGTCGCATGAAGTGCGTGTGGTGGATCTTGATGCGGCTGCGCTGACAAGCTCTACTACGCCGCCCCACAGCACCGGTCGTACAGACTCACTAAATGTAGCGCACACCGACCGCAGGCATTCACCGCAGTCGCCCGTCTCCTGCCTCTCCAACACCCCCACAAGGACGTCACCGCATCCAGCTGTTGCACCGGCCTCTCCGGTGCCAAAGCGGGGCCCCCCGCTGCTGCTGCTGCTAACGCCGCCGTCGCTTTCTCTCAGCACCTCGGATGAATCGGTTAGTGTGACGGTAGCCGGCGGCGCCTCTCCTCACTTCGGTGCTGCTGATGTGGCTGTTGATGGTTCTCTCCGCCCTCGCGAGAGAAGCGGTCTGGCCGACCGCGACAGATCCGGCAATCGCGGTAATGGCGGCGAGTTGGCGGGAGGGGAGATGGGTGGCACCGCCGCCGCCACCACAGGTGCAGCAGCAACAGCAACTTTGATGGACTCCGCCTCCTTCCTGCGCACCTTCCCCTCTACACAACCGCCCTCCGCACACGTCAGTCGTTCTCCCTCAACGCAACCGGCGAGAACGGGGTTCGTGCTGGTTCCCACCTCGCCCAGCGATCCGGCGGCGGCAGCGTCGTTGTCTTCTTCTGCGATGCAGCGGCAGCTTCTTCGGACTCAAAGCCCCATCCGCTCCCCCATTGACGTCTGTGCGGAACCAATCGATGTGCGGTCGCCGGCGACTTCGTCGGCCTCGCCTCGCCTGCCCACAACCGCGGCAGCGGGCAGCTCCCCGCGGTGCCACGGACAGCCCGTCGTCGCCCTCCTCATTACCACTTCTATTGACTACGACACCACCGCGGACGGCTGCTCGAGCACGCCGACGCAGCCTCTCTTCGCGGGTTCTGAACACAACGGCGACGGGAAAGAAGGGACGCTGCCGTATCGGGGCTCCGTGACGCAGCGACGCAGCGCCAGCAATTCCACCGCCTCCCCGCACCCCCGCACGCCGGTGTCGCTCGTCTCGCCGACCCGGCCGCGCAACAGCACGGTCACCGCCTTGTCGTCCGCAGCGGTGGCCGCGGACTGCAACGACGCCCCCTACGACCTTCCTCTGCCGGACGGTGAGGGGTGCTGTGCGACGCTACCCCCATCCTCCGGCGGCAACAGCGCAACTACCCGGGGATCATCCACTGGAAAGGCGGCGGCGGCAGCGGCGAACAACACCGGTGGTGGTGTCAGTGTAGGCCGTGTCTCGTCCCCGCGGTGGCTGCACAGGAGCCCCAGTCTCCGCTCCCCTGCCGCACCGTCCATGACCTTAACAGACAGGGAAAGCTTCCGCAGCAGCCACGTCAACGCCGTGTCGCCCAACGCGACGCCGGCTCTCACCTCGCCCTTTACAACGCACCTGCAGAACCACAACAACCTTCCACATAGTCTTGGCCTCGCCAATGGGAGTGGGAACTGGTGGCTGAGCGGTAGCGGCATGGAGAACAGCGGGAGCTTCGCCGGCACCCCACCCACCAACTCGGAACTCGTACGCCAGATCAACAAACCCACCACGCACATCAAGTCCATCCTACGCAAGGGCCCCAGCTCTTCCGCCATCGCTGCTACCACCCACCCCGGCGGGGCCACCATCACCACCGACGGTGATGCAGCGACGACGACGACCACGCTGGGCGCCAGCGGTGTCCACTCCCGCGTGCTCTCCCCCTCGCTGACGCACCTGAACGGCAGCGCGTACTCGCCGCAGGTGGTGATGCACGACGGCGTCTCCTCACTGCCCGAGATGGCCCTTCGCACCGACTTCATCACCACCCGGCCCTCGAGCAGCGACGTGGATGTGGCGTCTCTGCCCACCGCGCACTTGCCTGTCCCATCACCGCCGCCACCGCTGCCGGCAGGTCACATCCACCCCCACTCGACTACTTCGTCCAATGGTGCACCGCCGCGTCACTCCGGAGAGATCGCGTTGGACGCCAGCATCGGAAACGGCACGAATGCAGGAGTTGCCGCGGCGGAAGGAATGGCGGAGGACGGGCACCACCACCACCCCAACAACGATCAACACAATCATCCTCATTCTACTCCAGCGAGCGCTGAGAAGGGCAGGCATGGACGGGGAGGTGGCGTGGGCGGCCGACTGTCCCCGTTGTCGCGTCCGGCGTCGCTGTCGTTGTGGCTCACACCGTGCTCGTCACCCCTACCCCAGCAGGACCGCCGTGGACAGTCAGGGAGCCCTCACAGCACCAGCCTGAAGACGACGAGTGTGACGCCTGCCGGTTTTGCTGAGGCGAATGCTGCTGCTGCGCCGCTGCTGAATGGTTCGCTGCGGGCGGCATCGGAGTGCGCAGCCGCGGGAGGCGGCCTCACCTCGGATGAGCCGCCGCCGGATATCGTGCTCGTTGCACAGCCAAAGCGTGTGCACCTCGCGGTGTAGCGTGCGGAGAAGAGGTCCGTCGTGGACGAGGCAGCTCCAGGGCGATCCTTGCTGGGGTGTTATTGTTGCCCCCCCCTCCCCCCTGCTGTTGTTGGTGTTTCAATCTTCATGTCTCGATTTCGCCTATAAATTTTCATCGCTTTGCCCTTCTTTTGCTTTGTTTTCTCTCTCTATCCTTTGATTCTGTACGAAGAAGAAAAAGTCTTTCCGCTCGCCACGACGGGCCGGTGAACGTCGATCGTGAAGCGAGAAGCCATTGTTTTTCGTTTTCCCCCTTTCACCTCGTGTCTTTCGCAATAAGTTAAATAAAATTGTTTCTCGTGTGTGTACGTCTGCGTGTTACGAGTAGTGTGGAGTTGGCCTTTTATTTCTTTCTTCTTCCTTCATGTATCACCCACACCCACGCAGCAATCATGTTTGCGTTGCTTCGTATGTACATTTCTTATTTTGCCTTTTTTTCATGCATTCAGTCTATTTGATTTCCGCAAAGTCACCGACGGGGCTTCCACTCGCCGTAGAAGAAAGAAGGAAAGCACATTGATAAGTAGAATCGACTCGCCGCCCCTTTTTGGATTTCTTCTGTAACTACGCGGGGTAACGCACAGCACTTGGGAGGGGGGGGGGATGTGAACCCGCCATGCGGCGTAGGCATCTGGATGTATCCCTCCTATCCACTGGGCTTTTCGTTTCGAAAAACGTGGATGGAGGCGGTGGTATTCCCAACCGCATGGGAATGGCGTGCGTGGAGAGAGAGAGAGACGCAGCGAGTCGATGAATCGGGCATGGTTTATCTTTCTGATGAGCAGCGCCGGCATCGCTGACAACTCGTGGCTCCAAACAACAGCAGCTGCATTTCGTTTTAGCGCCCTTTCTCCGCAGGGTTGAAGAGGATGTGAAAAGAAAGAATTCCCTCGCCTTCTTCTTTTTTCCCCCTTTCCTTTTTGTTCTGTTCTCTTGGCCCTTCGGCTGCGTTACGTCGTGGCGTCTTCTCCGTGAACTCGCACGCGGATTTGCCTCTCGCAGACGAGTTACTGAACTCAACACGGAACAATAACTACAAAGCACACGAAACACGCACCTCAAGCAGACAGACAATTCAAACACACACGCACACACGCGCACACTCTCTCGCACTGCTCAACCATCCAAACGCAAACGCACTCGTGCGGAGGACGAATATATAAAATTTTGCCTTTTAGACTCATACCTCGCCTTGCTTTTTATTTTTCTCCTCCGCCTCCGTTTGACTCCCACGACGCGCACTCGTCGTGAGATCTCTTTCTCATTGGCTGGAAAAATAGAATGATGAGCGCCTCTCACCCGCCTTCGACCGCAGCCACGCCTCACCTCTTCGGACTGCCACAACGTATGTTTAAAGACGGTGCACCGGCAGACGCACACACCACTGCCTCCTCCTTCTTCTCACCCTTCTCCCTGAGCAGCACTCCGCTCGCTTGCCGGGACAGCAAAAGCACCGCCGTCGTGCTGTCTGACCGAGACCGTGAGGGCGACGAGGCGCTGACGCCGACGGCCTTCAGCAACTCCACCACATCCGTCACCACGTCCATCGCAATGCACACAGAGGACGAGGAAGGCCGTGCGCACAATTCCGACGTCACTCTGCGCTCTACCGACGCTCCTACAGACTCTGCGCTGCCGCAGCCGCAGCCGCGCGCACGTCGTTGGACACCGCGACGGCGCTCGCCTGGCAACTGCTCCTTCAGCAGCATCGGTGGTAGTGGCGAAGCTGGTGTGACCACGGTGCGGGATTGGGTGCGGTCTTCGCGATGCAGCCCTTCCAAGGAGCCGCGCAGCTCCTCGGTGTCACGCCGCGACGGCTTCGTCGCCTCCTTTGTTTCTGCCCTCGTGCCCCGTGAAGGGAGTGGAGGCGGCAGCGAGGGCGGTGGGCACGGCGAGGGCTTCTGGGGTGAAAGCGGCACCTCCATCACGACTCGTAGTGACAGCTTGGTAGGCAGTGCTCGCGGGGAGAGGGAGGAAGCGGTGAATTTGGCTGATGGCGGTCCGCAGCCGCACCTGCACCGTATGCGGAGCCCTCCGCGGACAGCTTCGTGGCGGCAGCTGCGCTCGCACCCAGGCGGCGCCTCTTCGCGGGTCCCACCGCTCTCGTTTCCATCCTCCGCAGCGGCGCCGCCGCCGTCGTCTTCGTTCTCATCTCTCTCCTCCGCGCAGTCGCTCTCGCTGCCCGGGACGCCAACCTTCTCCACCGCCGCCCTCTCCCGTGACACCAGCTGGACCGGCACAAATTTGTCCGCCAACTGGGAAATGAGAAGAGCGGTCCTGGATCGCGAGCACACCGACGTGGTTGATATGTGCGGCAGCGTGTCCACCGCCGTAACGCTGATGCGCGGGTGGGGCATGTCGGAGCCGCACGGACAACACGTGTCCAGCACGCTTTCCGGTGTTTCTTCCCCATCTGTGCTGACGCCGCTGTCAAGCCGTGCCGCCTCTCCGGCCGCCTTCGCACCGTCGTCCTCAATCAACCACCACCACAGCAATCGTGAAGTGCGTACGTCACCACCACCGCCACTACTCGCGTCATCATCCTCTGTACCGTCTTCGGGGCCGGCCATGTCGATGAGCGCACGCGAGTTGGCGCAGATGCGGGAGTGGCAGAGTACCGCAGAGGCACAACAGCAAGAGCAGCCACTCAACAACATGCGTGACAGCAGTAGCGGTGGCAACGCGTTGTTTGGCGCATCGGCTCGTCTCCCGCCCACGGTGCCTCGCGCAACACGGCAGGATGACTTCAACGGGCGATGCTGGAGCGGTGGCGAGCCTCTCAGTGCGCGCTCCGACAGCCCGTCGCGCGCCTCCGCGTCATCATACGCAAGCGGGATGTGGAGTGGTCAGCGCGGCAGCAACGCGCAGACGTCGCTGGGCTGGCGAAGTGACGCTGCAGGCGGCGACTCTACGACCAGCAGCCGTCGCCTCTCTCCGGTCTCCTTCTCCCATGCGTGGAGTGGCGGCGTGCGACGTGGCAGTGGATTTCCAGATAGCTGCACGACCACGCCTCTCACGCCCGCCTCACCCGGCTTCCCCCACCCCTTGTCCGCTGACCTCTTCGCCGTTGGACAGGGCTACTTCAACGCGGAGGATGCGGTGGATGCGCGCACCATGGAGGATATCGAGGATGCAAACACGAAGCGGCAGTGTGTGGAGAGCCCCACGGCGGCGACGTCGCCTATGCTGACCTCCCTCTCTCTCTCACTGGGCTCCTCGTGCTCGTCCTTGGCGTCGCTGTCCCTGGCCGACGCCCTCGCTACGCAGTCGTCGCGCGTGGCGCTGCCGAGCGAGGCACACTTGTGGCAGCAGCGCGAACGTCGCCGTCGCGACGTCTCCCCCTCTGTGGCGCGACCGGATGATGATGACTGTGACAATGAGGAGGTCGGCCGTCAGGGTGCTGTGAGGGGCGTGGCTGACAGCAGCAGTAGCAGCAGCGGCAACAGCAATACTGTGCGGGGGGATCACTGCTGCGTGGGCGCCGAAGGTTGCGTGACGGGCGTGCGAAGTGCTGGACGGCGTGATGCGGAGGCGGCGGCGTTGGGAGGTGGTGGCGGGAGCAGCAGCCCTTGCACCTCCGCTGCTCGCACCGCAGCTTCTTCTTGTGCGGGTCTTCACTCGTTAAGCTGCCACTGGCAGCAGCAGCAACAGCAGAGGAAAGGCAACGACAGCTGCGGGGTGTATGACCACGACAGCTCGCCCCCTCTCGCCCTTCTGCGGGAGGCCACCGTCGCCCCCTCCGCAGCGGCCCGCACGGGTGTGTTCGAGGTCGGTACAGCGGAGGACGAGGCGGGTGACGGGGAGATCAGCAGCAAGGCCGCCTCCCTGTCCTTCTGCTCCGCCTCCGAGGACGAGCCGGAGGTGGACACGTTTGCGCTGGAGCGGGCGCAGGCGGTGATGGAGGATGCCGACGCGGAAGCGGTCGCCACGCTGCTCGCACGACAGCACCTTTTGCATGTCCACGCCACCTCTGACTTTGCACAGGACCTGCGCGCACATGGGGCCCACGTTGACCCGGCGCTGTGGGAAGAGAAGGTGGTGGAGCTGAAGGAAGGCGGAGGAGGAACGAGCAACATCAAGGAGGAAGAAAAACCCTTGAGGAGCTCTCACAAGTCTGTCGGCGCAAGCAATGCGGAGGAGGACGCGAGCGGTGGCACCGGCCTGTCCGTCACGTCCGACTCTCTCGACGTCGCCACCGGCTCCACCACGAAGTGCAGTCCGCTGTCCCCTCCTCCCCTACCACCCAGCGCAGCGCACGCGCCTTCCTCCTCTTCGTCTTACCTTGGCGACTCCCCCGCACGGTGCGCGTCATCGACCCTTACCAGCCGCATCGGCGGGGACGAGGGCCTCCTACGCACCCCACCGCGGCCAAAGCGTCCGGCACAGCACATGCGGTGGGGTGCCGCGGAGGACAGCGAGGAGGTGCGCACGCCGGGCTCGGCAACGACGGCGAGTTCACGCTCGCTGCGTGATGTGTCACCGCCGGTGCGGGAGCGCAGCATGGCCCCGGCGGAGCTGTGGAAAGAGAAGGAGGAGAAGGAGGAGGAAGAGCTGTGATGCAACGCTTCTCAGCGACTTGACTCGTTTGAAATATATATATTTGGATGAATGGTCCTTTATCAATACTACTTTTTAAGTTTTTTGTAGTCTCTCTCTGCTCCAGTGCTTTGGCTCGTCTTTTGTTTGGGCTCCTTCTCCTCATCGCGTTGAGCAAACTCGGGTGGCGATTCGAATCTCTCTTGCGGTTACACAGAGTGTGACACCTTGCGTATATATATATATATATTCGTATATATATTTATTTGGTGGTGTTGCGTTGCGCTCTCCCTTCTTTTTGCTGTCCCTTTCCAGTTTTGTTCTGTCTTTTCTTCTTTTTAGAGACAATATCTTCTACATCTTGTCACCGTTTCACACCCACACATGCGCGTTGGTTTCTTCTCGTGGGTTTTCCCTTCTCTCTCGTGTACACCTTCCATATTTTTCTTTCCTTTCTCTGTGGAGGGTTCATCCTCACTCCCTTGTACTTCTATCTTTGCCTCCGCGGTATTCTTGTTTTTGTATGTTTATGTTTTCTAGTCTCCTTCAACGCGCTTCACTTGTATCAACTCTATCGTACCTCGCTGGTGAAAAGAAGAAATCCAAGCAAACAATGAAATAAGCCAAGCAACACACACCCACACATACCATGGTGGAAACAACGACGCTGACATGCAGTGGCACACACACACACATATACGAGGGGAAAAATAATAATGATAACGTGAAAGGAAAGAACGAATCGCTCAGACGCTGCCCTTCACTTCGTTTGTTGTAAAAGGTGGAGGGAAGACTGCGTTGATCTTTCATCGTGCCGTGGCGCTAAACTCCCTCGTCGCATCCACAAGCAAAGCGCCGCAAATCGTCTTCCCTCCTCCGTGCTCGGTGTGCTCATTCAATATCTTCTTTTTCCCTCCTTCTTCTTTTTTTAATCATCCTCACATTTCATCTCTACTGCGCTCCAACGGTGCCTGCATCAACAGGTGTGTTGCCCGTTGTACTGCACTCTCGCAAACTGACTCATCTCTGAAGCTGCAACCAACTCCATTGCGTGTTCTTATTTTGTTTGCTACTGGCTGTGCTCACCCTCTTAGATTTTCACAGAACACAGACCCACCAACACACACAGACATACGCAGACACATCGAAACAGCACGGTGCACGTGTTCGGTTCGCCACCTCTTGCACCTGTCGTGTATTTCCCCCCTCTCTTCTTTCGAAGATTTTATTTTTTACGATTCACTGTTTCTCTTGTCAGCTAACCGTAACCAACGTTGTTCTTCATCACCATCTGTACCACCATAAATATACTCATAACATACCAAACACACACACACACACACACGGACACAAATAAGCACGGAATTACAGCGCTGGTAAATCAGATCGTTTTTCTTTCTTTTTTTTCTCGTTTGTTGTGTTGTACTGCACAGAGAGAGAGAAAGAGAAAGAACTGTACTTCTCCCTCTATTGTGTATCCGTAGACTGTACCTCTCTTAGTATATACCTATTTTTCTGTTCTTTTAGATTTCCTGCATCGTACATTCACGCCTCTTCATTTGTGGGCTCTTGTTTGAAAAGAATCGTTTTTGCTATCACCGTAGAATTCTTTTTTGCTTTACCTTTTCTCTAGATCGTATCTTTCTGTCTCCCACGCACCAGCTGCACAAACAAAGATAAGGCAATACCCGAGAGTTGAGCGTTTGCAGAGGAGCTGTGAGCTGTTCTCGCCTCTCGAAGCCTTCTCCCTCAGCTGTTGTTTTTTATCCTCCCTTTTCTACGCGTTTTATCGCTGCCGTAGTGTGTTCGCCCCCCTCCTCCATACCTCCCTTAGTCATGAACCCTTCCGAAGCATCCTACTTTGAGGTGACGCGGGCGGCGACGTCGATGCAGTTCTCGCCAGATACACCGCCGTGCACTCCCCCGCTGCAGCCATCGCTGCCAGCCGACACAGCACGCTCCATGATGGGCAGCGCCACACGGAACGCCCTTCCCAGCTCCATGCTCTCGCCAGCAAAGGAGAGACACGCCACAGTGGACGCGCTCGACAACGCCTCACCGCCTCCCCGGCCGCCAAAGTGCGATGAGCGCGACGGCGACGTGCGACCGGATGCGGGCGACTCCGCACCCGCTAACGAGCAGCGGCTGTTGCACCTCGAGCCGCCGGCGCCGGACACCCACCGCAATACCGTTGTCGTTGATAGCGAAGACGCGGCGACACCGCACTGTGAGCCCCGCCACACACGCGGCCCCTTTCTGTCGCTAGAGTCCTCCGACACCGACAGTCAGGCACTCTTTGCGACGACGCAGCTGCTGAACGCGACGACGATGCCGCTGGCGCGGTCGGAGGGCAGCAGGGAGAACTCCAGCTCCGTCTTCTCGCCCAGCGTACACCGACCTGTTGCTGCTGCCGCCGCTGCTATTGCTGCTGGCAACGCGACGGGTGGAGGGCACGGGCGGTGCGAGCCAGAGGACGTGTGGGCACGTGACCCGAGCGACCGTCCCCGCTGCGAGGACCCGGCGAACGGCGCGACAGCGTCGCGAAACACACCGATGGAGCGTCCACTACCCGCCGATACGTCCGCCAAGGACCCCGCAAACGGTGTCACCAGCAACGTCGACCATCAGCACCACCATGACAACACTGAGTGCTCGGAGAGCGACGACGAGGACGAGGTGGGCCTCTTTCAAGAGACCGTGTTGTTCATGAACAACACACTGCACTCCCTCGGCAGCACCCGCCACACGCCGAACCGGCAAACACCGCATCAGACGCCGCTGCTGGCTGGATCGCCGTCCAGTCCGGTGCCAAGCAGGCCGGATGCGCTGGGCTCGACACCCACAAAGCCGACACGTCGTAGTGTCAGTGGCGGCTGTCATGGCAACGTAGACTCGGACGAGTGCCGCCCCGACCGCGACTGCGCAGAGAACAAAATCGTCGGTGGTGGTGCACGGGGCTACCTGACGCTGCCCTCCGAGATGAACGCGTCGGCGACCACGACGAGCACGCTGGCGTACCGGACGTGCCCCGCCTCCCCGGCAACCACCTGCAGCCCCGGTGTCTCGGCGCCGTCGCTCTCGCCTTTCCTTGCCACGCAGTTGCCGTGCACCGACCACCCGACGACGACGACCACCACCACCGCGGCCACGGAGGCGACGCACCGCGACAGAAACACGAACGCTGCGATTCCCAATGGCAACAGCAACAGCGACAGTGAGTACCTTTTCATTGACAATCACGACGGCACGGCGTACTTGGCGGACGCCTCGCTGCAGTTGGATGGCAGCTACGTGCTCGGCGAGACGATCCTGCTGGCCCGCAGCGAGGCCGCATCGCCCAATTCGACGTCCATGCGACAACGGACGAACGGCGCCGTCTCGCCTGTCGTCGTGCTGCAGACGGCGGACCGCCTCCCTCCGCAGCACCGGCGGGAGCAGTTCGCCCACCGCCCGCTGCGTGGCACGACGCTGCAGCCGGCAGCAGCAACAGCAGGCGCAGCGAGGGCGGCAGCCCCTTTTACGAGTCCCACCCCCCGCCCACTCGCCGGCTCACCGACGCCCATGAGCTTCAACGACTCTTTTGCGTCGCCGGTGGCGCCCAGCGTGGCACGCGTGCTCGTGCGCCGCTCGCCTGCTCCGGAGCGTGCTGTCTCCGTGGAGGAGGATGCCCACCACCACCCGCTCGGTGCTTCCTGCGTGCTGGGCTCGACCTTCAACCACAGCTTCCGCTTTGATCAGACGCTGCTCGTGCCGCTGGATGACACGCTGCGGAGCAGTCTGGCCGCGCCAGCTTCGCCGTCGGTGGCGGCTGACCGCCACGGTGGCCCGGCGCCCTCCATCTACCGCAGCAACGACACCGACGCGCCCCGGTGGGACAGTGGGGCCTCGCCACTGGTGATGATGCCGGCCTCGCCCGCCGCTTCTGTCGTCGTCTACCGAAGCGCACGCAGCCCCGCACTGCCCATGGCCAGCTCCGCCTCTCGCGCCTCGCCGACTCCGCATGCGCCGTCGGTGACGCGGCAGATCGCGTCGCAGCAGGCGCGTGCGACCCGCGACACCCGTCCGAGCCGGCCCGAGCAGGACATCGTTTACCTTGTCCCACCGGGTGCGGCAACCGCCATCGTGACTCCGGAGGACATCACGCAGCAGGGGTGGATTCCTGTACAGGTGGTGGACGTGCTTCCGGCTTCAAAGGGCGGCTCGGCGCCGAACAGCAGCAGCAGCAGCGGCTACGCGCGTAACGGCGGGGGCAATCCGCCGGTGATGATAGAAGGGAGAATGGTGTCTCCGGTGCCGAAAGACCCGGCCATGCAGAACGAGCCGGCGGAGGAGGAGGAGGTGGTGCGTGAGCAGAGTCTTTCTCGTCTCTCCTACGGCCGCACAGACGAGCGCCCTGCCAATGGTACGCTGCGCAACGCCTCCTTCAGCTTCGCCTCGACCCTCTCCGCCTCCACGCTGGACTGCATTAACCGCCGGTTGAGTTACTCGCTGTCGGACTGGGCCAGCGTGCGTCAGCGCTTCGGCCATTCGATGTCCGCCGGGGATCCCGGCAGCGTTTCCGGCGTGGTGATGCCCCCCGCTACCCCGCTTACATTTTCGGTTATCGGTGGTGAAGGACAGCAGCAGCAGCAGCAGACGACGCCGACGACGGCCTCCGCAAACGTCCATATGGACTGCCACTGCAATGCGGGTGTTCGCCTGGGCGGCGGAGGCGCAGTGCGGGACCGCGTGGAAGGGACGTGGCTCGAGGACGGCCACGACGACGGCGGGTCTCCTGTGCCGCTGCCTCCCCCCGGCACGCCGGAGCCGCCGCAGCGGGAACAGAGCCCGTCCCGGTGCACGACGACGGACGCCGCACCTACCACAACGCACGACACGGCAGAGACGTGGACGGCGGCGGCGGCGGCGGAGAGTCACCTGGCGAACTCGCTGCTCACGAGCATGAGTTACCAACGCCCGTCGACCATTACGACCAGCGACGAGTACCCGGGCGACTACTCCATGAGTCTCCCCCTCACCTCCTCGGCCAGCCAGTCGCTCGGGCTCAACGGCGGACGCGCGCGGTACTCCAATGCGGAGAGCCTCAGCCTGCTGCACTTCCCCCTGCAGCACCAGGCGTTGCGTGCACCGCACCCCCGCCGCGTCTCCGGCGCCACCGCCCTCTCGCAAGCCGCATCGTCGTTTTCCTTCCAGCTGCTCGGCGAGCAGAGCGACCAGCAGGGTGCGGGGCTGAGCAGCAATACCAATACCAATTCCAACAGTGCGGCGGCGGCGGCGGCGGCGGCAGCTGCCACGAGCTTCCGCACGACGTACTGCACGAACCCCGGCAGCGTGGCCGTCACCTCGCTAAACCCGAGCGTGAGCGGCGCCGGGCTGCCTCTATCCCGCGGGGCACTCGGGGCATCCGTCGGTGCCCGCAGTACCGCCACTGGTGTTGGTGGCGCGACGAGCCGCTTCCCTTCGCACACGCAGCACTACGCCGCAGCTGCCGCAGAGCGACGTCGTGCCGGCCCGACTGGGACAGGTGCTCACGTGAACGCTGCTTCGTTGAGCACCGACAGCTTCGCCGGCCGCTCCGGCGCGGTCAATCGCAACGTGGCGCAACATCACCCCTACCTGAGCGTGCAGCAGCGGCAGCAACAGCAACTAGCGCGTCGTGTCGTGGCTGCTGGTGGCGGTGGAAACGGTGGCGGTCTTCGCCGCGCTGCGAAGGCGCGTCTGGTGCCCGACACATCCGCCTTCCTTCCATGGTCTCCCCTCACCATCACCCCGGAGGGTTCGCTCAACCTCCCTCGCAACGACGCGGACGTTGCGGCGGCGATGACGGACGCGTGCGGGCTTCCCATGAACCTTGTCCCCTACTCTAGCTCCGCGGAGACGAGTACGCGCACCACAACAACCACCACAACGCGCACCACGACGACCACCTCCGGTGGGGAGAGCCGCAGCGCGCAGGCGGTGGCGCAGCAACTGTTGGACAACAGGGGCGGCAACGAAGCGGTTGAGCTGTCGCCGGAGGCGCTGCGGGCGCTGAACGCTGCCGTCGCCGCCGTGACACGGGCAGCGGACGAGAGCAGCAGCATCAGCGAGGCCTTCGTGAAGGAGGACGGAACGTTAAACAAAGATGCGTTCGTATCGTCGTTCTTGCAGCACGCCGCCTCACAGGCTGCGACCAGCGTCGGCGATACCAGCGTCAACGCGGCTTCCACCATGACGACGACGACCACCACCACTGCGTCCGGTGGCGAGAAGAGCTTGGCCGTGTCGCGTGCCTCCATGACCGCCAGTGAGGTGCACCTGCCGGACCACAGTCGGCGCTATGACTTCCAATTCATGACGCTCATGGAGGCAACGATGAACCACTTCCAAGGATCCGTGTCAGCGGTGTCAGCCTTGGAACCGGAGCCGCAGGCACCAGCACCGGCAGCACCAACAGCAGCAGCAGCACTCTCCGCGACGCACGTCGCGCCAGCGGGGGGTGAAAAGGAGAACGGAAATGCTGTGCGCACTTCAGCCGCGCGCAAGTCGGAGTCGATTGACGCAGTGCGTCCTGCCGGGCTGCGTGCGGGCTCGTTGACCAACGCAGCACGTCCCTCCTTCAAAACCCGCTCCCCGTCCCACCACACAACGGCCGAGGACCCCACCGCGACCACGAAGAACGCGACCGCGTAAGTCGTCCTCCCACCTTTTTGTTTTGAATTATTACCATTATTATTTAATGTTATTATCTCTTTTTTACGCGGAAGACTTCGCTGTCAGTTTCGTGAAAGACAAACGAAGAGCGGTGGTTTGATCCCATTCTTTCTGGCTCGTGCTGCCGCCGTTCGATCTCCTTAACGCTCCATCATTTCCCACCTTCAAAACAAGCAAACACGGGAGAAGCAACACCGGCGCTGTTGTTCTTCTTCTTCCACCTGTACCAAACTGAATTGCCTGTACCGTTGACTGCCCTTTTTTTTTTGGCTCCTATAAATAATAATAAAAAGAACTATATGAACCTCTTATAGATTTATATATGCCAAACCTACTAAAACTGTATATATTATTTCCTAGCAGAAGCGAAGGGGCCCTTGTCAAGACTATTTTTCGAAAGGACGTACCACAACAAACATTGAAATCGTTTGTGTCTCCGCGGAGTTTTCTTTCGTCAATCCCTTTTTTTTAGATCTCGCTATTACTATTTTTATTGTTATTATTGATTTCACATGCTGCCTCGCCTAATGAACGCGTTTCTCCTGTCTCTTTCCCCACCACTTACGCTTCTCTTTTATTGTTTTGTTTTCCTCCCCGTTCTTGTATCCACCGGGGGGGGGGGGTCAGTTCTCCTGTACCTGTAGCTCCAAACCCACTTTATACACCTCCATTCGCCAAGAAGCACCTCAAGGCAGAACGAATTGAAAAAGGTGCCAATTTAATCTGGCACGTAATCAGAGAGGAAAGAAAGAGGAGAGAGAGCGTCTTTAAGCTGGCTTTTGCGTCGACGGATAGAGCTTCCGTTAGTCAGCAGCCATTCAACGCGACGTGCTTCAATAGCAAAGGCCTGTACACGTCGAAGATGCTGCGCAAGGAGGGGTAAAAGAAAGGAGAAAGTGTGTGATGACCCGCCATTTCTCGGCGAGTGCGCTTTGGATTCGCGTTGGCGACATCCTTCCATGACGCGGTGCCCATGCAAACCTTCAAGGAAAGTAGGAAAAAACCCCTCACACTTCACACCTCCGATTATGAAACAGTATTTGCTTCGTTCATATTATCATCTTCACTTCCTCTTTTTTTTCCCTTTCGAATTCCGAACAACGCACAACGTACATTCACATTATTATTTATTTATTATTATTCTCTTCTTCTTCGTTGGGGTCGCGTCTCCCACACGCACCATCACACAGCACGGCGGCCCGTCGCACAAGTGTGCCTACGCAGAGAGATACGCAAGGGCCTCGCATTGCAGCACCGGCAATGATAATTGCAACGGCAGTCACACAACATCATTAAGGAAAGACCACACTCCGTCACTCACACAAAATATATATTTATATATATCTATTCAACGAGTAAAGGAAAGTAAAAGAAACGTTTTTTTTTCTGTTTGCTTGGTCGTTTTCCCAGGCACCCCGAGCAGGAGGCAACGGACTCCTTTGCGGATACGTTACACCATATTTTTCTTTTCTTTTTCTTTTAGTAGCTCATTTACTTATTTATTTTATACCCTTTTAAATGAACCGCGCCCGTCCCAGCGGCGCGGCGTCTCGTGCGCCGACCAACGCCAACGCGCGTCAACCGCGACAGACCCTTAAAGCCACCACGCCCTCCGCCATGGCACCCACAGAGAGATCCAAGAAACCCACCCCGCTGGCGAACCAAGTTGTCGTGGTACGAACCACCACCACCACCAGCACCGGGAGCGGTAACAGCAAGGCTTCTTCCCATGCACCATTGGATGCACGACGCCAGTCCTCCTCGCCCCTCTCGCACCCAGCAATGACTACCCCATCCAGAGCAGCAGCGCACGACAAGAAGCAAGGACTACATGCGCAGTCTTCTGTCGTTAATACGACGAGCACGTCCAGCGGCCGCAAACCAAAGATGAGTGGTGCAGCGGCAAAGGCAACGGCAACGGCAGCAGCAGCGGCAACCCCACCGTTTTTACCCAAACAGCGGCTTTCCCCGTCGCGGAAGCCCTCGTCGTCGTGCGCCGCCGAAACGCCCGACAGCCGTCGCAAGAGCGTGTCGGTGCGGCAGAAGCGAACCTCGAAGGACCACGCCGCCGCCACCGCGGCCTCTTCTTCTCAAGCACGCGGAGCCGGTGTGAAGCTCCCTCCCCTCTTGCGAGAAGAGCAGACGAACGGGTCGGGTAGTGAGCTTCTCTCACCAGCGCGACCGGCGTCGGAAGGCGTCAGCCCCATCCGGGCGCTGTCCCCCCTTCACAACTCCGTTTTTGCGCACACCATGGCACCTCCGCCCCCGCTGCTCCAGCACCACCGTCACTACCCAACCAACGGACTGAGTGTGCACAGCAGCGCTAGTGGTGTGACAGGGAGGGAGCTGTTCGAGCTGCGGCGGAGAAGCCGCGTGCTCGCCCCCGTCTCACCGATTAGCACGACGAGCACTCCTCCGTCGTTGGGTAAGTGCACACCGCTGGAGCCCGCAACACGCACCTCGTCGAAGCCTGCCTCGCCGCAGTCCTCTACGTCGTCGTACAACGCGCTACTCCACCAAGGCGACCGCTGCGCCGATGTGTCAGCGTCGACCCCCACGGCTACGTGTGCTGATGTTCCTCTTACTTCCTCTTCGACCTCCTCTTCGCAACTCCCCATGAACCCCACGGCTTCTCATGTTTCACCGCATGCAGCGGCGGGGCCGAGGTGCGGAAGAGAGGAACAGAAGAAGAAATCGATGACCACAGCGGCAGACTTACTCTCCGCACCAGTGACAGAGCGCGGTGGCACGACGGCAAGCTCCACGAAGGGCGGGACGGCTGTCGATACGGCAACGACGCCGTCCCCAACAGACGAGGCGGTGACCCGCAGCGAGGCGGCCGAGGTGGAAGACGAAGTGGAGGACCTCGGCGACGACAAGGTTGACGCAGACGTTGACGCAGACGTCGAAGACGAGGGCGATACGAAAGGCCGCGAGGGCACCGCGGAGTCACTGGCGGCCACAGAGACGTCCCGCGAGGACGAGGACGACTCAGAGGTGGACGTCTCCGCCGACATCAGCGGGAACAGCGACGAGGAGGGCTCCGAGGAGGACTACTCTGACGAAGAGTCGGAATCTGCGACGGATGACGAGGATGAAGAGTACGAGGAGGAAGAAGACGAAGACAGCGACGAGGACGAGGAGGAGAGCGACGCGGAACCGAGTAGCACCCACCGGAGAGGCCAACGACGACGGAGCACCTCATCGCCCGCGTCACGCGTGGCCGTGGGCGGTGGCGTGGCGGCGGCGGTGGCGATACGCGCCAAAGACAAATCCACGCCAGGTAAGCCGGCAGACGAAGGCGGAGAGGATCCTCCGTTTTTGACGAAGCGGTCGAACACGATCGTGACGGCGAAGCCCCACCACCGCAACAGCAACGGCAAACGGAGGAAGAAGAAAGACTGCGTCGAGGCGCCGCGGAGCATCTGCACGAAGGTCTCGCGTGAGGGCGACGTGAACGTGAAGGTGGTGTACGCCGTCCGCACCCGCCACTGCTTCAAGCGCTTTGTGAAGGAGATCATGACCCGCTTCAGCTTTGCGAAGTCGACGGACTTCGACATGTACTGCATCGACGCGACAGGGGATCGGGTGGACATCGACATCGAGGAGGACTTTGAGCAGCTGCTCGACGCCTTCGAAGCCGCGATGGTGCGCACACAGGAGGCGCAGAACACCCCGACGCTGCCGCAGTTCTCCACCCCCGCGGGGCTCACGGAGGGCCCGCGCGGCGGCTACAGCGCCAACGCCTCTCTCGAGGAGCGGCAGGGTAAGCCGACGTCACCAGCCACCGCAGCACCGCGATCGCTGCTCGCGAGCCAGCTTCAAAACTCCCACGACGGCGCCACTGCTGGCGGCAGCTTCGGCTCTGCGTGGGACTACGGTGGCAGCTCACACCCCCTCGGCACCGAGGCGGAGTACGGCAGCCCGTGCGGGAGCACTAGCACAAGCGGCACACAGAAGCAGCAGTTACCTGGTTCTCTCTCTCCGTCCTCGGGCTTCGGGGCCTCCACCAGTGTCGTGGGTGGTGGAATGGAGAACGACGGGAAGAGCAGCGCGAGTGTGCTGCGCTTGTACGTGCGCTACTCCAACGCGTACTACCTTGTCCACGGCTACCCCGAGCGTCCCTGCTCGCCGAGCGCCTCGCCGTCTCTCTTCGCCTCGTCGAACCCGCCAGGTCGCACTACCGACCCGAATGTGGCAGCGCTCTTCACAAACCAGCTGCAGCAACTCTCCGCCCTCCGACCCCCGTCCGATGACGAGCGGCGCTCCGCTGATCAGCTGAACGCGCTGTCAAACGGAGGCAACGGAACGCACGCGGGCAACGGCTGCAGCTACGACGACTCGCCCATCGTGCATACGTTGCTGGGCAGCATGACCGGCAGCGCCACGGGGCCGACCGCCCTGCTGCTGCCGCATGGCAGTCGGGGGAAGGTGAATGAGGGGACGTCGCACTTCTTCAACGGACTTGGCGGCACCGTCGGTGGAGGGCTGTACGGCGCAGGAGCGAGCGTGCGGTCTTCTCACTTCACGGGCACCGGCGTTGAGCTGCCGTCGGCGCAAAATTCGTCCTTCGCGATGCTGACAGAGACGCAGCGCGACGCATTCACGTGCACCTTCATGGTAGATGGGAGTGCGCTGGTGGAGTGGCGCCCGGTGAGTGTGCTGGGCAAAGGCTCCTTCGGCACCGTCTACGAAGGCATCACCCTGGATGGCAAGATGATTGCGGTGAAGGTGCAGGAGCTGCCGATGGACGACGACGCGGCGGAGATCAAGGCACTGCAGACGGAGATTAATCTCATGCGGTCGCTGAAGCACCGAAACATCGTCGCTTACTACGGCTGCCAGACACGCGTGGCGACCACGGGCGGGCAGCAGATGGAGATTTTCCTCGAGCTGTGCCACGGCGGCAGTCTCGCCACGCTGCGGCGGAAGTTGATGAAGACGCAGCATGTCTTTGCCATCTCGCTAGTGCGCTCCTACACCCGTCAGGTGCTGCACGGTCTGGCCTACCTGCACGCCCAGCACGTGATCCACCGCGACATCAAGAGCGACAACGTCCTCATCTCCGCGACGGGGGAGGCGAAGCTGGCGGACTTCGGCTGCAGCAAGCGCTTTGGCGGCGGCACCGTGCAGGCGAGCCCGGCAACGCTGCCGTTCTCGACCTCGCCAGCCCCCGCCCCACCGGTAGCGGCCCCGGCGGCGATGTACCAGACGATGGTCGGCTCACCGTTTTTTATGGCGCCGGAGGTGCTGCGGGAGGACGAGGGCGGGTACACAAGCGCGGCCGACATCTGGTCCGTCGGCTGCCTCGTGATTGAGCTGCTCGGGCGTGAGCCGTGGGAGGTGACGGGCACGAATATTTTCCAAATGATGTTCCGCATCGCACGGGAGCAGGGCATGCCGACCGGGGTGCCACCGAACTGCCCGGCAATGCTGCGTAGCTTCTTTGAGCGGTGCTTTGAGCGGGATCCGGCGAAGCGCGCGACGGCGGCCGAGCTGCTCGAGCATGAGTGGATGACGTGTCCGGACAAGCTCTTGGAGGAGGTACCAACGGACTCGGTAGCGGGGTAGGCAGCGAGGCGAGGGACGTGCAATTTGACTGGGGCGCGATCGAAGGAGGGGGGAGTGGGAGAGCAGGAAACAGAACGGACGCTCTGTATCAGTCCTTTTTTTAAAAAGAAAATATGTTCCTTTGATGTATGGTATCTCTCCGGTGCGTGAGCGCTGTGTTTTCCCCTTTGTTTCCTCTGCAAAAGCGTTCTTTTTTTTTTTTAATATATATCTTTGCTGCTGTTGTGAAGGGCGGACATGCTGAAACAGAGATGCAAAGCCGCGGAGTTCCTCCCTCCTGACGTCGTTCCCTCCATTGCGTCAACCTCATCTCTCTCTCTATATTTTTAAATAAATAAAAAGGAGGCCTCCAAAAAAAAAAGCCCTCCTCAGCAATGGCGTACTTCTCTGCTTTTCTTTATTTTGGTGTTGTAAATCGAAAATACTTGTGCTTGTGTTTGTTTTGCCGTTGCCTCTTATGTACCCTTTTTTTTTTCTTCTTTCTGTCTTTACTAGAGTTCCGTGTTCACTCTTCGTCTACCCATCAGCAATTGTTTTTCTTCGTCTTGCTGTTGCACGCGGTGTCACCGCGTGTGTAATGCGTTGAGCTATGTACCTACCCTTCTTTTTGTATAAATAAATGGTACTTCTGCCGTGTGTTTGCAGGCAGGATCATTTTCCTTTTCTTTTTCTGTCTGTTCTTGATCTGTTCTCTGACAAGTCTGGCCGCTGATTTGTTTTTTCTTTTCCTTTTTTCCTTTAGCGTTATTCTCTCCGGCCCTCGCTTGCATTGCATTCCACGCGTCGTCACTTGGTCACGGAGCCATACAAACCAAGGTGATCCCGTTCTGCCTCGGAACTCCGACAAAGGGCGAGCTGCCTCTTTTTCTTGGAACTAGTACGTTTTTCCCTACAGAAGAAAAAGGGAATCAGAAGACGAGAAATAGCTGAAATACGTAGCATGGTGTGTACACAGTCTGACATGAAACACACAACAACACCGCGAACATCTTCAAAAAACAACAACAACAACAACAACAACAACAACAACAACGGAAAAATAACCTTGAGCTCCACGCTGTTGAATGGATGAGTTTTGAAGAAGCGCAGACCTTCTTGCACCGTCACGATTGACAACGGTAATGTGCTCGTGGTGGTTCCCTCTTTTGCGTTTGTTCTCTTTCTCCAACCACAGAAAAGAGAAAGGAGAATATGATGATGCATCCCGACTGCGTTGTCCTATGGCCAGTACAAACATTGCCTGGTGCGAGAATGCCAGTGCTGGAGAGAGAGAAAACGTGAAAGCAGTCTAGCTCATTCCGTATATATCTCGTAGGACTGCTGTCATTAAAAAGAAAAAAAGATCGTTTTACTCCTCTCTTTCACACATACACACACACCAATGGTCACCTACCTCTCTCTCTCCTCTGCGTTACCTCCACTTGTACATACGTGTATTGCACACGTGCAAATCTGTGCTGCTCTTTGTACTTTCTCACTTTACGTGTGTTTGCAGCTTCACTGCGACCCGCTATCTTGTCATCTCATTTTCCCCCTTTTTTTGCCTTCAATTACTCTCTTGGTTTTCTTTTCTGTTCTGTTCATTTAGTTTTTGTTCTTATTATTTCTTTCTGCGTCGCGTCCCCGTCTCGTCTCCGTTGGTGGCAATTTACGGTCTACGGGGTTTTTCCCTCTCTTTCTCTCGCGCTCTCACGCTACTAAAAATAGAAAAAAATAGTTTTCTTGGGACTGCGGTGCCGTGAGTTTTTTTTTTTGCTTTGCTTTGCTTTGCTGCTGCGATCGCATCTCTGAGAGTTCGAAAAAACAGAAGAAACAGAAGAAAGGAAAAGAAATACTTGTCGTTCTCATTTTCGTTTTCTTTTCTTCTTTTGCCTGTATTTGTTGTCTTCTCCTGAATACCCGGTGTGTGTGTGTGTGCCTGTGAGTGCCCTGCGCTGACACACACGAAGTAAAGTTGTATGTGCGTGTTTCTGTGTTTCCCTACCTGCCTTAGCTGTGTGTGCGTGTTTTGTTTTTTCCACTTTTTCTCTCCCTCTCTGTATTCCGCCGTATCGTCTTGCCGGTGATAGAGAGAAAAAGAAAAAGATCTCCAAGCAAGCGGCTATTCGAGGGACTGCGTCGGTGCAGCGATTAGCTCTTCTCATATTATTATTATTATTATTATTAGTATCTTCTTTTTCTTTCTTTCTTTCTCCTTTTTCCTTTTCCGCGTTTGGTTCTGTACAACGCAAAACCACTCGCCATCGCTGTCGTACAATATCGCCGAGTTGTGTCTCCTCAGCATTCCCCTCACATTTCTTTCCGTTTCTCCCCACACACATCAACGACCACCACCACCAACCTCAACTACAACACAAAGGAACTTCGCATCCCTCTCCTAGCAAAAAGAAGAAAAACAAAAAATCAAAAGAAAAACAAACACACAAGTTAAAGCAAAAAAAAAAAGAGAAGAAAGAAAGATGGAGCCTCGTACCGTTCCTGTAACCACCCCGATGATGACGTGCGATGCCTTCACCACCGAGCGCTTCAAGGGCAATCCGGCCGGTGTCTGCCTCGTGCCGACGCCTGTCTACTGCATGGAGTGGTCCGCCATGAGCAGCCTCGAGGCCAGCTTCGGCCGCGGCGAGCCGGAGCCGCTCGACATGCATATGACAGAGAAGGAGCGCGAGGAGGCGGGTGAGAAGTACGCGGCGGAGCGCAACATCAAGATGGGCAGGTGTTTCCAGCAGGTCGCGAAGGAGATGAACCTGTCCGAGACCGCCTTCGTCTACCGCCTGCCCGCCTCGCGCATTCGCACCATCCAGCAGCAGATTATGCGCAAGTGCAACGAATTTGAGCACGAGTATGAGGAGAAGGTGCGGCAGGACGATGAGGTGCGCCGCCGGATGAGCGCGGCAGTCACCGAGGACGACGAAAGCCCCGCCGCTTTCACGTCCATCGCGCAGGACCAGAGCGTCAGCATGGAGGGCACACCAGCCCCGCTCAACCCGAAGCGCTCGGGAGACGTGAGCGGCCCCCAGACGCGCTCGCCCGGCCTGCTGCCCAGCTCCAGCTTCTCGATGGCTTACTTTGGCGCCAGCTTCCTCGATGTCCGCGGCTCCTCGATAGCGAACTTCGGCGGAGAGAAAGGCCGCCGCCCACGCCGCATGCACACCCAGTGGTTTGGTCTTCGCTGGTTTACCCCATCCAAGGAGATGAAGCTGTGCGGTCACGCCACCTTTGCCGCGGCGCACGTCATCTGCGAGGTCTCTCGCCTCTGCCAGTCGGAGAACACGCGCCACCTCGTCGCGAACATCCCGATGGAGTTCTTTGTCCCGGCGCAGACGGACGTGCTGTGCTTCGTGACCGCCTCCGGCATCATCAGCGTGCGCCGCAAGTCTGGTGTGACGATGGACGGTAGCATGTCCATGTTAAAATCTTACAATTTTACCCCGGACATCTACGAGGTGCACTTCCCCATGACCGAGGCCGTCTCGGTGAAGGAGCAGGTGCCACCGGAGCTGTTCCAGGAGATAGCGGACGCCCTCGGCCTCCCCTACGGCGCGGAGTGCGTGGAGGACATCGCCTACTCGAAGGCGGCGGAGTACTACATCGCCCGCCTCGCTATCCCGCAGAACGTGCTAGAGTGCCGCCCCGACTCTGCGTCCCTGCAGCGCGTGTTCGCCTCCGCGCACTTCAAGGCGGCGCTGAAGGCACACCCGGATGTGCTGGGGCCCGTCCAGGGACTCGGTGTGACGTCCTTCAACGACCGCATGCTGAACAACGGGCCGGCGGCCGACTCCGACGTCGTCTCGCGCTTCTTTGCGCCGTGGGTCGGCGTGGACGAAGACCCGGTCACCGGCTCGCTCTACACCGCCCTCACCCCTTACTGGCTGCGCCTGCGCCAGAAGGGCCACTTCAAGGTCGGCGATCAGCTGCAATTCTACCAAGCCAGCAAGCGCGGCGGCTCCGTGACGGGCATCGTTATCGGCCGCAAGGCGGAGCGCATTGCCTTGGTGGGTCCCGTGCTGACCTTCATGCGCGGCACCTGCATCTTCGATGTGGAGGAGGAGCAGTAAGTAAGCCTCCCAAAAACCCCTCCCTCGTCTCTTTCTCTCTCTCAGCTTCTATTGCTTTGTGAGACGCTCCGAGCAAGGAAGAACCTTGAAGGAACGCAATTCGTGGTTGGGTGGGATGTCTGCTGCCGCTGCGTAAAACAGACATGTACTTCTACCGGATGGAACGCTGTGGCGTGCGAAAGCGGAGAGGCGAAGCAGCTACATGCGGCAATGCATGGCCACGCGCGTGATACCGTTGCTTCCACGAACACCACCGTCTCCCGTTTCTTCCGTTTTACGTTGCGTCTCGTGTGCGTTTCTTTACCGGCTTAACCGCCACGCACACCCCACTGCGCGTTAGGAGGACGACATCGAACGAAAGAGAAAACATGCTGGAAGCGTATTATGGAGTTCCCTCCAGCTAACGATACAAACACCTTAAAAAAAAACCCCTAGTAGAGCCATATCGCAGCAACACGTTCTTTTGCATGCCGGCGCAATCACACCGGCGCGGATGCCTGTATTTATTCTTTTGTCTGTCTTTCAAAGTTGAAAATACGCAGATAAGGGAAAAACACACACAAATAGATACATATGTATATATATGCATCTAAATTTCTGGTTTTGTCAGTCCCGCGTCGAGATAAGACGCGTCGCACCCGCGCACACGCGAGGGGGCGTTTCTCGTTTTTCAAAGATTTTCGTTCATCCTTTTCCTTTTTTTGTGTTTCTCCCCATCATCATCATCATCTTCTACTGTAGTATCGTTTCGATTATCTTCGTTTTTTTTTTTTCCTTTGCTGTTTTCTACCCCGAGTGCGTTTTTTCTTTTTCTGGCTTTTGTTTCTACCTAGTGTTTTACATTTTTGACATTTTGTAATGGTTGTTACGCTTCTCGTTCTTTCCTTTGCTCTATCTCTGTTTTATTTATAACGGGTTTCGGTGTAACATGAAATAGAGCAAACAATAAAATATCAAATCAAATGACCCTCTCTCTCTCTCTCTTTTTTTTTTTCTAGTATATATATGTTGTTGTTTTTACATTTACTTTGCTTCACGCTTTGTTTTGTGCACGCATCACCTCGCCGCATCTGCGCAGCGCTGTCTTACGGAGGTGTGTTGTGTGATCGCAACCGTATTTTCCTCCGCGCTGCCTCCGTTTGACAGCTACTCAAAAAGAAGGTTTTCGATGGATCAAAGGAAGAGGAGCACATACACCTCCAAAAAGGATCACAAAAAGAAATGAAACCCTCTCAAAAACAACAACAACAACACACAACGCCCGTATTCCCTTCCCTTTGTTTGTTTGTTTCTGGTTTGGGAGGTTGTTGGACTCCGTCCAATTTATTTGGCAATGTTTTTTTTGATTATTATTATTGCCTGGTGCCTCGTTGACCTTCTGCGCTTCTTTCCGTTTTCTTTTCCCCCTGTCGTTACGTGCTGTTGAGGTCCTTCCTTGCATGGGCGAGGGAGCTGGAGTTGGTTGGCTGGGGAAGGAGGAAGGAGGGGGGAAGGGAGAGGGGGGAATTGTATGACCGATGTTCGCACCTTTGCGATGCGTTATCTCATTTTCAAAACACTCAAAAAAAATCAAATTGCTTCTGCATGTACGCTTTTTTCTCCTCCCTTTTTTTCTTCGTCTGCGGCTTCTTGTTTTTTGCCGACGATGCGCTTCTTTTCTTCTGCAATTGTTTCAGCAACTGCGCAGGTGTGAGTTTGCGTGAGTTGCGCCGCACCCGGGCGGCGTGGCCGTCTCATACGGCGAAGAGGAGGTGCATGGAAGTACCCGATGTTCGCACGTTGGACGCGTTTCGCCCGACCACGAAGACGTTGCCACACCGGTAATAACACACGTGGCTGATGCAGGAGGAAGATCAAAAAGAAAAAGAAAAAAAATACAGAAAAAAGCGGAGGAAGATGAAGCGGTGAAAGCAACAGCGATCGCAGCAGCAAGCAACAAGCAGGCCAACACCTCCGTCTCGTAGGACGTGTTTTCCCACTGGCACGCACCACACACAACGTGTCGTCTCCCTCTGCTCTTCTAAGGTTTGTGATGAGGTGCGAGGAAAGAGAAAGGTAAAAATGAGAGAGGAATACATATATATATATATATATATTTTCTGTTCTTGTTTGAAACTGGTGGAAAGAAGAAGAGGAAGGAGTGAAGGCTCAAGGCTGAGGAGGCCCTTTTTTTTTCTTGGTAGAGGGTGAGCACACACGTACACACGCATGCAGCTGCCCACGTTGTACTGTGGACCCATCCGATGAAGTCAACACACACGTGCGTCGAACTTTTGATTTGCTTTCTCTGGCTGGACTGTACGGTGCAGCACACAAGAGGAAAAAAGCGCACAGTTGATTTGCAAGGAAATTGGAAAAAAAAACAAAAATCAGGCGTCAAAGTACTTCGTTGTAGAAGTTTTGTCTCATAACGACCAGACAGAGACGTGCCGGGATGCTTGCACGGGCGTCGGGGGTGGGGGGTGGGGAAGGGATTGTTGTAGCTCTGCGTAATGCACCTTCTCGCCTCTCTCCAATGGTGAACGTCTGTGTGCTCCTCTACTTTTTCTTGTTTTTTTCTGCACACGACGAAGAGGGAAGACAAGAGCGGCGAGGAACAAATCAAAATATAAAAGAGTACATTCACGTAAACGGCCAACATCAGTAGCAGTGTCAGAAGACAACTCCCCCCACTCCCCCCGCGTTTCACGTTCGTGTATCCTTCTTTCTTTTTGCGAAGTCGTTTTTGTTAGTTTTCGTCGAGCTGTGAAGCGGGAAGCTTAACATGCGATATTATTGCGTTGGTTTCTGTTTGGTGTTATTTATTGCCGACATATGTGTTGTGGTGTTCACGCCAACGTCCAAACACATACACACACAGACACAAACAAACACACACACCTACTGTTTTTGACGATAGTTTACGATTGTTCTTATGAAGAGGTGGCGATGATGATGATGTTATTTTTTTTGTTTTGTTTTGATGTTTCTCGCTGATTCATTTATTGATATATATATATCACTCTCTTCGTTGGGTTTTTATCTGAGGTTATCACTATTATTATTACTACTATTATCTCCTCCTCTTTAATGTTAAAAAAGAAAAGTCAAAGAAGAGAGAGGGCGAGATACAACAGTGTTCAAATCTTCGGTGCGTCGTCAATAACAACCAAAAACACAAAACATAATCGTCAACTTGCGGTGAAAGAAAGAAAAAGGTAGAAAGGGAAGGGCGATGCAGCAACTGTGGTGTTGCGCGTTCTACGAACTGCAGACGCGTACGCCGGTTGGAGCGCGTTTCCCCTCACCCAGACTCCGCAGCTGTAACCGCGTTTGTGCGGTCGCGGTAGAGGAAGGGGGGGGGGGAGGGAGTGGAGTGTCGTCGGGTGAGGAAGCACTCTCTCTCTGTGCGTGTGTGTGTTGGAACGGTCATTCCTCTTTCGTTGTTGATGCACCGTCTGGGGGTGCGCTGCACTGCGTCACCGCGTTCTTTTTTTTTTCCCCTTTCCTCTTTCGCAGACGCGGTGCGCCTCGCACACGACGGAGACGGTACGAGGCGAAAACTCCATTACTTGAAAGATTGAAATGTCCTTCTTCTCGCTCCCTTTCCTCTTCACCTTGTTTGCATATATTTATAATTTATACAGTGATCTTGACGCACGCCGTCCACAACAGATTTGTCCACACGCTTGTGGCGAACGGAGGGGTGTGTACAAAAGAAGAATTGCCCTGCTTGGTGCTTCGGGGATACAACGTATACATTAAGGGTGAGAGGGCTGAGCAACTGTTGTCGTCGTTGCGAGGGTGTCACACAAACACATAAGTACCGTTCTTCATAGATTTCTCTCTTTGCCGATTTAGGGTATATACATTTGTTTTGGCGGTGTACGAGAGAGAGAGGCTATTGCATCAACAACGGAGAAAAGAAAGAAGCCCTCTCTAAAGCAAACAAGAAGGAGTTCAGGTAGCACCACAATCAAAAACGGGGGGATACAGATCAGCATTTGCCAACGGGCAACGCCGACGAGGAGTGACGCTGCGCTGCTGCGTTGGGCACCGAATTGTGTTATTTTTTTTTTTTTGGATAGAACAGGAAGCGGCAACCGAAGCAGAATGTGCCGCCGCCGCCCCGATCGTCGGCCACCGCAGCGACGCCGACTCCTGTGGCTGACAGTAGGCGCCGCGCTTCTGTGCCTGGCGTTTTTGGGCGGTCCGTTCTTCAGCGGCGTCGTCGCTGTACGCGCAGCCACAACCACCCATCCGCACCCGGATCGGCCCAGCACAGAAGGCACAAAGAATGCCGAATACGTCTTCCATAGTCTCGAGGAGCTCAATCGGCACGTACACGGCGCACCGTACAGCTTTCGTGCCTTAGGAACGTCGACGACGGCAGCGGAGAGGGAAGACCGCGGCAGCAGCAACGACGAGGGCAACGATAAGCATGGGCCAGCGGAGGCAAACGAAATGGCAGAAGCACTGGAGCTGTACACCGCCTCGGCTTCATCTGTGTTCCGCACTCTTCCGGCCCCCGATGCGGCAGTCAACTTCAATGCGGTTTCGTACTCACAAGAATCAGCTGAGGTAAACCTCAGCGCTGCGTCGATGTGCGCCGCTGACTTCACCTGCCCCCGCTCCTCCGTGGCGTGGGCGAGCGGGTCGTTTGCCGCGACTGGCCTCCTCACACCGCACAGTCTTACCCTTCCCATAGGGCTGGAACTGCGGCTCAGCCTGTGCTGCCAGTACCGGTTCGACGGTTCCCTCCTGCGCAGCCGCGAGCTGTACGACGTGTTTCTGAAGGAGCTTCTGCAGGCGTCTCCTTTTCAAGTACTGAGCGCTGCGGAGAAGCGTGAGCTGTTTCCGCAGCACCGCATTTACGTGGTTGACACCTGGGACCGGAGGCGGGCGTACAACACGAGCTACACCCCGACCGAAGACGACGCGGCGACACACAACGACGGAGATGGAGATGTGCTAGTGCTGACCACTGGGTTTTTGACACCGGCGGCGTTGCAGAAGGTGCTGTCCTCCTCCGCCGCCCTCGCGGACATCAGCAGCAGCGGCAGCAGCACCGGCGGTAACAGTGGTGCGTCTGCACACGACGCTGCAGCGGACGGCGTCACCCAGGACAACTTAGAAAAGCATGGTGGCTCCGCCGTAGAGGCGGTGGAATTTTCTCCCGGCACCGATATGCAGCTACGCGTCACCAACCGCATTCTCAAGTGCAAGTGCCCGCACATCCTCCGTGTCATGCCTCTCCTGCACGTGCGGCCAGACGCATTGCCGCCGATTGCGATCCTGGGCCTCGGCTCCCACTGCGGCGTGCCACCGAGACCAAGCGGACAGACGCGGTCTTCTCGCGCGACGGGGGCTGCCGCGTCGTCCCGCCCGCGCATCCACCAGGTGCGCCGCGCGGACAGCACGACGGTGTTCGCGGCCTCGTTTGAATTAACGCCGCGGCTCCCGCCTACGACGCTCGTCAGCTGGACCGTTCGGCCGGTGGGGGAGCCCGAGGGCAACGAGCGTGGGACAGAGGAAGGCGCGTCGTCTGGTGCTCCCGCGGCGGCCGTGCTGCGTCACACTCGCCTGTTGCCGGTCGTGCTGAACGCGTCGGGCCACGTGCAGTACAGCAGCTCCGCCAGCCCCTTCTTTCTTGTGCAGCCCAACGTGCGCTACGAGGTGTCTGTCACCGTCTCGCGTGGGCCGATGAGCTCCTTCACTAGCTTTCAAACTGCGGACAATCAAGGCGAGGCCGATCGCGAGGACGGCACGGCAGAGCGTTCGGCAGGCAGGGGCTCTGCTGCAAGACCGTGGTCCGCAGCCCCACGACAAGGCTGGCGACACCTGCACATTACCCGCAGCTCTCGCGGCCGTTTGGTGCTACGACTCCCTTTCAATCGCAGCTGGGCCCTCCCCCCGACCCACCCAACTCCACACTTTGGCTTCCGTCGGTCCATGAAGCTGTCGAACACGACGCTGAGCCACGTCGAGGTAGCCGCGGCGCTGCATCCGCAGTTGCACCCATCGACGTTGTCGTCATCACCAACGTACTCCTCCGCTGTTGTGACGGAGTCGAAGGATGAGCCAAACAGCGGCGGGACAGGCTGGTTCGGATTGGGCCGATGGACGGGCAGCGGCGCCGCCACCACCACCACCACCACCACCCACCATCGAACACTTTCCTACTACGGCTACTGGGAGAACGCCCCTCTGCCCGATCAGCTGCTGTCGCAGCACGCCGTGCACGTGTCCTCGAACCCGTTTACGGATCCCTCTCCCGCAGGGGTGGCGGTGCCCCTCTTTGTCGGTCGTAACCTTGTCGCCTACGTGGTGCGCGATGTGGATGACGTGTGCGAGCCGGTCGTGCTCGAAGGACGGGAGATATGGGCGGTGCAGAGTATCATTGAAACGCCCGGACCGCTGACGGCGTGCACGGAGCGGACCGACGTCGCCGCACTCGTGCTGCGGGAGCTGTATCTGCGGATGCGCAGTGAGCCAAAGATCGACGTGACGGTGCCGAGCACAACGTGGTCGACAGACCGCACTCGACCGGCGGAGGTGGCGGCAGAGGGCTCCTATCGTTGTGACGCCGTCGACAAAGACGCTGGTGCGTCTGCCTCCCGGTGTGCGGCGGTCCCCGATCGCGAGCGAGATGGCAGCGAGTGCTTTGCCGCATTGCAGATGAACCACCGCGGCGTATATGAGACGGTGTGGGTGGTGCGGGTGGCGGTGCGTGACGCGCGGCTGGCAATACCGGAAAACCTGGACCCGCTCTACGCCCGCGTGGTCCAAGCATCCGACCTGGCAGCTGCGAGTTCCTCCGCTGCTGCTGCTACTCCTGATGCCGCCACCGCGGCGGTGGCGGTGGTGGAGGTGCGCTCGCACCCCCTGCTCATCGTGCGTCGCCAGGCGAGCTACCCAGCCGTGGTGAAGATAGAGCTTCCCATGCACGCACGCCGCTGGCTGATCACCGCACCAGCTTCTTCATCGTTCTCCTCCTCTCTTCGGCGCGCCAAGGGTGGTGGAGGCGGCGGCAGTAGCGGGCCACAGACACCGGATGTTTTGTTAGACAACGCACCAACAGGGTACTGGCGATCACGCCCGCCGATCCACGTGCTGTCGGTCGACGAGCGGCGTACCGCGGAGCTCGACACGAATGACGTGCCGAACGTGCAGCGCACCCTCCCGAATGGCACCCTCGAGTTTGTGGCGCAAGACAACGGCGAGGTGCTGGCGCTATCGACGAAGACGCACGGTGAGGTGCGGGCTTTTGCCTACACTGCGAAGTGCCCCGATACGTTGGTGGAGTACGAACTGCATGTCGTGGCCTTCCCGCCCCTGCCCATCACACCGGCCTACGCACCCGTGTACACGGAGGAGGGCTGCGTCGTCCTCGTACCGCCGCGTGCGGTGCGTAAAGACGAGGTGGCGGAGTGGCATGTGCCGCCATGTGCTGCAGCTGCTGCCGGCACGGGTGCGGCGGGACGTGGGCCGTACCTGATCGAACGCATGCTCTCGGTCGAAGAGCAAGAGGAGCACGCGTACGTGACGACCGTGAGCGACGGGGGCGAGCCGCTGCTGTCCCCCACGCAGTCTCGCGACACGTCTGCGCAGAACAGGACGCTCGAGGCGGCAGCGGCTGCTGCATCCACAGCATCGACGGTGGCACGACGGCCTGTCACGGCGCTCATGGCCTGCGGGGTAGAGGTGTATCGGCGCTGCGATGTGGTGTGGTCCGTGCACAACCTCGTCGCCGCGGTTCAGAAGACGTACTCCCTGCGCCGCTGCCAGCGACCGCCTGCGGTGCTCTTCCACGCAAACGACCGACAACGGCGCGTGTCGTACCCGCAGCGCGGCGTCTTTCAGCTGCCAACGGTGCGGGAGACCGTGTATGTGGAGGTGAACGCCACGCCAGGCACGACGGGAACTGCGAGCGGCACGGCCTCGCGCACCGTAGTGCGGGTGAGCCGTCCGCGCGAGATCATCCCCATCGCGGGGTACCACAGTACATTGGGCTACTCCTTTAACTACACGGGTGCGCAGGAGCACTTTGGGATGCACCTGCACCCGTTGCCCAGTGCTGCAGCGCATCAGCTGATGAGCACGCAGCACGACTACGTAGCGGCGGAAGACGGAGTCCTGGTTTTGCGGCGTCGCACAGGGATGGACATGCAGCAGCCGCAGCAGAATCCACCCGCAACAACATGGCAGGCGGAAAGTGGAGTCGAGGATGCCAACGCGAACTCCTTCTGGTCCGAGTATGAGGCGAACAGCGCCACACCTTTCACCCGTCGCGCAAGCGGCAGGGCGTACAATCCAGCCGCCTCCGCGACGACGATGACATCCAGCGAGACCGAAGCCCGCGCGCAGCAACAGGAGCGCAGCCGCCGAATGGACCAGAGACTGGAGGAGACGTACATCATCGAGCACGAGCGTCACGCACGGCGGCTGCGCGTCGCGGCGGTGGGCAACTCCTCGCTCTTCCCGATGGACTACGCTGTCCGCGGCTCCTCCGCCGCAGCCGTGCGCAGCGCCGCGGCCGCCGAGGACGAGCGAGAGTTCGCGCGGCGTGGGATGTGCGTGGAGCGGCCGGGCTACATCGCCGTCTTGGCCGTCAACCCACGTGGCTCCGTGCGCGAGGATGAGCGCTACGGGACGGTGCTGCCGGCTCCCGCGGCCCCCGCCGTTGCGGTGCTGCCCTTCTGCGCCCCGCAGTACACCTTCGCCCGCTACCCAGAGCTGTCGTCTGTGTACGGCTACGAGTACACGTGGACCTGCCCGGCAGGGGAGACGATGACGGTGACGAAGTACCAGCCGACCTACTCGGTCCTCACACACACGCCGGAGCGGCGCGGCAGCGGCAGTGCGACGGCGTCGGCCGATGTTGGTGCGGAGGCGCAAAACGAAACGCTCTGTGAGCTAGCCGTGGTGAACCACATCACCAAGACGGAGCAGCGGGATTGGTTTCTCGTGCGGCGCGTCTACCCGAGCCCGCTGCCGGTGACCTCACTTGTGGTGCTGAGCGACAACGCGGCGGACTCGCTCCAGATCACTGCGACCGCCTCACCCGCTGCTATGCGTCTGCGAGGGCCGCAGAGCCGCAACGGGGCCACTCCGCGAGCATCCACGAGCAGCAGCAACAGCACGGCGACCGTCATCACTATGGAGGAGCTGTATAGCGCACCAGCCAACACGTATCCGTTTACCAAGGCCCGCCGTGTGGTAGGCAAGAGCGTCGTGCTGCACGTGGATGCCCCATCCGCGATCGGCAAGGCGCGGTGGGCGGTGGAGAGCATCGTCCCCGCCACCACGATCACCGTCGGCACGCAGGTGCTGATGTCTGAGGTGGAGTTCCACCACTTACACCGCCATCCAGCCGCCGTGGCACGTGGGCGTGGTGGGGCGACAGTGCTCGTGAAGGGGCTGCGCACCCCGGGCCTGTACACCCTCAGCCACACCCTGCCCGACCCCGAGAACCCCTCCGTCTGCCCCCCTGTGATCTTGACGGAGATGCTGGACGTCTTTCACGCGCGGGTGCTGGCGAAGGAGCTGTTTGTCTGCGGTGACACGGCTGCCCTGCAGGCGGTGCCGCTGCCGCGCGAGATCGCCCACGAGTTTGTGGGGCAGTGGGAAGTGGTGTCGCACGCCACGGATGACAACACGGTGTGGACCGCCGGGGTGAACTTCACGGGCATTCGCTTTGAGCGCGGCGCGCGGGCAGAGACGCTCGTGCATGGACTGCCGTTTGGCGTCATTACGATGCGATGGGCCATCTATCGACTCCTTTCTTCCACCAGCAACAACAATAATGCGGCTCCCTTGAGCGATCTTTCTGCGATGCGTAGGAACAAACAAGCGTACCCCACCGGAGGACACAGTAGTGGTGCAGCAACAGCAGAAGCAGCTGCGGCGCAGCAGCGCGTGTTGGTTGACTACGACACCGTCGAGGTCTTCGTGCTGACGGAGAACTTGCCCTCGCACCGGCTCGTGACGCTGGCGGACGAGGCCACTATTTTCACCTCCTCCTCTACACAGAACTGGAAGCTGGAGGGCGTCGTGAGCGGACTGAGCGACGGTGGCGTGGCCTCCACCAGGGTGCGCCTGTCGCAGGGCATCGTGGCCAACTACAGCCAGAGCACCGTCAACCCGTTTGCCGACGCGGTCGGCAATGATGAAGTGCAGCGGGCGATGTTCCACACCTACTACGGCCTTCACCCTCGACTGGGCAGCGGGGCTCTGACGCTGCAGCACCTACCCGTCGGTACCGTCCACCTTCGCTATGACGTGGTGCCCTCGTTGAGCGTCTTTGGCAAGATGATCGGGCACACGTGCGCGCTCCAGGGCTATTACGATGTGGAGCGGGTGTCGGCCTATCTAACCGCCACTACCTCCCTCGACCACGAGTGTGACGGCTACACCGGGCAAGGACGCATTACGCTGTGCCTGCATACGGAGGGCACCGGGATTGCAGGTGCCGGCACCGCTGCTGCACCCCGCTCCTCCGCCAAAAAGCAAGGGCGTGGTGCGCGAGCCCCAACGCAGCTCGATGCGTTGTTTTGGCAGTCGCAGGTGCGTCTGGTGGCGCCAGAGACGCTCGAGGACACCATCAAGCGAGGGGCGCGCGAGGTCGAGCAGCTCAGCGGCGGCCGATGCGCAACGCCGTGGTGGGTGGCCCCATCGACGCAGTGGTTGAACCCCTCCTACACCTCCTCGCTGACGGGGCCGACGGCGTCGGGCTCCGCGGTGCTGCCGGGCCGCTGCGTCTCCTTCGGCGTGAAGGCCAGCCGCCACCTGTCCCCACGCGAGGCAGGGCAGCCGCTTTTTCTCGCGGTGCCGCGCGCGTTCACCTCCGTCGGGGGTGGGGCGGTGTCTGCTCGAATGGACCGCGAGGGCAGCCGCCGCCGCACTAGCAGCAGCAGCAGCTCTTCCGGCGCCTGCCCGTTCCACGGCGACTTCATCTCGACTCGGGTGATCGACGGGTCGCCGTTGGTAGAAGGTGGGACGGCCCTGAAGTCCTCGTCGACAGCAGCCCGCCCCTCATCGACGGCCTCCGTCGGCTCGCTCTTCGGGTTTACGCAACTCTTTCAGCTGGGCCTGCCTCACATGACCGGACGCAGCGAGGGGAGGAAGGGCGGCAGCGGCAGCAGCGACAGCGACGGCGACGGCAGCGCGTGGGGGATTCGCTATTTGCCGGTGCTGCAGCCGTCGTCGCTGCGGCGGGCCAACGCGACGATGCGACCCATGGTGGGCCTGCGTGGGGTGTTGGATGACGTGACGACGGAGCTGAGCATTAGTGGCCCCGGCCACGCATGGCGTTTTGGTGAGCCACGAGACGAAGATGGGGAGGAGAGGGCGGCGGCGACGGTGCTGCTGCGCCTCGACCTGACAAACGCGAAGCACTTTGGTGGGTACACGGTCTTTACAGCCGACCAGGCAGTCCCAGCGCAGGCGGCGTCCTCTTCCTCGTCCGTCCCCACTGCGGCACCACCGCCTCCACCGCAGCCCCTGTCGGTCCCTCATCAAAGTCTCCTGTACAGGTGTGTCGCGGGCACGGTGCGGGGGGCCGACGTGCTGCAGTACTGGTCGGAGACGAACCGCCCCGACGGCCGCGTCGACCGCACGGCGCAGGAGTGGCTCGACTACGCGTACGCCGTGCGGGATGCACCGGCAGCGTGCGACGTCCTCTTCACCTCGCTGGACCACCTCGTCTCGGACGCCTACGGCCCTTCGTTCAGCGCCCCCCAGCACACGAGTAACCCCAATAACAACAACGGTGGTGGTGGTGGTCGCCGCCGTGTGTTCTCCTCGAAGCCTACACCGCACCAGCAGCAGCAGCAGCGGCATCCGAAGCCGCAGTACGTGTCCCTGACGGAGATGGAGCAGCAGGTGGAGCGGCTTCGCAAGCAGTACCGATGGACCGCCGACGGCATCGACGTGACGGGCCTGCCGACGGACGTGCAGAGCGCGCTGAGTCACCGGCGGGTGACTACAACGCAGCTGCGGGCGATTGAGGCCTCGCGGCGCGCCCGGCAGGCCGCTGAGGAGGCGCAGAAGCAGCAGCAGCAGCGGCAGCAGCAGCGGGAGCTAGAGAATGCGCCGTCGCACATGTCGCCGATGGAGCGACTCACCGCGGCTCTACGGGCCTATCGCGGTGTAGCACAAGGTGGCGAGGTGGCGGTGCTGCGGATTCGGCTGCCCCTACACGACGCCTTCACGGTCCCCTACGATCTCTTCCTCCGCACGGCGCTGCACAAGGATGTGCTGTGCGGCACCGCTGTCGATCCCCCGCCGGCGTTGCGGAACCCGACGGCCCCGCCAACGGTGATGAATCCGTACTCGCTCGTGCCGCTCGGTCGGCTGGAGATCCGCGACGTTGCGCCTGCGCTGAGTCTCTACCCGCCGGTGATGAAGCAGTGCGAGGTAGAGGGCGGGCCGCCGGTTCTCACCTTCGAGCTGACGGGCGCGATCTTCGCGCACGATCGTTTCTCGGCCGACGAGGTCCTGCTGGAGGAGGTTCCCAATCCTGATCTGGTGAAGCTCGGGCGTAATCAGCAGCAGCACCCAGAGGTGGGGCTGACTGCGTGTGTTGCCGAGATGCGACGGGGCTTGAATGCCGTGGTTGAGGCCGGTTCACGCAAGCGCCTCTATCTACAGCTTGGCGCCTGTCCCTTCTTCAAGATGTTGACGCCGGAGGAGTACAACGAGCACCAGGACAGCGAGGCGCTGCTGCGCCGACTGCAGTTCCCGCGCTTTCTGCGCGTAACCGTGCGGCGTGCCATTCGGCCGGACAGTCATCTGTCGGGCAGCGCATCCACCGCAGGGAGACGTGATGGCCCGCGGCCCGCGCTGCAGAACCTTTCTTCTTCTGCGTCGTCTACCGTCACCGTCGTCGCACCGACCTCGACGGATGCCAGTTTTCTCGTCGAAGTGCGTCCGACGCTGGCGCGGCTGCACCTTCGCTCTTCCGCGGATATGGATCCTCCTCCGGATACTCGCCCGACAGCTGGATCGTGGAGGCAGCGCGGAGATGGCGGGCGCCGTCAGGATTCCGTGAAGCGAGTTAGCGGCAGCAGCTGGTGGAGTCGAAGCACCGCGACAAGCCACGAGGATCCCCCGCAGGCCGCGATGGGCGGGGGTGGTGCAACGACGGCCACCACCGCCGCACCAACTTCCACAGCAGCAGCCGACGACGACGCATCCGCCTTCTCGTTCGCCCCAACGCCTGCCCGGCCGCTTGTGTTGTGTGAGGCCGATCTGCACCGCTACGGCTTCCAGCTGGGGATTGAGTTGATCGGCGACACGTGGACGCAGCCAGTGGGCGAGGAGGGCGCGTCCACAACCACTGCAGTAGCGTCTTCTGCCGTGTCAAGCAGCACACGGCACACCGTCCTGCCACGGCAGCGCGCGCCGCCGAACGTGGCCCTCATCAACAGTTTCAGCGTCGTGGAGCACCACAGCCTCGACAGCAGCCACCACCTCTACCTGAAAGGCGGCGGCGTCTACCGCTCCCACTTTATGAACTACCTCTTCACCACCTTGCTCAGCGACCCGGCGGTGCTGCGTGACCACGCGTTTGTGCATCGGTACAACCGCACCTTTGTCAGCATTGTTGTCCCTCCGCTGTCGGCCGTGTCGGCCCGTCGTGGGGGCTTGCTGAGCAGCGGCCTCACAAATGGGATGGTAGACGACGAAGAGGACGCAGATTTTTACGCCGCACAGCAGCAGCAGCAGCGGCGGCGTTACGGGCCAGCGAATGGCGACGACGCGTCCACCGCCTCCGCGCCAGTCGGCGCGGTCCTCCCTGCGGTGCGGCAGTTTTGCAAGGTGGAGGAGGTTCTGTTCGCGGTGCCCGGCATCGCAACGGAGTGCCGCGGCTGCCTGCTGGCGGACACGACCTTCTTCGTGGCAGGCGATCTGACCGGTGCTTGGACTCTCCCCACGTCTGCTGCGCCGTCTGCCGCACCGGGGAGGTGGTGGTCGAGTGAAACCTTCACCCGTCCGCTGGTCGTGCCGTGGGACAGCGTGGGCAGCATTCCGCGGGAATGGGTCTTTGAGTGGGTCTGCCCGACTGCGGCGCATCGCGCGTTGGAGCGCTGGGCATTACAGTTCCGCCGCAGCGATGTCTCTGCCCTCTCGATAGTGATGGATGTGGTGCTGTACCGTGTGCGTGGCCTCCAGGGCGAGGAGCTCCCCGCGCCGCAGCGTCCGACGGTGCTGCTGTCCAGTCAACCCTTTCCTCTGGCGGATATCTTAGCGCACAATCGCGTCGTCCATCGCTCAACGGCGTCGCATGCCTCCTCGGCGGGGTCTGGGTTCTTTGAGCCGTCGGTAGCGGCCGCCCCACTGCGTCTACGCGTGGCGGATTCTGCGGCAGGGGCGGCTTACACCCGGCTCACCGACGACGTGCTGCGGCACCGGCGCCACGCCTGGACGACGATGGAGTACCACCGCGATGACCGCGACGCCGACGGCCTGCTCGTCGTGAACGCGTCAGTCTTTTTGAAGGTGTGCGCCGGCGGCGGCGGTGGCGCTGGTCCGGCAGCCTGCACGGTGGTGTCCATCGCAGACTCGCTGCTGACGGTGGAGCCGCCAAGGGCCGCCGCCCCTCAATGGGCGTCGTGGCCGCGACGTATGTTTGGGCTGGGCAGCCAGGCAGCGACAGCGGAGAGGTCCACCGCACTCAGGGCATCTCCGCTTTCGCCTTTTGTGTTGCTACACCACGCCTTCATGACCTATCTGTGCTATGAGCTTATTCCACTGTTGGGGATAGTGACGCTGAAGGAAAACACAGGTGGTGGCAGCAGAGGTAGCGCGTCGACGTCGGAGTCCTTCACGGCGGATCAGCAGCGCGCGCACGTCGCGTACACGGCGATGACCCTTGTCTTCCTGTTCTTCAGCTACGCGTACGTGCCGGTTGTGTGGGTGATGCTGTGCCTGACGATCTGGTCGCTGTCGTTGTACTGCAGTCGTCGGCCGGAGTTGGTGGTGTTGCTTGTGGGCTCCGTCCTCTACTCGCACTACCTCATGTAGGAACCACGGCCTTCGTTTGCTTTGCTCTTTGTTGTTGTTGAGGGTGGTGGGAAAGGCTTTTTCTTTTGTGACTTCTTTTTCGGTACGGGCGTTTGGAGAGGTGACAGCGCGTCGCAAGAGCTCTGCGCGCCGTGGTGAGACGAAGGTGGCGTTGGCTCTCACACGCGCTCCGGACCGCGTCTTCTCCGTCCACACGCACGATGGACGGATCATGCGGGTGTTCTTGTCTGGCTGTTGGCCTTTGTTTTTCTGTTGAGGTAACTCGTCGTTTAAATTCTTGTGGCATCACACACATACACACACATATTACCCCCCTCACAATCTTCGGTTGAAGTCCATAAAACAGCCGACAGGCCAAGAAACCCGTGCACCGCGGTGGAGTCAAAGCTGCAACCGATAAGGAATGACTGTTGACTAACTGTTTCCATTTCCTTCCCCTCAAGAAGAAGGTATTCTCGCGAGCATCTTCACCCACGGCAAAGCCGGCGGATGCGTGCAGTCGTGGCATCCTATATATATATACATGCGCACACAAAATATGTTTCATGCACACCTTCCACCGTCTTCCAACGCTTTTGCTTTCTCCTCTTCTGCCCCTCCCAACCCCTCCGTTATTTTTTTTCCCCCTTTTACCTCCTTCTCATGTCAGCTGCTTTCCATATCTCTCTCCCGTGCGCAACAACCGCAGCCGCACACCCAAACCAGCCTTCTCAGCTTTGTGATAAGCAAAGCGCCGTCTCTCTCATATATATATATATCTTTAAAGACTCTCTTAACTGATAAGCCACGTAATAGATAAGGAGTTATGTTGTCCCGCGCCGCCGCCTCCTCCTCCGTGCTTCTGCAGCAACGGAGGGGGTTCGCCGTCGTCGTGCGCCGCGGTGGTGCTGCTCTGTCCGCTGCCCGCTCATCTTCTTTCTCCTTTCAGTGCACAGGGTGGACGCTGGCGTCTCTCGCGCCGCCCGCAGCGTGGTCGGCGGCGCGCCGGTGGCAATCTAGCAACGGGGTAGGCTACGGCACCGTGCCGTCCGACATCGACGCCCCGCGGGACGCGCACAAACCGTTAGAAGAGGACGTTCATCGTGCAGAGCGCCGCCGGCAGCACGGACACGCCGGTACGGCTGAGGAGGCAGACCGCGAAGCCGTCAGCACCCATGTCGCCGGCTACAACCCGTGGGAGGTGCTCGGTCTCAAGCCCGGGGCCTCGACGCAGACGATCCGTGTGCGCTATCACGAGCTGATGAAGGAGGTGCACCCCGACATGGCGACGGACGGCGTGGGCGACATTCCCCGCCTGAATCAAATCAACAAGGCCTACGAGTTGATCACGAAAAGCCCGACGCTGGACCGGCGCTACCGCAATCTGGTGTCCGACACGCAGTACTTCTACTACAAGTTTCTGCCCGAGTGGATGGCGCGCAACGTGGACGAGATGCCGCGGTATTGGAGCTGGGTGAAGTGGCGCACACCCGGCGGCTTCCACGTCTTTCTCTTGCTCGTTGCCTTCTACGTCCTTGGCCGCTTCTACGCCGCCTTCCCGATGCTGACGACGGTGTTTCTGCTGACCGTAGTGCTGGATATCCTGCTCCACACTATGCTAGCCCCGGCAAGCTTGTGCATGCTGTTTCTGTATTCGATCCTGGCGTATAGGAGCTACGACATGGCGTGGCTTACAAGTCCAAAAGGCTTCCTGCGCCGCGAGCTGGGCTACTAAGCTGCTGTTGTGATGGCGGTGGTGGGGTGGGGTGGGGAAGGGAATACGACGGAGATAGAGTGCGTGCAGGGTGGCCGATCTGCACTGTCTATGGAGAGGGAAGATGTGCCGTGCGGCTTCATAACCCAGAGAAAAAGAGAAGGGCATGTACACGATTGGGGAGGTGGTGGTGGAGGGCAGCTGTCTACAAGGTTTCCTCCCCCCTTTCCCACCCTTTTTGTTTCGCGATGCGTTCGTGACGGAACGAAGCGGCTGCGCTTGCCGTTGGGGGAGCGCTTTATAGGAGGGCTTTCCCGATTGCTCTGTGGTTGCATTTTCTGTTGGTGTTGTTTTACCGATCCATCATTTCTTTGTTTTCTTTCTTCTTGTGATTCACATCGCACGTTTTTTCTGATTTTTCTGCGGTAACCCACTTGAACTTAAAAAATACAGTATCTGCTTCTTCCATCTTGGCGTCGCTACACGCGGACTCTATCTTTTGCGTTGTGGAAGGGACTCTGCGCCATACGTACTCAAGGACACAGGTGGAGCTGGGGTGAGGTTATCTTCCTTCTTCCAACAGGAAAAAAGGGCCATCAGCAAAAACGGAGCATCGCAGCTTTAGCGCGGTGATGGCCAGCAGGCAATCGTCGTCGAACTAGTTTCCATCTTTGCTGTCCGTCTGTACTGTTGTTCTTCTCTCTTTTTTTCTTCTTTCTTCTTTTCCTATAAGTGTGTTCTACTTCATTTCGGACTCACCTCATTCCATCTGCGCCATCAACTCGCTGCGTACCCGCATTCGTTGTGTAGCTGCATTGCTGCTCTCTCTCTCTCCCTCTCTATTCCACCACCGTTTCTCATTATTATTATTTCTCCATTCAAAACGTCACAGCTGTCGATATCTCTGCCACGTCCTGAGAAAACAAACAAACAGAAAAAGGAAGTAAAAAAAAAAGAACAATACAACATCCGCAACGACAGCCGTCTCGCAGGTGTGGTAGGATCATCCCCCGCCCACACGCACGCCCGATATTTTTCCTTTACCGACCTTCTCTTCTTCGTCTTGCATTTCACGTTTTACAATTTACGTACGATCTTCTTTATATCTATTATAGTAATTTCCTGCAGCCTCGTCGCTGCCCGCTGCGAGATCGAACATCCGTTGGCGTTCACCACATCGCTTGTACTCCTCCACCTCGCTGAGTTTCACTCAACACCATCTTTTTCCTTTTCTTCCCGTTTTCGGGTTGTTGTGGATGCGCCGTCTTCTCTGTTCGCTTTTCTCCGCGCTAAAAAATCTCTTTTGTTTGCCATTTTGTTTGTTTGCGAGGACTATCGTATACGCATCGCACACTACGTCGGCAACATTGAGAAAGACCGAAAAAGGATGGCGGATGCCATGCCAGCTTCTGCGCCGCTGCGCGAAGAGGAGACAGCGGAGGGCGATGCGTGTGCGCCAGCTCTTTTGCGCCTCAGCCCCGCCCTGCCATGCTCCCTCGCACATCTCCATCTCACGTTCGCCAACGCAGAGCCCGGCGCAACACCGGCCGCTGCAGCAGGAGCCTCGTCTCCGTCTTTCCAGGTGCGTGCGATACACTTCGATGACGTGGCGCAAGACGCAATTCTTGTCTGTGAAGACAGCATCACGCTCTTTGTGCCTCTCCAATGCGATGCCGCTCCAACACCTCCTTCTGCAACGGTAAAAAGAGAAAGATTACCCAGCGAATCGGGCAGACCATCATCGCCACTTCAACAAGAGCCACCGAAGAAGAAGGAGGAGAGGGAGGAGCCGGCTTCAGCTCCTGCAGTGGCTGCCTGTCTCCGACTGGGGAACCCACATCCAGCCTGGTCGCCTCCGCCACGGCGACCGCCGTCTGCATCTCCGCCATCGACATCGCCGTCTTCCGCGCTGACAGCCGCTCATGTAGCTGAGAACTGCCTCCCGCGACGGCTGCCGCTGTCTGCTGAGGCGTTACGGCGCGCCTCGGCGGTTCTTGTGGCGGTGCCGGTCCTCGCCCTCCCCAGCGCTGCCGCTGGCTCTGCGTCTGCTGGAGGGAATAACAGCAGTAACAGCCCTGTCAGCCGCGTGATGTCCATTGTAATTGTGGAGTGTGCGGTGCTGCCGGAGGGCGTCGACTTCATTGAGCCAAATGCGGTTCCGCTGGCGCGGCCGCTACGAAAGATCCTGTGTGCACCGAACACCCTGCGGTTCCGTGAGGCGTGGTACCCTCTTCAGTACTTTTGCTGGTGTGGCCCGACGGAGACGTTGGGCTGCAGCGGCGGATGCAACGCAATGACAGACGCCGCTCACGAAGAAGAAGGAGCTGGCCGTCGTCGTCGGTCGCCCGCTACTACGGAGGAAGAGGTGGAAGATGCAGACGAGGGTCCTGCGTCCATTTCGCTCCCCGGCTACACAGACTACTACCTGTTGTGCGTGTCTTCCATCTGCGCGGATCTGCTGCGCGTCCGCCACCGGACTCCATCTTCTCTCTCCCACCACCAACATGCACAGCAGGCGGGGGCGAGTGGGCCGTTGCATCAGCCGGATGTTACGGCCATGATGAACGCCGGCTACGCAGTTCGTGCGCCGCCGGCAGCACCACCACCACCGTCTTCCAAAGCTGCCCTTTCCACAAAGCAGGGATCTGCGGATGCGTCGAGAATCGCAGAGGAGGAGGAGGTGATTGTGTCGGTGGTGCAGCGCTACGTAACCCACACAGATTGGTGTGTGTACGAGTCGAGGAGTCGGCTTCTGCTGAGCATCCGCCACACGCGGCCAGACGTGTTAAAGCCGATTTCGGTGCACTACGAGCCTTGCTGTTGTGGCGTTGCACGCGGCCGCACAAGCGACGGCCTGGCAGGGGTACCGCATTGGAGTTCTTCGTCTTCGAGGTTACCCGTGAGCGTATCCCTTTGCAAATGGACGGAGCTCACCCTGTCCGAAACCCTCTGCGCCTCTCTCTCACTCCCCGGCCCCCGCACCTCCCTTCCGCTGGACGCGCGCACCGCCCGCCTGCTCCACTCCGTCGTCGGCGTCTTCACCGTCTACGGGAACACCTTCGTCTACCACGTGCCGTCCGCCCGCCTCCACAGCCAGCGCCCTGCGTGTATGGAGGTGTACTTGTGCCTGCCCGACGAGACGGGGTGCTCAGCTTTGTTTCCCCCCGACGCTGCCGCCGCCTCCTCTTTTCCTCCCCCTCCTCCGTCTTCGTTGTTGCCTTCCTCTGCTGCTGCGTTGGATCCTGGACATGACGGGGCGTCCCCCGCCGAGCTGCACGGAGCGATGGAGGGCCGCAGCGGCAGCGGCAGAGACGGAGGCGTGCACCGGGCATCGCCCCCCGCGTCTTCGCCGACGGACTTCTTTAAGCGGCTGACGGTCGCAGCGTCGTCTGCCACCGCCTCCGCCACCCCACCGCAGGTGCGCAGCGGCGTCTTCCTGAAAGTGGCACGGCTGTCTCTGCGGGAACTGCTGCCGCCGCCGCCGGCGACGTTCTTCTCCTCTTCAACGAGCCCTTTCCGTGGGCGTGCTGAGGCGCGAAGTCCATTGGCCCAGCCGCAGCCGTCGTCGCCGCTGCTCTCTGTCCAAGTATGGAACGGTTTCCTTCTCCTGCACAGTCCGCGTACGGGGAAGTCTGCGGTGTACGACCTGGCGGAGCGGAGTCCTGGGAATGCGAGGAACGGCGCAGAGGAGGGGGAGATGCTATCCTCGCGTGATTATCTTCTCTGGGCTACCGCCTCCGAGCGCAGTCGAAACTGGGCGCGTTCGCAGCGCTCCCGTGCTTCTTCCTCGTCCTGTTTAACCTCTCCCAACAGCCTCGGCCCCCGCGAGGGTGCAGCAGGAGGTACACACTTGGCGGGATCGGCCACCACGTCTGGACGCGCGAGCAGCTGTCCACGCAACCACACCGGCAACGACAGCCGCGGCAGCAACGTGAACCCGAGTGATCAGCTGTGGTCGCGCGCCGTCGCAGGTGATTGGACGTCGATGGTGACTGCGGTGGCGAGCTCCGTCATGGACCTCTCCTCCGCTGTGGAAACGATCACGGGGGCAACGGCGGCTGCAGCGGACGCGCAAGTACCGCTGGTGTTTCCGTTAAGCTGCGGCGCAGCTACCGTGGAAGTCACAGCGAATCCCCACCACCACGACAACAGTGATGAGGACCGCGGCTCTGCTAGTTCGCAGCGGGACGATAAAGGGGCGGTGGACAATACCCATTGCACCTCGGTGGAGGTGCTGTACTCGTCCTGCGTGTGGCCGAGCAGCTCCCGCGTTCCACTTGTGATCAGCGAACACGACGGGTCGCTGCGGCGTTGTGAGATGAACGTGGCGGCTCTGGCGGAGTGGCTGCTACTGCTGCGCGCTTCTTCTCAAACCAGCCCGTCTTCTCATCTAGTGGATGCTACAAGTAGTGGAAGGAGCGCAGCAGCAACAGCGGCGGCGGCGACGAGGTCTGCCGACATTACCGGTGCATCAAGCACGTCACTGGGCCGGTTGATTGCCTTTGCGTGTCGTCATTCCAGTTCATCAAACCTGCAGGACGATGACGACGATGACGAAGTCGACAAGGCAGATGTGCTTCTGCTGTTATTGCGGGAACTGGTAGCATTTATCGTACTCGGTGAGCACCGTACACCTTCTCCGCCGCGCTCTCCAGCTGCGGCGAGCCAATCCGCACCGGGCACCGTCTCCTCTTCTTCGTACAGTGCCGTTTTACAGCGCCATCTCTACTCCGCGATGGCCGAGTCACCCGAGTTGTTGGGTTCGCATTGGGGTGCCCTCGTAGAGGGCCTGACCCTCGAAACAGAGCTGATGAACCGATGTAGATCCCTCGCGCGGCAGCGGATGCTCTCGCCCGCTATGTGTGGCGGTGGCGGTGGTTGCACAGCGAACTGTACGCCTTACAGTCACCGCAGCACCGACGATGACCGTATAGGAGGAATCAATGGTACACAACTGCAGTCACGCCTTGTCACCCACGTGTGGACGCCCGTGTGGCGAGGCCTCAAGTACCCAGACGACCTCGCCGGTATAGAAGACGGCCATGAGCCTCATGTACAACAGCAGCGGCAGTTAGAGCGTCGACGACAGCGGTACGAAGATGTGTTGTGCGACTACGTGCGGGTGCTACACCGTCTTGCCGTCCCACTCCTGCCCGCTCTGCAGGCGCTGCTGTTGGAAGTAGTGCTGTGGAGCGGCTCTGAGACAGCGCTGCCGCCGCTGCGAGAAGATACTTGTTCTGCTGCTGCTGCCTCTCCGGCGGAGACGTGCGACACGTCGGTTGCAGCGTTGATGGCGCGTGCGGGTGCAACGGCGCGGCGGGTGCGGGGGTTGCTGCGTCACGGAGTTCTCGAGGCAAACTGCACGACGGCGCGGTCGCTTCTCGCGTGGTGGGGACGTCTCCGCTGCGAACTCGCGTCGGCCCAGCATGACACCAAGTACACGCCCGGGAACTCGCACGCAGGTCTTGTGAAGAAAGATGAGCGACAAGCGAGGGAGGAGACGGCGACGGCGGCGACGGAGGAAGAGAACGCAGCGCTGCGTCAGCCGGATTTTCTGTCCGACGGCGGGTGCCCGGAGGCGGAGGCGGTCTTCGACGAAGCGGTCGGCCTCTTCACCCTGCACGGGCAGCAGCTGGAGGTGGTGGAGGCTTATCGCTGGCGCCACGACTACGCCGCTGCGGCGACCGTGCTGCTCCGCCTTCCACGGGACACGCCGTCGATGGAGCTGTGCGAGGTGCACGGTGCGTGGCGAAGCCTCAAATGCGCAAACCCCATCACAGCTGACATCTCCCCCTCTTCTTCGTCCTCTTCTTCAGCCGCCGCTGCTGCTGCTGCTATGTCTCACAACGCCAAGACGACTCCTCGCCGCACGTCTCGCCTCCTTTCATGGGACACGCTGGCCGTCGCGGTTCTGGATGGGGCCTGGAACACCGTGCGGAGCGCCGAGGAGGACTGTTACGTGCTGGTTGAAAGAGCCGCCGCCGTGGCACGGAGTGCGTCTCCACTCCCCACTACCACCACCACCACCGCAACAGCAGCAGACAGTGCTGCTTCCTCCCCCAACGACACGCAGGTGGGTGCGTCTCCGACACCTTCTGCCTGGCGGCTGCGTGCGGCGGAGCGGGCGGTGCAGGCGGCCCGCCGTCTTTATCTGTTTGTTGCGACCGCCATCCTCACAACACCTGGCCTGACGGCTGCTGCTGCTGCTGCTGGAGCAGGAGCGTCGTCACCACCACCTCCACCCAACGCCGCTGTTGCGGCGACTGGCAACTCCGCTATCGAATTTCGTCCCACGGCGGCGGCGGCGGGTGAGGGGGGCGGCGGCGTGCGGGGCTCTCTCGCACGCGCGCCGCACCCGCAGCTCTTCAACCCCATCAGCAGCAGCGTCGCTGCGGGCTATCGCGCGCATGAGGTGCGGTATCTGCGGCTGCGGCAGCAGGTCGAGGCGGACCGGCGCCACAAGAAGTCCTGAGCGTACCGTATGCGCTACCTCTTTTTCTTTTTCTTTCAATTCTTCTTCTTTTCTTGTTTCGGGTTGCGTTGAGGCGTCAAGATGAAGTCCGCTGATAAGAGTTTCGGCGCTTACATCATCAACAAACAAAGGAATAAAGAAAACGGCTAGGGAGAGGAGGGGGGGGGGCAGCGTGACTGCCACCCGCCCTCTTTCTGTTTTTACAATGATGGCTACGCGTCACTTGATGGAAAGCGCCAAGACGAGCGTTTTATCACGCGATGTCGATGTTGAACGATGCGGAGGAGGGAGAAGTACTTCGCTGCGGATCTGTAGCGCATATATATATATATATATATATATCTTCTTGTTTTCCTTTTTCTCTGCCGTCGTTCATCCTGTCTCTCTCTCTCTCTCTCTCCCAATCCGTCCTTCCATCAGACGCGCACCCTCACATAGACAAAACTTTGTTGCCTTCCGCGACGACGATGTCGCTCCCCACACCGGCTATCCTCAACGTAAACGACGTGGCGGAGGCGCTTCGCTACGTTCTCGCCGTGCCTTTCCCCAATGGCGCCGTGCCCATCACTGTCAAAGCACTTCACGGCAGCACCAGCAACAACATCTGCCGCGTTACAGTTCGACGGGCAGACTCTTCAACTCCGACGTCACCTTCCGTGAAATCGAATAAGATGGACGACGCACCGCCGCAAGAAGCGGAGTACTTCCTCAAGTCCAGTCGTGGGGTAAAGCGAGGAGAAGTCGTACTCGAAGCTGGCGGGCTCGCACTACTGCGTCGTGCTGGACTTCCTGTACCACCCGTCGTGCTAGCGGGGGAGGTGGAGGGGACGGCCTTTCTGGTGGAACCCTTTATCAAAACAGGTAGGGGTGAAGTACCCAGTCGTCACTGCTCTCGCGATGAGGCCGCTGCGGGCCGTGCCTTGGCACATCTGCATCGCTCTCGCAGCCCAGACGGCCGCTTTGGGTGTCGACGTGTTGCAGTGTCTCTAAACACGGGTGATGTGGAGGCACCTCCTGCCCTCTCCGCAGCGTTGCGTGAAGCGGCAGCCGCGACAACATCTTCCAGTGTTGATGAATGCATGGTGGCGGCCGCGACGGCCTACACGAGCACATTTGTGTGGAGTGAGAGCTGGCCAGAACTGTACCTCAACTCGCTTCTTCAGCCGCAGGTGACGCGGGCGCAGCAGCGTGGGCTGTGGCCCGCGTCTCGACAGAGCATGCTGGACGTGTTTGCCGAGCGCTTTCGCACGCACTTTGCGACCCGTGCCGCCTTGGCGGAGGAGGCGGAGGTGCGCGACCTCTCTGCCCTCGCTCGACCACTCGAAGATGACGAGGGCAACGCGGCGTCGAAAGATGACTGCGAGACAGCCCATAAGAAGACCAAGGACGCAGGAGCATCAACGACGACGACGACGACCTCACCGCCATCCGTGCCCGACTGCAGCCTCCTTCACGGCGACATCTGGGGCGGCAACTTAATGTTCGACGCCTCGGGCAGCCCACTGTTTATCGACCCGCAGCCCTTTCTACGGCGATCGCGAGGTGGACATCGCCATGACGCAGCTCTTCGGCGGCTTCGGCCCCGCCTTCTACGCCGCCTATGAGGCGGCATATTCTCTGGTGGAGGGCGCGGAGATGCGCGTGCCGTGGTATCAGCTGTACTACGCTCTCATGCACCTGATCGTGTTCGGCGAGGCGTACGGCAGAACCGTGGAGGCGACGCTGCAGTCTGTGTGAAGGGCACGAGGAGGTGCTCGCGACATCTCTCTCCCTCTCTCTTCATCAGCTTTTGGGCCCTCGAGTCACAGCCCAGCTGCACACCGTGTGGAAATGCTGCCTGCGTCTCCCCCCTCCCCCTCCGTTTTCAAGCCTATTCGGTTAAACAAAAAAAATATCGTCTTCTTCCTTCAAAAGAGAAAAGATTAACTTATCTTTTTCGAAATCGACTGCTTTCAGCAAACAAACAGAGAAGACAGCGCTCCATTTAAGGTGCTGCGAGGCGCAAAACGGCACTCTCACACAAATTCCCAACAAGGAACCAATTGATGATGACGTTTGAAAACGAAGAAAAATCTGTGTCACACCTACCTGCGGCTTCAGTATTGTCATGCCACAGTGGTTTTTCTTATCCACGTGTAACAGCAACATATTATATCTTTAAACCATCACCACGATAACATCAACGACAACGGGCCTTTCCTGTCGATGCAAGTTGCAAGATGCGTCGATTGTGGGGTCACTCTTCTCTCTCTCTCCTTCCCCGTCTTTTCTTCTTTCTCATCTTACCTGTGTTAATACAACGCAAGTAACGGTTCTTGTGGTGGTCTGTGGTAAAAAAACGAAGGAGTTGAATCGGGTAGGCTTCTCAAACGCAGCGCTTGCTCCTCCTCCCTTCCTCGTCCTTCTTCGTCTTCTCTTTTATTTCTTCGCAGTTCCCAGCGAAACGAAGCGTGGCGTGCGCTTAAAGACCACCACCACCACTGCCGAAAAGGGGATTTTCCTCGTTGTGCATTCATTCCTACTCGCCCCCCCTTTTTTCCCTTGTACTTCTCTCCGCTTGTGCCTTTTCACATGTATGTTACGAACTCGTTCGGTTCCCAAAATCGAATAGTACCTGAGCTTCACTCCTTTGCCCTTTCCATCTTGATTTTTTCCTCCTTCGATAAGAAACCACACTGGAATTGTTTCTCGTTGCCCTTTCGCCTTTCTTTTCTTTTTTTTTTTTAACCCCTCTCTGTGTGTGTGTGGGTGTGAGTGGCTGTCTGAGAGTGTGTGGGTGGTGTTTGTTTCTATTTATTCATCCAAACGATGCCGTCGCCCGGTGGAGGGGCCACCTCCGCAAGTCGCGAGGAGGCTGCACGTGCCAACGTTTTCGCCTCCTCTCACAAACCGATGTCTACGGTATCCGCGGCCAACGCAGCCGCTGCAGCATCGTCCATGCCTTCTAACGCTGCAAACGGGGGGACCCCTGCCGCAACGACCGCCGTCTCTCTCACCACCGCCATCACCACCGCGCAACTCGCCGACGAATATGTGAAGTTGCTCGACGCCGTTGGGAAGCCCAACTATGAAACAATTCAGAGCCTCTTCGACGGCTACGGCTGCCCGCCCGCTAGCACAATCCCCGCGATCCAAGTCTCGTTTGAGCTGTTTGAGGCGGTGCAGAACCGCTTCGCGGCAACGAAGCAGGTGCTGGAGCGGACGAAAGCAGATCTGCTCAGCCGCAATCAGCAGTACACCGTCGTGAATCAGGAGCTGCACCGACTGCAGGAGGAGCACGAGGTTCTGCGCAAGCGCAACGCCGAGGCCGAGGAGCGCAACACGGAGCTGCATCAGCAGCGCGCGAAGCTGGAGGTCTCCGTCGAGCAGCTGCGGCGTGAGGTGGGACAGGGCCGCACCGCCCTCGATGCGCTGTGCAACAAACTCGCGCGACGGGAGGAGGAGCTGCAGATGAGCCAGAGCCGCGTCGCAGAGAACTTGGTTGCGCTGTCGCAGCGCGACGCCGTGGTGAACACGCTGCGGCGTGAGTTGCTGAAGAAGGGCTTGCTGCCCTACGGCGCTGGCCGCGGCGCCGGTGACCGCCGCACCCTCGTGGAAGGTGGGGAGGAGGGGGGCGCAGCCCAGGGCGAGGGCGGCGACGGCACTGCGGGGCCGGACGCGTACACGGCGGACATGCTGGAGAGCATCGCCGCAGACGTGGAGGGCCGGGCGCAGGAGGCCCGCATGAAGCTGAACGTGGCCGACTTGGAGGGTCGTCTCTCCCGTCTGCAAGAGGAGAAAGATTCCGTGCTGACGCAGCACACGCAGTACCGTCAGCACGTGCAGATGGCCCTGCAAAGCTACGAGGCAGAGGCGATGCTGCGCGAGGACACGATGGGCCGGCACGTCTGTCTGCGCACGCCGTACTTTGCCGGGGCGCAGCTGGAGATGTATGCGAAGCTGGTGGACCTACAAACAGGGGAGAAGCTCCCAGCAGCGACGACGTCTACCGCAACGGAGTACGACAACGACGCAGCGGCCAGCCTTAGCACCACGAGTGACGCGGTGGATGCGGACGGCGCGGTGGCGGCCAGACCCGTCCCGACTAGCTTCTACGCCCTCACGTTCGAGCTGAAGCGCGTCCTGGATCGTTTCGCGAAGGTGCACATCGACGACGGCAGCCGCCTCTACGACGATCTGTCCTTGTGCGTCGAGGCGCAGCGGCACGCGCTGCAGGCCAGCGCCGACCTGGTCGGCTTTCTTAGCTCCATGGAGGATGAGGTGATGTCCCGCCGCTTCACCCTGGCCGAGGTACGAGAGGAGTGGAAGAAGGCGTGTGTGCCGGCGTTCGCGCAGGCCGTGGCGGTTGCGTTGCGCGGCAGCGCCTCTGAGCTGGGGAAAGGCCTGGTCGGTCTGCTGGAGCGGGAGAATGCGTACGCGACGGAGATCGAGGCGGCGAAGTCGCTCAGGCGGACACCGTCCATGATGGCGAGCATCGCGGCTGAAGCCGCCGCCGCCGCCGCTGCTGCTGCCGCCGCCGCAGCGAGCAGTGCAGCCAACACGAAGCAGAAGAAGCGCAATCAGCAACGCGCGAGCGACGCGTCCACCAGCCACGTGAATGTCGGTGTGATGGCACGCCCAAGTGGCCCTAGTCAGCACATCGCGGTGCAGGTAAGCACCTCTGACTTCGCAGGAGCGGGGCCGGCAGCACGCAGCGGGGGAGGCACGGAGCCGTCTCCTCCTCCCGCACGGCAGGCGGCCGCGTTCAAGCCGGCCGCAAAGCAGCCCTCCTCCCCAGGAGGGGCGTCACTCCGTCCATCGAAAAAGGCAGCGAAGGCTGCCCCGCAGACGCTGACGCTCACGCAGGCGGACGCAGACGCCCTACTTTCCACGGCGGCAGAGGAGGGCAGCACCGCAAGCGGACAGCAACAACGTACATCCATTCCAAGCCTTTCCTACTCCTCTGCGAACTCCCATCACCAGCTCAACGCATCCGCCTCATCCGCTGGTGCCGGACTCGTCGACGGCGTCACCTCGTACGCGGAACGCAGTCCTCCTCGCTCCTCCGAGGTGCAAGTTGTGCTGTGTGGTGTATGCCCGAACTGCGCCCACGAGGTCACTCTCCGCAACGACCCATTCGCCGCTCCGCCTGACGCACCACCGGGCCACGATGCGCGGCTCCTTCCACCTACTGCGACGACGTCGGCCCTACCGTCGTGCTTCAGCAACCTCGGCGAGCAGCGCGCCGCGGGTACCCCCGGCACGCCCTCCCTTCATCTTTCGCTCACCAGCAGCCACCGTGCCTCTGGCGCCTCGCAGCCGGGCGTCATGCTGCCCAGCGTCTACCACGTCTCCGCCAGTGGGGTCGCGGAGGGGAGTGCCTCAGCCGCCTCTCAAACATCAGGGGCAGCCGGCAAGTCCGCCAAGCGCGCCGAAAACACCGTCTCCCCCACATCGGATGCACCGATAGCAGCGAAACGCACAGCATTCGGCTCGCAGGGCAGCGTGGGCGCCGCTGCGAACGGAAAGTCGGCCACGAAGAGCCCCAACATGTCGCCGTTTTCGTCTTCCAACACTGCCACCACGACGGCAGCCACCGCGGCTGCGGCAGCGGCAGCAGCAGCGGAGTTGTTGCAGTATCAGGAGCGGCTGCGGACGACGCAGCAGACCTTGGCGGAGGTGCAGACCGTGAATGCGACGTTGCGAGCGCAGTTGGCGGCTGCACTGGCCGCTGTCGAAGCGAGCCGACGTGCTGCTCCGTCCACCATGTACGCAGACGCCGCGGACTCTGTCGGAGTCAATACTGGCGGATCTACCGAAAACGCCAGTTCTGTCGGTCACCGCCTCCTCAGCGAGGGGTCTGTGTTCGGCGAGGGCTCACAAGCACAAGACGAATATCAGCAGCAGCAGCATCCACTGACGTCTCCGCATGCGAGTTTGACAGATCGCGCAAGCAACGCTTCGTCCACCACACGGAAGCAAGCGAAAGAGGCACTTTCTCGTTCCACACACTCATCGACCCCCACGCTGGACCAAACTGGGCTGGCGGCGGCTTCCACCGGCACCCCTCCTACCTCAGCGGTAGTGGACGATGCGTTGGTTGATGTGAATGCCGGAGGCGACGACGCCGTACACGCGGCAGCAAACAACGGCGAGGCAGACGCAGCAGGTGATGCCGCGGGTGCCAGCTATCAGTCCTCCGTCACGAAGCTGGACGCCACCACGAGGGCCTCGTCCGATCACGCCGGACAGGCACACGCCACCACCGACGCAGCGACAGAGGGCGTCTCCTCCACGAAGGAAAGCTGCTTTAACGCGAGTGCCGTGTCGCCGCTAGCAGATCGCGGCAGCGTCGATGGAAACTACGCCACCGCGGGAGGCGACAACGAGACACAAAATGCGGAGGCGTCCACGGCGAACAGCACCAAGAGTCCCTTCACACCGAGCCCGCCCTCGCTGCCACGGCGCGGGTCCTCCAACGGGTCATTCCTCGGTCCTGCGGCGGAGACCAACACGCCAGAGACGAGCCCCCAACACGCACAGGCCGGCGGTGACACACCCAGTGTGCCGAGCGCGGAAACGGAGGGGCTGGAGGGGAGTCGTGAGAACGAGCGATACAGCTCTGCGCTGGTGCCACGCCCCGCCGCTACTTCTGCCGATCGCGTCCAGCCAACATCGCAATTTCCAGAGAGGAATGACGCGGAAGCGGCGGAGGTGCGGAAGGAAGACTGGCCGACGACGCCTGGGCGCTCGCCGCGTCCGACTGCACAGCAGGGTGCTGCGGTGGTGGGCCACGTCCACCGGCCCCCAACCCACACCCCCAAGCTCTACCTGAGACCGCTTAAGGTCGGTTACCCGGGCTGCGCCATCCAGCACAACGGGCCATCTTCCCCGTTAAGCTTAGACCTCTTCATCACGGGCTTGCGGAGTCAGCAGCTGCCCTCCACGACGACGACGACGCGGTGGGCCGCAGCGGAACGAAGCGGGCCGGTGTCCTCTCCGCAGCCCTCTCGCAATCCCGCGAATGCCAGCGGCCGCGGCAGCGAGAACAACACGAGCGCATCGGCGAAGCAGACGGCTTCCTTCAAGCCCTACAAGTCCGCCGGCGACTACAAGACCAACTTTGCAAGGGCGATTGCGGGGATTCCGCGTGGGGAGGCAAGGGCGCAGACGGTGATCCCTTTCCCTCTCCCACCTGTAAAGGCGTCGCCACCGCCGCCTTTTCCCTTGTCGGCCGACACGTCTGCTTTCTTCGCACCTGGGTCACTGCGGCCTGCCTTACCGGCTATACACCCGCCTGACGCACAGAGCGATAAAATGGACGGGCGTCCCGGGATGACCCCACACGTCGCAGACGGCGATCCCTGGCAGCACAACGGCGGTGGCAACGACGCCTTCGCCCCTTCACTGCCGTCGCAGTCGGAAGAGACCCTCAAACAGGCGGTGCTGCGCGCTCTTCTTTCATCGGCACCGCAGCGACTTTCCACCGTTGCCGTGCCATCGCGGCTGCCCGCGCGGCGGGAGCTGCAACTGCTGTATCAAGTGCTGTGTCTACGGTCTTCTGTGTCGGCCGGCCGCGCTGGCGCCGCCGCGCGGTGGTGGCGGCAACAGCAGCAGCACCAACAACAGAGAAGAGGAAGAGGAAACAGTCGCGCCTTCTCGCGTCTCAGCATCACCGGGACGGCCATGGCGCTGCAGATGCTGTCAAGTCAGTACAAGATGGACGGCAGTCCGCAGACGGGGGACGACGGTGCGGTGCCGTACTTCGACGGCGGAGTCCCTTCGACGATGATGATTCCGGGCGGATGTATGCGGCGGCCCCTCATCGTACGTCGTGTGCGGGTACCCCAGCGTCTTGTCCCACACTGTTCCACGCACACAGATGCTGGGGAGGGGTCGCTGACAGGTTTCCCAGGTCCTGGCGAGTTCCAGCAACCGGGGTCGCTGTCCGCGTCCTATCCTGGCGATGCACCCTGGACGACGAACATCGGCGCGGCGGCACCGCAGCGCCCCTCCACGCGGCCGCCGCCACCGCCGCTCGCGACGCAGCCGACAACGTATCGCTACTACCTCTCGACACCCGTCGAGGTGCCACGTCAGTGGTGCACCGGGCGCCGCTACTCCCACAACCTGCCTGACGGTGGAATGGGGGAGGGGAGAGCAGGACGGCTGCCACGCATGCCACGCACCTGGCAGCAGCAGCGGCGGCATGAGCGGGCGTTGTGGCTGCGGCGGACGGCGCGCGATGCCCTGGCCCACCCCGGGCTGCCGCCGAAGGCGAACGAACCCGCCCTCTTCTCCGCCCCGACTCCGCCGCGCCCCGCGCCGCGTCGCTTTCCGCCGTTTACCACCGAGTACCTCAAGCGAGAGCAGGCGGCGGAGAGGCGAGAATACGCGCCGTTCCTCTACTCACCGCTCCCCTTTTCGGCCAGTGCGGAGGTCTTCCCGTCGGAGGAGGCCGGCAGCCACCGCAACGGGGATGCTAACAGTACAACGGCCTCGACGTTGCCGATGCAGCCCGCTGCGTCGCAGATTTGCATCTACCACCGTGCGCTGCCATACGCCGCCACACGCGCAGCGCTCTTGCGCGCAAAGCGAGACCCTGCCCGACGGGCGGTGAAGCGTAACGTGTACACGACCGCCGCGACAGACGAGTCCGCCGACGTCGAGCCGGAGTGAGTCATGCTCTCTTCTCTTCGTTTTTCTTTGATTCTTGTTTCGCTTTGTGTCTTTGCTGCATGTATAGAATCTTTTTGTGGAACGCAGTTGTGGATGTGTCTGTGCCTGCGCAGGCGTGAGGACGATGGGGAAATGAAAGCAAGGGGCGACGACACCCGGCTGCTACGCAACTCTAACAAGAGAAGAACGTGTGGCGTGCTGCCTTACCCCCCTCCTTTTTTTCCTTTCAGTGTTTGTTTCTCTAGTGCTTTCAGATGTAAAATGCAGTTCCGTGCGCCGCGAGGTGTGAAGGCGGGTAAAACGCGGACGTAAACATATATATATATATATATATGTTTATATATAATTTGCCCTCTAGTCTTTACTTGTGTTTCTTTTTCCTCTTTTTTTCAAATCCCTTTGCGCTTCTCCTTTATGAGCCGATAGCGTTTGCGCTGCATCTACGCGCCGCCTTCAACGCGCACGGCTCTCGCTCGCAGGCGTAAAAGAAGAGAGAAAAGAGAAAAGGGAGAAGTTAAAGCGATGTAACCCGTTGAGCATTTTTGTGTTTTTTTTTTTTGCTGATGGAACTCGTTGGTTTCTTTTGTTTCTCTTTAGCAGCGTCGTCGCACCGCCGCGTGCGTCTTTCATCAGCTCTTCGCCCACGCCATCTCCTCTTCTCTCCGTTTCTCCGCATGCTTGTTTCCTATGTATTCTACGCGCCCTTCTGTGTTACAATTACTGTGCTATACCTGTTTACTATTATTACCCTTGTTGTGAGAGACCGATGCAACAACAGGAAAAGAGAGAGAGAGCAGCGAAGGAATGGAATTCGCCGAAGTAGGCAGAAAGATGCTTGAACGCTCTGCGAAGGGGCAGCCGATCGAAGTGGGAGCACATGAACAAAGGTAGAAAGGGAGAGAAAAACGTATGCGTCAGCACCGGTATCCTTGTCGTTGCGCTTCTCTGCACGACGCAGGGCGGTTTGACCTTGCACGTTCTTTCTTTTTAATTTATATATGCTGCATCGGATACTGCGCCGTCGACTGCTGATGCTGTGCGGTGCTGCGTGCGATGTCCCTCCGCGCCGATCGTCTCTCTCAAGCCATCCTTCTTCTTCCTTTACACAGAGAAATACCACGTTGATCTCAGTACAACGTCTTTGTTTCTCGTGGCCAGCTTTGTGCCGTGCGCATTCCTATTTATTGCGATTCTTAAGGTTCCTTTTTTCCCATCCTTCTCCTGATTTTCCTCCTCAACGCCTGCCCGCACCAAACGTTCACGAAAGCGAACACCACGGCACATACTCACACTTCTCTGAGATCGCTAGACTCTCGACTTGAGCGGGTTTTCCTTAACAGACACACATACACAACGAATACAGATTGATAAAATAGGAAGTAGACGCATAGAGACGAACAACTGCTGTTCCCAGTCGGTTTTTGCCCTCAAAAAAGGGAATATCAACGCCTTTCAGAATGGACCGCTCAGCGCAGTTTGGCAGCGGCTCGTCGCTCCATAGAGACGAAGGGGAGTCGCAAAGTCTGTCGCAGGCCCGCCCTCGACCGGCCATTCGCCTCGACGCCTCCCTTTCCTTTCTTCACGCAGGCAGCAGAGCCGGCAGCCCGCGAAGCGGCCCGGCAAGTCCGGCGCTCGGCCCCGCACACGCCTCCGCCATGTTCGCCACAAGGGACGTCAACACGGAGAGCTCCTACCCGGGACCGCACGGCGCGCTCAAGTCACGCAGCGGGTACCGGCGAGAGATCAGCAGTAGCCTGCAGGCGACGTCGGCCTCGCTCTCGCTCGGGTCGTCGCGGCCGCGTTCACACCACCGACACCCACCGCAGCAGCCGCAGCAGGCAGGGCTTGGCGGAAGAGCAACGGAGGCGGCGGGAGACGAGTTGGGCTCGCACAAAGAAGCACGCGGTCTCTCCTCCCTCGCCGTGATGGATGCGGTGCTGGATAGTGAGGCGACGGTGATGACGCGTCCATCGGAGCCGCGCATGAACGGCGGCGGCGACCCGGTGGAGGAAGATCAGGAGAGCTGGCAACCGCAGCGGACGGCGTCGCCCGCGCCGCGGATGGCCGTCACCCTTCCCGATGACTTCGACGGAGACTTCAGCGAGTCTCACAGTGCAGCTGTGGCGGTGGCGGCTGGCTTCCCTGTTACTGAGGCGGGCATCCAGTCGACCACGTTGCCGCACGGGGCGGAGGCGACGGCAGTGATGCCGGGCAGAAGCGTCAACTTCTCGAATGCGTCTTCTTTCTCTTTTCATTTGAAAGCGAGCAGCGGTGAGCCGGCGGAGGACAACGGCAACGAGGAGGAGGGAGTGAGCTGCCGTAGCCGCAGCAGCCGCGGGTGGTCCACGACGCCACCGCCGCGTCGCGCCTTTGTGCTGTCGCAACGCTGCAGCGCCGCCTCGACTGTCGCCGCCGGAGACGACGATGACAACGATGAGAGGCCGGTCACGGACCACCACGCAGCGGGTGCGGAGGAGGAGAAGCCACAAGACGTGCCTGCGCAGGCGGTGCACAACGTTGATGATGTGGCGGCCCCCATCCCAACAGGAGACGCGACAGTGACTGCGGTGCGCGGAAGCGCGGTGCTCGTGATGGACAGTAACGACGATTCGCAGCGCTTCTTCGGACAGCTGCGGAGAGAGGAGCGCGAACGGCGTGATCGCCGTCATCGGCGGCAGCAGCTCCACTCCGAGGAAGAAAAATCGCAAGAAGAAGGTGGGGAAGGTGCTGATGGCGTCGTCAGAGAAGAAGAGAGGGATGGGACTGCACCAACGTTGCCTGTCGGACGACTCGCACCGGGGCAAGTGGTGGAAGAAGGCGGAGAGGACACGAAGAGCGGTGCAGCTGTGGGAACGCAGGCACAAAACGAGTCCGAAGTTGGCTGCGAGGATATCAACAGTCCACAGCACGAGAACGGCACCGAGGATGTTCCTTCCTTCGCCGCTCGCGAGTCGGCGGGACTGCGCCTGAGCGACTGCGTGAGCGGCAGCAGTCGCAGCAGCATGCTGAGCCCCTTGCCTCGGCCCGTCGCGTCCGTTGCGCAGACCGTCGCTGCTGGCGGTGCTGTGCGCCAGCCGCCGCGCATCTCCCCAGCGCACCAGCGGGAGGAAGAGGATGAGGAACGCGTTGGTGCGGAGGGCGAGAAGAAAGAAGAAGGTCCACAGAGTGACGCGGCTGTGCGTGCGGTGTACGCGGAGGGCGGTGAGAATGAGCCCAAAGGACGCGATGTGAATTTCATTGAGGGCGCGGTCGTGGCAGAGGATGCTGCGGCGCCGGATCAGCTCGACCGAGCAGACAACGACGAGGACGAAGGCGAGAAGGGCGTCGCCGCCCTCGATTCGATCTTCGAGGAGCACGCCGAGCCGTCTGTCTCCACCACACGGACCACCGCGAACACGGCCATGAGCGCAGCGGCGGTGAGTTCGCTTTGGTTGGTCCGCGGACCCACGCCTACACCGCTGCGGCAACGGCGGCGCGGCGACTGCGACGAGAGTCCCGAAAGGGAAACAGACAAAGCAGCAGCGGCAGATGAAGCGAAGCTCAGCGCTTCCCCGACCGTTGAAACGGAGCAGGCGGAGGCAGAAGCGGTTACGCAGAACACCGACGAGGATGAAATGGCGACGACTGCGCTGCCCATCACGCTGAAGGACGCCACCTCGCCGCCGCGCTCCGCCGCGCTCTCAGTAACCTCGGAAGAAGAGGAGGTCGAGGAAGAAGACACTGCGTCGAAGAAGCCCAAGGAGAGAAACACGAACGAGGTGCCCCACGCACCGTCGCAGCGCACGGTGGCATCACCGCCTCTTCCACCCCACGCGTTCCGTGATGACGACTCTTGCTCGCCGGAGCCGCAGCGGCCGGTGGCGCTGCAGCAGGAGGAGGAGGTCACCGTCGCCGCAACAACTCGGTGGAAGGCCGCCCTTTCACCCGTGTCGTCGCCGGACCGCCGCCACCACCACCCTGCCGTAGAGGGCGTGCGCACTGAGCAGGAAGCAGCGCCAACGTCTTTCACCTCTTCCCACGCCAAAGCAGATCCGCTACCGGCGAAGACGCGGAAGGAGCTCGACCTCCTGCGGCCCTCCCCCTCGACCTCCGCGACCCACTCCTCCGTCGTTGGCAGCGGGGTGACACCCGACCGGCAGAAGAACGCGCGCACCCACATCACCACCACCACCACCGTCACGTCAGTGCCGTCGTCGCCCTCGACGACGCTGAGCGAGTCCGCGCGTGTCAGCGAAGAAGTGCGAGAGTTGGTGGAGCGTGCGCAGGCAGAAGTGCGGCGGACACGCGCTTCCCTCCTCGCCACCATGCGCGACCACCGCGCCGATTTTCATCTCACCGACGTCGCGCCCGCGTCGCCACCGGCGGAGTCGGCCGGGCCATCCCCGCCGACCACCCCCACGCGCAGCCTGGTGCTGCCACCCGTCGCGAGCACGTCGGTGGCCACCGCACATGGCCGTACCGACGCACCATCAACAACACCGTCTGCTGCTGCTGCTGCGCTCATAGCCAACACCACCCCAAGTACAACTGGGCAGACTGGCCGAGCATCAGAGCAGCTGCGCACGGCCGCCGTGACGCTGCGCCCGCAGCTCGCCGAGGCCGCAGATGCCATACTACGTCGTCTGCAGGGCTACGACACCCGGCAGCACGGCGTACTGCCCATGGAGACGGTGATGCGTGTTGCGTACTTCGTGGTGGTGCGGCGAGGGATGCCGGTGGCAACGTGGACGCTGCGTACGGTGGGCGGCGGCATCGCCTCGACGCCCATGCGGGCCTCGATGGTGATGCAGAGCAAGGAGGAGGCCGACATGCCGAGCGCGCGACGCTACGCAACGGGTTCTGCTGCTGCTGCTGGTACTGAAGGTCGTCGTGCAGCACTGTTGGCGACTACCCCGCTGGGCCGCAGCTTGCGTGGGGTGCGTAGTGAGGTCCACCGTGCAATAGCGACTTACTCGACTCCTCACAATCAGCTTCTCTCAGAGGCGGAGGGGTTGACGTGTGCGGCGAAGACCCCGTCGTTGCTTGCCGGCAGCTCTGTCGGTGTAAAGCGGACCCGCAGTGAAGAGGAGTCGGAGACGGAAGCCCCGGGGCGCCCCGCCACGCTGATGTCGCCCAGTCGCACGCTGGAGCAGGTGATGGCACGCCAGGAACGTCGTGCCGAGGAAGAGCGCTCCTTGAACTTTTACTTCACCGTGTTGGAGGCGTTCAAGCAGGTCTTCGGGGAGCGCTATGCGTGGCACCACCTCGGGGCCACGAACGCGAGCCGGCACGACAGCGCTGCGGTGAAGCGGTCTAGGGCAGACCAAAGCATCGCCGCCACCGCCACAGAGAAGCAAAGTAAAGACAACGGGAGCGGCGACGTTGTAGAAGCGGAGAAGGACGGAGAAGACGCCGCTGCGGGTTTTGACATTGAGAACGAACTCAACGACATCGCGGCGCCGCTCGAGACCGTTTTCCCGCGTCTGCGCCAGCAGTACGCCCTTCACCAGAGGGACGGGACGGCGACACCAGGGATGGGCTTCGCGCAGCGACCACCACCACTTGACGTGCTCGTGTACTATCGCACCTTCACTGACAGCTTACGCGAGCTGTGAAGCGGAATACGAGGTAGAGGGAAAGACAGTGGGAAGGCGGAGAGTGAGTCGATGGTGCTGTGCCACTCCCAACACTGCATCCTCCGTTGACGCACCTGCAGGATACCTAGATATACAGATTTATTTTTGTTGTTTGGTTGGCTTTGCTTGTATGTGTGTCATAGAAGCTTGCTACGCTCGCCCCCTTTCTTTTTCTTCGATCTACTCGCCGTGCTGTGAACTTCGCTTGACTAATATATATATGTAATGGGCTTTTCAATTATTTGTAGAAGATTTTTCCCTGTTCCTTCCTTCCATCCTTCCCTCTGCTGTGCACTGCTAGAATGGTGCGTTTACGTCGCTATCGGTGGAAAAGGAAAGGACAGGAACGGAGGGTGTTAGACCGATAGAGCGAGCGAGGGCGCGGCAGGGCAATAGCTGTGCTAAGTAGAAACGCAAGGAGATCCAGCAGCCCACGACGCCGGCTTCACAGCACGTAGCCGTCTTTTACTATTATTATTATTAGTAGCTACGTTTTTCTTCTGCCCTTTCATAGATCCCGGTTCGATTCTTCTTCTATTATTTTTTCCCGTTTTTTTTTTTTGCTCCCCCGAAGGCGCTCCGCGACCATCTTCGTTTTGCTCGTCATTTCCGCTTACGTTTTCTCTTTGCGTGACCGCGGAGGAAAACCCGGAAAAGAGGAATCATAAAACGAGCTACCGGAGACCGTACGGCGGCAGTTTGCCAGACGATCGTTTGGTGATAGAGACTGCGGTTGTGCCCTATACGTTTGGTGCTTCTAGATACGCGAAGCTGCTGAATTGGGTTGTCCGCGTGCGGAGCCGATGCTAACAACAACGAAACCAACAAAAGTGGCAAGAGAAGAAAGAAGGGAAGAAGGAACGGAGGCGGACTCATGTGTATGCTAACGCACTAGTGCTGCGTGAGCCGTCGTCTCCTTTTACTGTGCCAGACAGCGGCAACAGCGTCCCTGGCCGGCGATCATCGGATGCGAGGGCCTTCTCCTCTGTGGATGCGTCAAGTGTGGCGAGCTTCTTTGCCGCCTCTTCTCAACTAGCGGTCCCTTGTCGCGCCATCACGGCTTTTATTATCGATATGAACATCACGACGTGTTTTTTTTGTTTGTGGTGGTAGTGTTTTCTCGTTGAGAGGCAGAGGAAGACGGAGGAGGAGGAGAGAGCTGACAGCGCCACGCTGAAACACGCGTGGAAGTCACGGAGGAGCGACGCACTCACACCATCATCTCTCTGCTTCTTCTATTCCCCCTTTCTTTCTTTTGAAGAGCTTTCTTACGTTACTGGCCCGGCTACGACAGCATTCGCTTGCCCTTTTCCTTTGTACGTACGTCCACACTCGCTCCTTTATCATCGCCCTATCCTTTACCGCTCTACGCAGCCGGCTTCCACACCACGAAGGGAACAGGAACTCCCCTCCCTTCCCCTCCCCCCCCCCTCTTCTTCCCCTGCCCTGCCACTCATCTGTTGCACGCTTACCACAGGTTTTATCCATTTCTTTTCTTTCTGTTCTTCTAAATCGTTCTCAACATGTCCGTCCTCACGAGCAACGCTGCCGGCGCCCGCAGCACCTTCGACGCCTCGCTCGTCAAAGGTGAGTTCAATCAATACTGGTACTCGCAAAACACCATCGACGCCTTGGTGCACGAGGTGGCCCACCACGCGACGGCCTGCGCCTTCCTGTCGACCCCATCCCTCTTCTTCGCTCTGGACAGGCGGCGCGGCGATGAAAGCACTGAGGAGGAGACGCGCCTGCTCGAGCTGCGACGGCGGAGTCGACTGTTTGAGTACGACGCACAGTGGGCGAGCGATGCGTGCTACGTGGTGTACGACTTCCACCAGCCAGAGCAGGTGCCGATCCAGTACATGGCTGCCTTCGACTACGTCGTGGCGGACCCTCCCTTCATCACCCGCGACGTGTGGGAGCGCTACGCGGCGACGGTGAAGCTGCTGCTAAAGGAGGGCGGGAAATTGCTCTTCACCACCGTGCTAGAGAACCACACGACGCTGGAGAACTTGATGGACCGCCCGCTCTTCATCGCGGCATTCTACCCGCTGGTCGAGCACCTCACGTACCAGTACGTGTGCTTCCTTTCCTACGAGCCGACCGTGCTGTCGCGGCCGAACCCAGAGGTGCAGGAGACCGATCCCAAGACGATCGCTGCGATTCGAATGGCGAACGACCTGCGCTCGTCGGAGAAGGAGTTCGCCTTGCAGATGGCGACGCGGAGGCGCGAGGGCGAGACGCGGCTGCCGACCGCTGCCTACGAGCGCGATGTGCAGCTGGCACAGGACCCGCTGCTGCGACAACAAGCAGAGGCGGAGCAGCGGCAGGGCGTGGACTGGGACTCCATCCCTATTGAAAAAATGGAGTGGGGTCACATCCCTGAGGGATTGACGATGTACCCGGAGGGCAACGTGCCGCATCCCTCCGCACTGGCAGACGATAACGCCGTCGCGGATGCCGCCGCTGTAGGCGCAGCACCCAAGTCATTTGGAGCGGCGTACGACGCGTGTGTGGCGCTGCGCACCGATCTGGACACGTTTAAAGGTTTTATCGACACGATGCAACGACACATGGACTCCCAGATGAAGCTGCGGCGGCAGCGCGTAAAGCTGACGAAGGAACGGACGGCGCTGAAGGAGGCGCAGCAGCAGCAGCAGCAAGGACAGGGCACCAACGCGGTAGTCAGCAGCGGCAGTAACAGCGTCGCGGAGGACGGTGCGGTGGTGTCGGCGTTGGATGCGCAGATCGCCGAGGTGAGCGCCGCCATCATCGCCAACGAGGCGGACCGGACAGCGAAGGTGGACGCCATGGCGCTGCTGGCCGGCCGCATTGAGCAGGGAGAGCACACCCTGACTTCACTGACGGCACCACCGTCGTCATCGTCGTCTACCACGATCGAGAAGGAGGTGCCCTACGCGGCCGCCATGACCGACTGCATCGCTGCCTATCGCACCGTGGAGGCGAAGAAGGTGCCGCTGCAGGAGCTGGCGGCCGATGCAACGGGCCGCTTCAAGTTCCCCATCTTCGCGCGCATGAAGGAGCTCCTGCAGCGCATCAAGGAGCTGAAGCAGCAGCAGCAGCAGCAGTGATACCACCGTTTTCTCTTTTGTATGTGACCGTGTGTGACCTTTGTGCGACGATGTAACTATATGTGTGTGTGCGTATGCGTGTGTGTGTGCGTGTGTGTGGGCAACGAACGGAGGGCGTGGGCGACTGCGAGTCTCCCTTTTTTTTTTTTTGAATTCCCGGCGTAGCCCTTAACTAACACCTCGTAACAAACGGCAACAACAACAAGCAAAACATACACGAACAGCTGCAATGACGGACAGCGCAGAGGTGGGGCCTGCATCAGAGGCGTTATCGCTGTGGTAAAAAGGGGAATTCTTCCTTTTTATCATTCCCGAGTGCCATCCGCGTGAAGAGCTACTTTTGGTGGCTCCGTCAGCGCATCTGAGTCTCGTGACGGTCTCCTGCGATCGCGTTGGCTCTTCCGCCTCCCTTTCATTTCTGAGCTTGGAGCCCTCTTCGTCTTCTCCATCGCCTCCTCAATGCTCCCTTTCTTTTGGTGTTTTTCACTTCTCTCTCTCTCTCTCTCTTACTCTCCTTCCTGCATCGACGCGCACGCATTGGCGCCGTGGAGGTCAAATAAACTGCAAGGAAATCACGAGAAGGTTTTTATTTTAATGGGTTTTCTCTTTTCACTCCCGCTCTTTCCATTATCTCTCTGCGTGTGTGTGCGTGGTTTTGTCTGACGGTGCGCATTTGGGCGTCTCGACGCACGACTCGAACGACCATCGTTAACCATTTCTTTTGGAGATTTGCACATATATCTTCACTGTCTTAGCATTCCTATTATATCTACCTTGCTCTTTTCTCCTTTTTTTTTCTTTTCTCTTTCATAGTTCATTTTCGGAGGCGCACGCCGGCCGGTTCGCCAGGGGAATCCAGAACAACCCTCCCCCCCTTTCCTTCTCTTACTCTTTTAAGCATCATCGCAGTACCGAACGCCCCCCACACCGCAGTTGTTCGTATTCAGTTGTGGGACTCTTCCTTTGCCAGGCCACCGAAGCACTCTCCCTCCCTCCCCCCCCTCTCTTTACCCGTTGTAGAGGCGCACATACCACAGCGCCACAGTGGTCCTGGACGCGTACGCTAAAGATTAAGTATATACACGAAGCAGACAGCAGTACAGGCCCCGAACCCACACAAAAATAAACGTAGAGGAAGGAAAATACCGGTTAATTATGTTCGTGTTTGAGCTCTCCACGGTCACCCCGTGCGGGTCAGCCGCGTACTACTCGCTGGTCATCCGCGACCCGTACGTCCTCGGCAACTGCCCGGAAGCAGACATCGCCATCGCCCACGACGGCATCTCCGACGAGCACGTCTCTCTCACCGTCCTCCACGCGCACGAGGCGGCGAAGGAGGTGGAGGCGGCCACGAGGGCGGCGGCGGACGGAGACGCAGCCACCGCCACGACGAACAGCGACCGCGCAGGTAAACTGCGGTATGAAGAGGAGGACGAAGAAGCAGAAGCAGAAGAGCAAGATCAGGAGAGGGAGGAGGACGTACCGGGTCTGGCTGCCGCTGCTGCTGCTGCCACGACCGCAGATGAGGGTGATGGCGACGAGCACCACAACGGCGCGGCTGCTGGAGGCAGCGATGTGGAGGATAACGTTCTGATGGACACGCCTCCTGACAAGTCCATGGAGGAGGAGGAGAAGGCCGCCGCCGCCGCTGCTGCTGCTGCTGCAGCGGATGAAGACAACGCGGCGCGAGCCCCGTTCCTCAGCGGCGATCATCTGGTGGTCCGGGTCACCGCCCTCCCCACCAAAGGCAGCGGCGACGTGCGCATCGGCAATGTTTTCCTGCAGCCAGGTGACTCGGTGCTCGTGCGCGACGGCGACACGCTTTTTCTCGGCGACGGAGTCAGCGGCACCTTCCACTACCGCCCCTTGATGGTCAGTCTCGAGGTCGGCGCCTACCCGGACGACTACGTCAGCGATCTCCGTCGCATGTTCGATCAGCTGGGGGCGACCTTCGTCGACGAGCCGATCCCCTCCATCGAGGTGCCGCACGTACCCGTTGGGCAGCTGCACTGCGCCGAAGAACTCAACGACAGCACGAGCTGCCTCGCCGCACTGACCTACGGCTACTCTGTTGTCCACCCCACCTACGTCTTTGAGTGGTTCGCGGCGGTGTCGAGGCGGGCGGCGGCCCCGCTCAACACGCTGCCGTCGCCCTCGCGCTTTGAGGTGCCGGTGCGGTGTACCATGCACCCGACCACTACAATGTACGTGCGGCCAGAGTCGGACACCTGCCCCTTCTCCCTCTACCCGATACCGTCGACGGCCATGACCAACCGCAGCCGGGCGGAGCTGTTCGCCGGACGTGTTTTCTTCTTCTTCACCGACGCCGCCGCGACGCGGTATTGGCGGGCCGTGGAGGACTGCGGGGGCGCCGTGTACGGCCCCGGCGATGTCGAGGCGGCGAAGGAGGCCGTGCGTCGCCTCGTGGACGCTCAGCAGAGCGCCGGCGTCTCCTCCCCCCGCCTGCCGAGCAGCTTCTACATCATCATCGACAACACGGCGGAGGCGGTGCTGCTCAACTCCGGGCTGGCGGCCGCCTCGCCGGAGCTGCTGGCGTTCATGGACGACGCCGGCAACGCCTGCGGCGCGGCGAACCTGTGTGTCATGGGCGACCACTCCCTCTTCACCGCACTGCTGAGCAACCGGTTCAACGAAGAGCCCGTGCTGTTGACGTCTGGGGTGCCGGGGGCGGCCACGCCGGGCTGCAACGACGCGGCGGACAACCTCGCAGACGGCGGACACGGCGCTGGTGGGGCTGCGCCGGTGAGTGCCCGCACCCCGCGTTCTTCCTACTCTCCCCGCTACCACAGCATGTGCGGCCCCGGATCGGAGCAGCACGGCGGCGGTGGCGGCTCCACCACCGCCCGCTCCGCCTCCTGCGTGAGTGCGCGCGAGCAGGACCGCCGGAATAGCCTGTTGCCGCGCAGCGCCAATCGCACCCCATCCCGCAGTCAGATGCGCTCCTACAGCCGCCAGCAGGCCCGCTCCGCCTCGATGCGGTCGGCGCAGAACGACGGCATGCCGGACGGGTACGAGGCAGGTTCCCACAGCGGCAGGAGCGGCAGCGTCTCCAGCCGTCAGGGTCGCCGCCACCTCGTGCCCACCGTGGCGGAGGGCGAGATGCGCAGCTTTGCGGAGGACTTCGACATGGTGCGCGTCCGCATCTACGCGTTTCTCGTCCGCGAGGAGCCAAAGCTGGACACGGCCATCGCCACCTACCATAGAAACCTGTACGTGAACATCGATGGGATGGAGTACGCGCTGGAGATCAAGGCCCAGGCGGAGGACTTCATGGAGCGCGTCGACGACCTGCTGGCCGATCCGGCCTGCCACGGCGCCTACACAGACTCCCTGCGCCGCTTTTGGCGCGACTGCAGCGATATGGATGTCAAGGCGCAGCACCTCCTGCACTATTGGGACCGCCGCTTCCCTGCCACCGCACTGCCGCGGCGGGTGCGGTCGGCGCGACGGGCGAGCAGCCGTCAGTCGCCGGCGTCGCGTAGCATGACGCCGCGGGGGTTCGCCGTCGCCACCGCGAACTCGCCCGCTCCGGTCAACGGACCAATGGGGCGCCGTGACGGCGGGGGCGTCTCGGCGGTCGATGGCCACGCCGCGGCGACGGCCACAACGGCCGCCTCACGCGACCCCGAGGACGTGCGTGCGCATCGGGAGCTGTACACGAGCCCCGAGGCCGCGGTACGGCTGCAGGCGGAGGATCGGACAGAGGAGCCCCCGCTGCCGCAACGCCCGGCGGAGCAGGTGGTCGGCGCGGGTCTAAACGGCGTAGCGCCGTCACCGCCGCCGCCGCGGGGTTGCTCCACCTCGTCGCGGCAGTCACGCCGCCGATCGCTGACGCCGCGGTCGCCGCCGGCCTCGCACGCCGGGGGGCGGTCCGCGCACGCGGTCCCGATCGACCAGCGACCACCGTGGGTAGGAAACTGGGCCGAGGAGTCCGAGAACGCAGAGGGGAAGGCAGCAGGGGACGAACAGCCGCAGCCGCCATCCGCCACCACGGCCGAGGCGTACACGTCGCCGCAGCGCAAGACGCCGCGGGCGGTGCAGAGGACACCGGCGGGCGACGTGGCCAAGTACGCGCCGAATGTTGTGCGAGCCCGGTCGAGTGGTCGTAGCACGTCGAGGCCGCGACGTCCGGCTGCCGAGCAATCACAACAATCCGGGGAAGAAGGATCAGCGGTGAAGGCGCAGGACGTGGCCGCCGCGTCAGCCACCAAAAAAGCGGAGGGGGCGGCGGCGCAGGAGGAGGCGGAGAGTCAGGTACGTACGGCACCCGCCCCGACGCCCCAGCCCGCCCCTGCAGCGAAGCCACGCAAGGCCGCGACGCCGTCCTTCCGCAAACCGCGCGCGAAATCGGCCGCCGCGACGAAGCGTTCGACGGAGCAGAACGGCGGTGCGACGAACGGCCGTGCGGCGGGGCAGGGCCGCCGTACGTCGTTGGCGGACTCCCAGTCTGAGAAACTGCGCAGTTGTCCCCCATGGAAGTACTAGCGGTCAGAGAGGCTGGTGTAGCGTGGTGAGGTGGAAGGAAAGGGATCGGGGTATTTAGAGTTGAAGAACGTGGCGGCACGTCTGCCGTGTACGCGGTGGAACGGGCAGGTGGATTTGCCACCCATCCACGCACACCGAACTTTGGGGTTTCGCTCGATTATCTCTCCGGGACAGTTTCGTTGCTCTTCCATGGAGAAGAGCGAGCGATGCGCCTCCGAGGCACGAAGAAGCTCCCCGCCTCATCTGTGAAGTACATATAAATACACGTTGGAGCGAGCGGCGATTTGTTTTTGTTTTTCGCCTTCTTCTCGGCCGTGCACCTCGCCTTTGGTGCCCGCCATGAATTGGAAGGAGATTCGCCGTGTTTGCTCAAACAGCTGTTATAGACGGGTGGGGGGGGGGGGAGGGGTAAATAAAATGACGTATCGCCCACAACAAGAGAACTGTGTGTGTGTGTGTGTGCGCCGTATCGTGGAAAATCAAAGGGCCTCCTTTTTTCCCTCTCACCTTCAGCTACAATGATGGCGAAAGAGCCTTCTTTTTATTTGGAGCGTGTGAGCGGTGTTGCCCTCTGTGTTTGTGTGTGGGCGTATCTTTTTTCTCTACTTTAGACTAGTGTATTTATATACCTATATACACATATATATCTCCTTTTCAGTTTCATGTTGGTGTTCTGTCTCTCTCTCTCTCCCTCGCAGTGTTTACCTTTCGCTGGAAGGGGGGGGGGTGTAAAAGCAGCCTGTTCTTCTTCCTCCCTCCCCCCTCCCCCCTTTCTGTTCACGCATAGGAAGCATACGGGTCAATCTATCAAGAAGGAAAGAAGCAGCAAAAGAAGAGCTGGTGGCACTCCTCGCTCTTCCATCGTTGTTGTTGTTGTTGTGGCGGCGGTGGTTCCTCTCGCGCCAGTGCTTTTGCGCAGCTGGCTGGTATCATGCATTTTTACTTTGTACTGTACCTTCTTTCTCTTCTTATTTCTCTTTAGAAGCTGAACTAACGCGATTTAGAGTGCCCTCAGTCCCCTCCGCCCCGATGAAAAATAGTGGGCCGTCAAAGTGGTAAAGGAAGCACACACCCGTACACTTTTTGTGGGAGTGTGGTAATGTGTTGGAGTGTGCCACCGGTGGCTATTATACGTTGGTGTTGTTCCTTCCCAACTTCTTTGGACACCGGCTTGGCTCCATTCTCATTCAATATTTCTATATATATATATATATTTTATGCTCTGGTTTCCTGCGCATCGTGTACACCGAGGAAGTGGCTTTCATCTCCGTGTTCAACTGGTTTAAGATGTGTGTGTGTGTGTTGTTGCGTTCATTGGACGTGTTTGTATTGGTGTGTCGTACCGGGGGAATCGCCCTTCTTCCACCAGTAGCGCATTGCTGTTGTTAGAGAACTATGTTCTTTTCTATCGTCTTCTTTTTTGGTCTGTTTGTGTGTGTGTGTCTGTGTGTGCTGAGTGGCTGCTCTTCGGTTATGGCAATTTAGAAGGCTTTTTTTTTGTCCTTGACGGATGTGGATGTGCGAGTCCTTGTCTCTCGCTCTCTCTCTTCTCTGTCGTTTTCACGTAGTATTATTTTTTTTTTTGCTCTTTTCGCTCTGATGCTTGTCAACAGTTTTGTGACCAATTTGCTGCCGCACCCTTTCTCTTTCTCTTTTTTTTGCGGTGACCGACAATTCAACTTTACAAGAACACAAAACTAGAGGACCTCCCCCAAAAAACAAATACAAGTAGGCTGTGAGAGGTGGGAAGGGGCAACATCTCTCACTGGACGGTGGCGCGCTCAACGAGGTAAATGACCTCCGACGTTTGCGAAACGACGAAGGTGCTTCGTCGTGGTTGAAAAGAAAAAGGGAAAACACGGTTTTGGAGAGAGAGAGAGAGCAGTGTGCGTGGGCGACAAGAGAGCCTCCAAGGCCGACCTGTTTTTCCAGGTTCGACACCGAGAAGATTGGCCGCGTGTACACCTCTGGTGGTGCGCCTTGTAAGTGCTACCTTGTAGTTTGTGTTGACACTGCTCGTGCTCTTTTGAGTATCCTTTCCTGTTCGCAGTGAAATGCGTCTTTGAGAACAGCAAAAAGGTACTTCCTCTCGCGCATTCACGAGGGGAAGAGACCGCAAACTTGCGCGGCTGCATTTCTCCCCGCTCGAGTCTGCTGTTCCTGTTTGTGTGTGGGAACTTCCTTCTCAGATTCCGCAAGGAAGGAAAGCACTTGGTGCCATCATCCGCCTCCTTTCTTTGCGCCTAAACTCCCATTTCCTTTTATTATTATTATTATTATTATTCTCGCGCACTCATCCTTCACTCTTCGTCCTCGCGAGGAATACGACTATTATTATTATCTTCTTTTTGCTGTGTGTTCTTCTCTTTTTCTTTTTCTTAGCCACACATTTTTTTTTGTATTGTTTTCCTGCTTTCGGTTCTCTCTCGATTCAGGCTTGGCGACGTCTCCATCGTGTTTTGTTTTCTCTCTCTCACCTGCGCAGACTCCAGCGCCGCACGAGCGTTGATTGCGTACAGGAGGAAGTCGAAAATACCAAACGTCGACTACAGCAACGGCAGCAAAGAGCCTCTCGTTAGCACTACGATTGCTTCTTCCCTCGAGCACTCAAGAATAATAATAATAGTAAAAAAAGAAAAATGAATTTGGGCGAAGTCTTCCAAAATCGCGTTAACGAGGTGGAGGAGACGGGGATGGAGCTCTACCTCGTGTTCTTCGCGATGGGAAAAATGCTGACCGTTATCCCGGACGATGACGAGGTGGCGCGTGAGCAGCGCGCGCAACGGAATGAACGCCGCAAGGGAGGGGAGGAGATTCTTTTCTCACAGATTCGCTCGGGCGATGGCGGCGACGGCGGTGATGAGGCGGAGGCCGCGGACGCCAACAAGGGGAGTAGTAAGAATGGCAATGCGAATAGCAGCGGCAGCACTAACCACAACAGCGGTGACAATAGTGGCGACAGCTTCGTGTCACCCACCTCGTTCCGCTCGGACCAGTCCTTTTCATCGCACTCGGAGGGTGTCGGTGGGATGTCGCAGGCCGCGTACATGAAGGCTCGAGTGGAGGCGGAGAGCACGCTGCAGCTGCGCGTCTTCGACTTCGACCCGCGGCAGTGGACGCTGCAGTTTTTGGCCACCGCAGCGAAGTTTATCTGCGAAGAGTTTGATCGCTACCTGCAACAAGTCCACCTGCTGCTGCGCTTCATGGCGGTGCGGCGACGACGCATTGAGAAGCGGTCTGCCGTGCTACGCGAGCGTCAAGCGCGTGCGGCGAAAACGCCGGCCGACGCCGTGCAATCGTCGAACCAACCCACGACGACGACGACTACCACCACCGCCCCTTCCACCTCTCTTCTCACTTCTCTCGGCGCGACGTTAGCAGACATGTGCAAGGCCGTGGCTGGCCCCCGTGCGCGCGATGCGGCGGACGACATTGCCCCCGCTGAAAGCGACACGGACCTCTCGGCTGAGGAGGAGCAGCGCGTGGCGGTGAGCCTGCCCGACAGCCTCCTTCGCCAAAAGGCGGACACCCTCTCCTCTTTCTTTAGCATTTACGTCGCTGTCGTCATGCGGGAGGAGACGCCGATGCGTGTTATTAAGAGCGTCGGTGAGCGAATGCATGCCATCAGCGTTGTCCTGCACAACTACCCCCGTGAACCGCTGGACATCGTGGAGCAGCTCCATCGCGACAGGGAAGACCAGGCCGCGTCGTTTCTCGCGCAGTGGATGACGAAAGGGGAAGGGCGACTGGCACCGCTGCTGATGGCGAGCCCCCCTGCTTCAGCGAGCGACGCCGCACAACGGTCCTCGTCGTCTTCTCGGTCGTCTGCCGTGGGCAGTACGATTGGGCCGGAGAGTGTCATGGACAGCGAGGGCAATTACTCTCCTCAGAATACGGCAGGCGCGTTGGAGGAAGCGTCGAGGCCGGTGGCAGCGGCAGAGGATGCGGCGCGGACACACAGCGGGGACTGTGGCACCTCAGGAGGCGCGGACGCGGCCGACGCGGAGGGAGTAAGAGTGGGGTGGGAGTCGCTGTCTGCGGACGCCATCGCCCCTGCGTGTCCGCCGGTGGACGCGGCGACCGCGCGCGAGCTGATTGCGGAGTTTCGCGCAAGCCGCTCGCCGTGCACGAGCCGGCTGGCGCAGTTGGTGGTGGACACCGTTCCCGGGATGGATGAGACGGCGCTGCTGCCGTGCATCGCGCAGCCGGAGCGGCACGGCTTCAACGACGGCTGCATCCGTCTGACTCCTTTCATGACTACCGCCGAGGAGGCGCTGCTAACACAGTGGATGCAGGTGCGGCTGACGGAGCTGATGGAGGACGCCGAGGAATCGGTGCTCGTGCGGGCGTGGGCGTCACCGACGTACGACGCGAGGGGCGGAGAGCTGACGGTGCTGCTGAACCCGACCAACGCGTTTCGGATGCAGCTGAGCAACCCGGCTGACTTTTTGGTGAGTGGTCTAAAGTGCGATATGTGCTGTCAGGGATCTCGCTCCGTGAGCTACCAGGCGGTGCTGGAGAGCGGGGTGCGGAGCGAGGTAGTACTGGGGTACGAGGGCTGCGTGGGCTACGACATGTGTGTGGCCTGTAGCTACAATTACTACAGGTGCTGCGAGATACGGTTGCTGCGTGCGGTGCACCCTGACGCCGCGGTCCGGCAGCCGTTCGCCTACGGGCTGTACTCGAAGACCGTCGTGCAGTCGCTGCGCGTCGAGGGGAGCCACGACGACGACGCGGCGGTGGTGAAAGTGGTGGCCGTGATGGGTGTGTCGCCCTTTGGTGTTCTCCCCATTGGGTGGCTGCTGCCCCGTTCCCAACTCACGGCACTGAGCGCGGCGTGTGCGCTGACGGAGGACTACGTGGAGCTGACGGCCGCCGAGCACGCCGCGCTGCCAGTGCCGGGCGCACACTGGCAGGAGCACTGCCGCATCACCAACGTCAGCAAGCGGGTGCTGGAGGGGGTGGGGGAGGGAGACGAGGCCGCTGCTGCTGCTGCTGCTGCTTCGGTGGTGGCTGCGGGTGGGAAAGACGGCGATAACGCCTCTGCCGACGTCGCCGAGGCGGACGTGTGCCCGATATGCCTGCAGCTGCTGCACAGCCCGCTGCCGGTGCTGCGGACCCTGTGCGGGCACTGGTTTCACGTGGAGTGCATCGGCTCGCACTACCACTACAAGCCCGCGGTGGTGGACGGGGAGGTGAACGAGGCGAATGGCTGCCCGGTGTGCCGGTGCGCGCATTACATGCCCTCGCTGACCGACGTCGCCACGACGCTGCACACGAACGTGTACCGGTTGGAGATGCGCGTGCCGGTGTCGGAGGCACCGTTTGCCATCGCGGTAGGAACCATCCTGACGGACGACGGCGTCTACCACAACGCAACGAACGTGGCGGCGTGCACCGCCTTCTTCGATCTTGTGCCGGGCTACGAGTACACGGCAGAGGCAGCCGCCTCGCCGGTGACGCCGTCGTAACCATTCACGATGACCGGCGCAGGACAAAGAAAATGGTAGGGCGTAGGCGTGCGTCATTTTTTTTTTTGCCGCGGACGGTGATACGCCACTGCGACTTTGCCGTGAGGGAAGGTTTTTGTTTTCTTGCTGTGCGTTTTCTCTCCACGCTATTCACTGTTCGAGACTCCGCTGTACGGCCTGCTTTCTTCTGAGTGTTTCCAGCCGCTCGCTTTCGGTCGTTGAATCAATTCCCCCCCCCCTTTCCTGGGTGTGTGTGTGTGTGCGTGTGGGGATGGAGATGACGAATCTCCGCCCCGCACAGCTGTACCTCTGCTGTTGCTACTGAGGTCCGTTGTGTGGGAAATACTCTGCTTGCGTAGCTGTGGTGATGGTGGTGGTGGTGGTCGTCGCCGTCGCCGTCGCGTTGCTCACGGTGCAGTTGGCTGCTTTCGCGGAGGGCGATTTCTTTTTTGGGTTTTGCCTTTGTCTTAGCACCCGCCTCGGGTGGGGTGGGGGTCGTGTTACAGTGTTTTTTCCTTTCCTTCCTTCCTTCCTTCCACGTACGTCTCGGCGCATCAGGGAGCGTTTGAATTGGCTTGTTTTTTTTCGAGTCTTTCTTTTTTCTTCTTCTTCGTTCGCGGTTGAGAACGACCCGCGCCCCCTCCCCGGAAAGCGAAAGCGAAGAGAAGAAGTATTTAATGACGTACGATTGCTGTCCTGTCGTGTACTACGGTGAGTGGATGGTGCTTGATTTTCTTATGTACACGTTCGACAAATGTATAACATCAAAAACGAAAGGAAGAAAAGAAAACTGAGGGCGAACGGTGTCACGAGTCCACTGTACTGCAAGAAGACGCCGGTGCAGTGTGGAGAGCGTGCGGACGCCTGTGCGAAGTGGCAAAGCCTTTCAAAAAGAGCTTTTAGCCGCTTTTTGTGCGACATGAATAACAATCAAAAACAGCAAGTTAACGCATGGAGGAGGGAGGAAGAGGGAAAAGAACCGATTAAATCTGCTTTACGCATTTGAAAGGAGCCGTCGTCGGTGTGTACTACGGCGATACTCCTCCACCGGCTCCACGCGCAAGCATTCCACATGCTTTTTCTTCTCCGTTTCACCGAGTTGCAAGGCGGACTGTCGCGGTGTTAATGCGGAGCCGCAAAGACGATGAAGCGGAAGCGTGCATGTGCATTTGAGTGTTTTCACTGCCTATCAACGCAGAGCTCACAATCTCTCTTTTTGTTTTTCTGTCCTGTCTTGTTTGTTTTCCGCTACGAAATACGGCGATGCTGCCGCGTACCTCATGTTTCGCGACTTCATTTTCCATTCTTCTCTCTCTTCTTCCTCCTCTTCTCTATCCTGTGCCGTTGGTCGGGTAACCTTTTTTTTTTGCGTCGTCGGGGCACCAACTTGACAGCAGCTGCGGCGATCGTCTCTTCACGTTCGCTCTTCCCGCACGCTCTTCATATATACATATATATATATATAATATACATAATATACATTTTCTGTTTTGTTTTCTTCTTCTTCTCTCTTTAGAGTCACGCGTGTTCTAAACACGCACATCGTATCACCACCGGAGCGTGATGTTATTAGTAAGATTAAAAGACTTCTAACTGCTCCATCGATCAGTGCAGCATTGATTTTTTTTTTCCCGTTTTTGTTCTTTCCTTTGGACTCTAACCACGCACCTACCCTTCGAAGTATCTTTCCCGTTTCTTCTTCTTGTGTTTTTAAGAATTCTCCTTGTTGGAATCGTGTTTTCCACCTCTTCTTTGTAAGATTAAGAGACGGAAGTGTTTTCTCTTCTTTCCTTTGCTCTCCCATATATATATATATATATATATATATATATATATAT